AATATGTTGAGCTTGTGGGTGTTGTTAATGAGATGCTTTAAGTTTGGGTTTGAAGAGGGGCAGGGGACCTAGAGATTAAGCAACTGGCCATTTTATGGGCTGAGTGTAAAAAACTTTCCCTCTAGGTTTACTGAAATCAACTTTCAATGTAGAAATATATTTCAATGTAACCATATCATTACTGATAACAACTTGCTCAGTGTCATCCGCAAATTTTACTACAAGAAATAGAAAGCATTCTGGCTTCTCATTTGTCGTGTCCAATGTGTAGCTGTAGCACGTGAGTTCAGGTAAGGAAATAACTTGCATATGTCACAGCATTGACGTTTAATGTTTCCTTCTATTCATTTAGGTGCATACCAATTTCAATGTTAGTTATCCATTAAAATCAAAAGATTTAGCCATCTTTGTATTCCTTGATTCATTACAGAACAGTTTGCAAACTGGTCTGATGAGTTCTGATTTTAAAGGGTAGGCATCAGGGTTGTGATGCTGTTGTAAATATCAAATATGGGGGTACTGGGACTAAGACAGCCTTTAACTTAGTACAATATAGCTCAGCTAGCAAACAGTCTTTAGTAGCTGCATTTACTAGTTTTCCCACCCTTCCCACCCTGGGTAGTTTTTAGTAGTATATTCATTTCCTTTATTTCTGACAGTCTTGCTGTTTTTACAACTTATGTATACATTTGTTGATTCCATCTTATTACCTGTTTCATTTTAATATTGTACCTATATTTGAGTGATTACCTATTTACATGTTGTAATAAAGGCTGTCATAGTCCCAATCCTGGCTGTGTCCTGGTTGGCATTTAGGTCATGTAACAGTGAAATTGGAGGTCATTTGCTTTAGTTTTGTTCACTGTACAGTAGTTGTTGTATTGTTGATTTTGATATCAAGCAGCAAAACAAGTTGTAAGGTTATCATAAGAAATCTGTCAATGATCCGTGAAACAAAATCATTTTTAAATGAAAGCAGGACATTTAGGTCCATGTTTTGAATTGTACCGATTATAAATTAATCCATAGCTGTAGCCATTTGTAACTGCAATAAGCGTAATAGTCTCATGGCCTTTAATAACAGACCACACACCAAGATTTATTGTAACTGACGTGCTTGGTACTTGAAATAAAATACGTGGTGAAACTAAAACAAGAATAGAGCAAAAATTACAAGTTGTGACAAAGGAAAATCAGAATAAAGAAATAAAAGCCTGCAAAAACAAGGACTGTGAAGTACACTGACTTACATTGTTTCGGACAGAGAAAACTGCTGTGAAGCGAATTGCGGATAACACGAAGAGACTGGCAAAAACTAATCAGAACTGCACTAACCGTGGACCAAAATCAACTGAGACCAAACTATACTGCAAAACTATCGTAGAATATGCAGAAAATAAAACTATAGAAACTTAGAAAGGTGCTAACGATGATGAAACAGCAAAGAAACGCTAACGAGGGGGGCGAAAACTGACAGAAGGAAATAAAAACTTAATTGTGCAAATAAACCAAATGAAAGGACGAAAAGAGCTATAAACTAATTGCGCAGAAAACAAATAATAGAAAAAAATGTTACACTTGCATGTTCCACATTAATAATTATTATTGATGACTGATACATAATACAAACACAAGAGACAGTATGGAAAAAGGAAGGACAATGTTTAATACATGTATTATACATTGCATTCTAAGTGTTCCAAGCTAATCAGTCATTTTGGCCAATTGCAAAAAAAAGTTTGTTTCATGCAAAACACTATATTAAGAAATAACATGGGGATAAAGGTACTTCCCTTTATGAACATGAACAGCAACAATGTCAATGTTTCAGTGCAAAAGTTTGGAGATGGACTTTTCAATAAGAATAGGCCACTTACACTAAGAGGTAACGTGACTAATACTTCCTTTGAACAATGAGTTGGAATCTTGCCGATGCCAAAATTGACAGAGCACATAATTCTGGTCATGTGACCAGCCACGAACTTACTCATTAAGGAAATGGTGCAGGTTGAAAAACCTAATTACTTTTACTTTGTTGAAGCTATGACCCACTAATTGTTTTCTTAAGGCAAAATCATATAACTTTCATTTTCATCTAAACGATGTCACATGACTTCTTAGTGCAAATGGCCTAGCTATTGGAGGATAATTAGCTTCCAAACAAAAAGCCCTAAAAGATTGTTTAGTTTCTGAGTTCTTATGGATAGCCTGTATCGCATGTCAAGTTAAACGTTAACTCTAAACCTTGAAGGGCTAACTTTATGGGCATGAACAAATACCTCTTCAAAGCATAAAATGTAATAACAATGGCAATTGCCAAGTATCAGTGGCAAAATACCATGAACAATAACTATAACGTTCTACCACCAATGAGATATGCTTGAAATACTTTTTCATATGCTTAAAATGTTACAGTGGCAAATGCCAAGTATCAGTCAATAAATATGTCTCTAAAAAAGTCAGGAAATACTCCTTTCAAAACACAACATCACTTTAAAAGACCTTGGATTAGCTGTTAAGACTAATCACACACAGTTAAACGATTTCCTTGCAGAACTAGCAATGACTGCTTTCAGCGATGAACTGAAAACTTCTTTGCTTTCAAAGTGATTTGGAAGAGTTAATGAAAGCAAACACGTGGAAGCAAAAATGGAAGGAGTGTTGTCAAATTTAATCTTGATTTTAGCAAGCCCAAAGGTGGGCAGAGAAGTGGACCCAGTGGCAAAAAAGACAAAATTTTCCAACATTTCAACTTCTGCATTATGCAGGAACTGTTTCAGGTCATTCGCTACAATTCTGTCATTTTCACACATGTCAGCTGGAAACTCTAGCATATCAACCAGCTGAGTTGAAGTTAACCTACTCTTATTGCTTGGCACAAAAAGCTCCTCAAACATCTCAGGGTACTCTCTCATTTTGGCACGAAAGCCAAGTACAGCCAATCCCTCTCCCAGCTGATCCAAGACGATTTTGGGTCGGCTTATGACATCATGAATTATCATCCCTTGGATAACCCTCATTTTGTTGTCATTCTATGAATAGAAAATACAATTTGAAAAATGCTGTCACAAAGCGTTTTTTTAATAAAAGGAATCAATTAAGATAAGATTAGGCTTACAGTTAATACCACTGCCAGGCCACAATCCGACAAGAAATTTGCACATTCTTCTTGGTCAAGTGTCGAGACGTCTTTGGCCTGAGCAACCTGTAAGTTGATAAAAACTATGGGTCAATCCTTGCATTTCTGTTAGGACATGCGTGTCAATCTGTTGAACATACATCTGTGCACTTATGGTCCTGTGGGACTCAGGTTGGTGCATGTAGATTATGATACATGAATATAGCCGCTAGGATGTCAAGCACTTTCGTTCTATTTATGTGCTATACCTCAGTAGAAGCTGTTGACACATCAGTAGTTGGATCAGAAATTATTTGGAATTTTGTTAATGTAGGAGAATCAGTCTGGTACATATGGCTGAGCAGCCAGTCATGAAAAGAGAATTTTTTAAGTTTGTTTTTACATTCGACCAAATATAATGATTTATTCATCGCGTACAGTGAACTAAAAATAGCAAGTATGCTGTTACATTTGAGCACATCATTTAACTGTACATTTATACAATACCTTGTCAATGAAATCTTTCACAGATGCAGAACAGTCTCCATAATTCAGCATCATCATTGCCGCGTCAACATCACCTGTTGCTAGGTACTGATACACTGAAGGGCTAAAGACTGGAAACCCTGGCCCACCTTGCAAAATGCTGTGCACTATAATTGTCTCAATGTATTTCATCATACCAGAAGCAACAATATCAGCATTGTAAACTGGATGCTTGTAACTGTCACCATGGAAGAACATGTTACATATGACCTGGAGAAGTTGGCTAAAAAAGTGTCTGGTTACTCCTCCTGTGTCCACAGCAGGCTGCCCTGTGTAAAGGACTCATAAGGGCTTTCTAGGATCAAAGCTGGGATCTTTATAGTATACCATGGCATCACTAAAGATGTCTTCTTCATCAACTCTGAGCTTTTTTTTCTGTGTACTCAAACCTTTCTGAAGCTCCTTCAACACTGCCTCCAAGGAATCAGCTTTAGCTGGAAAAGCAGGCTTTAAAAGTTCTGCATCAGCATCCTCATCTGAGTCAATTTCATCAGGAAGATTTTGGGAGGAGAGGGAAAGAGCAGCACGACTAACACTCCCATGGCAGGTTAAGGCACGTTGCAGCAAGCTGCTGCTTTTTTCCGGAAACATCTCTCTTAATTGGTCTAACTCTTCCTGGTTTACATGTATTGCACTGCTAGATGCTGTTGCACTGCTTGATGGGCCAGTGACGGAAAGGTATGAAGCATTTGAAGGACCACTATATGCTTCGTCAACAGCAACTTCCCCTTGAACTGGGTCTGGACTCTGGGGAGGACTGTCAATGTCGCTAGCAGGGTTGCCAGAGATATCATGCGCTGGTCGAATGTATATGCTCCCTTGCCCAGCAAGGCTAAGAACACGGGAAGATGAGAAATACACACCTGTAGCTAACTTTGGTGTGATTATTTGGCCATAGCACGACTTCACAAATTCAAAGTCTGTTTCTTTAAGAGCTGGGAATACCTCTCTTATTTGAGCTCTCAGATCTTCCTCCTGTAAAGACTTATCTACTGGAAATGCATGAACAACAAAACCGTTGTTTTCCAATCGACATCGTGTCTGGTGCGTGGGAACTGATTTCGTGTCAGGAGAAGGAAGAAGAACTACATCTTTATGCACTATATCTTTCTTTGGTTTTTTTGGGGGAGGCCGTTTACCTTTACTAGATTTGCTTTCAGAAGATTTTCCACCAAATGATCTCTTACCAATAGTCGGAAATAAATTTCTTAACTGAGTGCTGACTGGTGTGCTTTCCATATTTACATTTCTTGTCTGACTTGATGGTGTTCGCGTCGACAACACTCCCGTTTCATGATGTCTCTGACTCAATATTCGTTGCTCAATAGGCTGCACATTACCATCATTAAAATTGTCCACTAGTGACCTTGCCTAGCGAGCGATATTTAATGATGCCTCTCGAAAATCTTCGCTACTTTCCGCCATAGCTGCCCTATTGCAATTCTCAAAATGGCGGCCTATTTTGGCCTATAGGAATCTGGGTAGCGGCATTGCTTAAAGCGCGCGGTGCATCATACCATACGAAATGAAAAGTTGAGCATGCTAATTTTTTCAGAGAACACTGCAAATTTAGGAGTTGAAAACAGGCTGTATTTATTTATTGCGGGCTATTTATCTGGAGTTTAGCACGATTATATGACAATGGCCATATAGAACAGAAGTAGATACACCATATTTATTTGGAGTTTAGCATGTTTATATGACAATGAGCATATCAAACTGGCCCGGGTTGTTCAAACGTTGGATAGCGCTATCCACCGGATAAATCGCTATCCAGCGGATAGCGTAATTGACTTGCGTAATACTTATCCGCTGGATAGTGATTTATCCGGTGGATAGCGCTATCCAACGTTTGAACAACCGCGGCCTGGAGTTTAGAACATATATCAAAGGTTTGCAATAATGTCCAGTATGGCGCCCAGTAATACTCAAAACGCCGCGCGTAAATATCACTCGCTTTCAAAGATTACACATAACAAAACCATGACAGTTTAATAAATAAAGGGAAATAAAACCTAAACACAACAATTTCTCTATCATGTTGAAGCGTAAATGGTAACTCTATTAGTCGCACTGCAAATTTGGTGCCTGTCAAAAGTGAGAATCCTTCCGGCTGGCCGAAAAGTGATTTTGGGAATTTGTTTTATCGTTTTCATTAAAAGCCCGTAATTATTACCCTGCATATCACATAGGACCAGATTTTTCTAACTGAAAAGTCCCGGCATTATCTGAGAATTCTCTTCATAAAAACGCTTTATAATTCAATGCTATAATTTGTTGTGCAAAGGAAGCGCGTGCTTTGATCGTCGTGGATATTGAATGAGTGCAAATTCTCTTGCAAAATTGTGAAAAACTGCAGAATTATAGGTTTAAATAGGGCAAAAAAGAACAAATTCTGTCCGAGGTCTGTATGATAAAAAAAAGGGCCTCAGAGTACTGTTTACCTGAGACGTGATGAGAAAAAGTATGTTTAAAAGGCTGGTTTACAGGCCACCAGATTCGTCGCCAAGATTTACTAGTAAACTAGACTTGTCGAACACAGAAAATCCGGCCTGATTTTTTATTTCGGCCTCTCTTTTAGACAGAGGAATGCCCACACTCAAGAACCGTCAAGGGCACCCAACGAGAATATAGTGCAAAACCACTTAAACATAGCACTGTTAAACGTATTTTTGTATTTAAACGGTAGATATAGGCATATTTTTATCCCTAAAAATTTTTCATCTGTTCGGATTTCCTAGCTGAAAGCCTAGTGATCCGAAAATTATAGGGATCAAAACTTACCTTTTCGAAAATTTCAGCCAGAAAAAAGGCTCCCGAAAATTCTAGGTGACCTTTTTAGGGTAAAAATCCGTTAAAAATAGGCAATTATACCATTTTTTTGATGTTCGAAAATCCTAGGAGAGGCAGGCAAGCAAGAAATTTTACAACAAATGTTCCGAAAATTCTAGATCTAAAATCGTCTTCCGAACAGATATTCTTCCGAAAATTGTCGTTGGGTGCCCCTGAACCGTCACTGGGCCAAGTAGCTCCAATTTGAAAACCGTTTAAACCAGTTTTCAGTAAGAATAATTCAGAGTAACCGAACGTTTGATTAGCTCGATTGGCCAAATTTTCTAGTCGGTTCGGTTTGGTTTCAGAACGAACCCAGTCGAAATCGATCGACCCGGATTGAAGTTCGACACTGGGTACCATTAGGGAACGTTCCGGAGATAAATTACGCTGGCTAATAGTTCTCCTGATCTAGGCCAAAAGTTCTTTTTTTGTGTTCGTGCGTGCTTTCTCTTCGGAGAAATTGTATTAAGTTTAAACAAATGAATACCTTACAAATCACAAAAGAGCAGGTCGCCATTCTTAACAACAGTAACAGACCCAAGTCGACGAGGTCGAGAGTCCTCATCAGTAACAGAGTTCAGGAATTTTCCTTCCAGAGAAAAAAATTGAAGCCTCTTATTGTCGCTGTCACATACAACTAGATTGTTCAATTTGTCTATTGCAAGGCCTTGAGGCATTCTCAGCTGCCCGTCGCCAGTTCCTTTGCAACCAATCTCATAAAGGAACTGCCCCTCATCACTGAATGTTTTCACACAATGTAATTTCGCGTAGGAAACAAAAAACATGCCTTGGTGATAAACAGCAAAACAAGGGCTCTCATCACAGCACGGAGCTTTAATGGTCTGTAAGAGTTTTGTGCCATCAGAAGAAAGAACCTTCACATCACACTGGTCACACACTAACAAATTACCATCTTTTCTAACAGATACACTGCGTGGACGTAACACGTACTTGCTGATATCGGTTATATAATGACCACGTTCTGTAAATACGGACAACTGTTTTTTCTGCAGTGATGGAGACTGAACCACTAAGATGTTACCAGATGATGTGAATGCCACCGAGATTGGTTGATCCATGATCTCTTTACCAGTCCCCTTGTCTCCTATCGTCCTCAGAAATTTCCATTCAGAATCAAACAAATGAACTCGATGTTTGTAACTCTCTGCCACGGCAATGTACCCAGTCTTCTCACTCACTGCAATGCTGCCCTTGTGACGGACTTTTATTATCCTGTTTGGTCCTAAAGATACAACGACTTTGCTTTGAATTGGAGACCCTTCAAATGGGAAACTCAGACTAGCAGTTGGCAGGTTCTCTTCACAAACAGAAGTAGAAGGGTAAGGATGAAATCCAACTAGCTGACCGAACAGGCGTTCTTGTTTGTTATTGTCACAATAGGTAACGCATTTTGGTTTATAGATTTCCATTTCCTCGTCATTCAAAAGTTTTTCTAAGACAGTGAATACTACATGACACTCTGTTTCCAGAATTTCAGGCCCGATGATTTCTTGCTTTAATAAATCTTCGCCATTACCTGCAAATTTTTTAATCTGTGTAGCAACCATTTGAAAGTGTTTTATCCTAGTATCATGCTCTTCAACTTGCGCTTCAAGGATTTCAGATAATTTTGTTTTTACATCTGCTCTATGTTTGTTCAAGAGGCGAATTTTTTCTTCCACAGCCTTAATCATCTCTTTTTCAGCGGAACAGATCTCTTCCTGGGTTTTCAGCTTTAGATTAGTTTGTTCCTTCACCTTCGCTTCAACACTGACCGCTTTCACCTTAATTTTTTTAACAATTTTTTCCATTTGACTTTTTATGTCTTCAGTAGCATGTTGTATATCCTTCTTGTTGTGTTGGTTGTGAACTGTCATTCCACATTTGTGACAAATGCAAACTTTGCAGTCTTCACAGAAGTATTCCACTGGCTCATTCTCATGATACTTCTCTTTACACGTAATTGATCTAAACTTCTTTTCTGAAGACTTCAAGGTTTTCACTAAAAAAGACCAATATGTTTATACATCAGTCAATCATAGCCTGCTTTGTCATACTGTACCCTTTCTAGACTGACCCGGACCTATAGCCCGAAGAGGGAAAGGGTGCTAAGACAAAATGTCCCTTCACTGGCTAACGTCGAAAACTAACCGGTATGAGGTGATTGTCGCTGCAAAAATTCTGGGAGAATGTCTCCTTCAATCTCCATACGCACCGTGTACCGTCACTGATTTCCTCGAGTAATAGCAGGGGACGATTATTCGAGATAGGCGATTATTTGAAACATTTCCATCAAAGGGGGGCAATTATTCAAGGGAGGCGACTAATCGAGAGACGGCTATCATTCAAGGAAATATACGGTATTTTGCAGGTGAGGGCAATTTGCAGATGAAAGCCACAGAAAGTGAGGGTGGCCCTTTGCCTAATCCCTAAACCTCATTATTGCGCGCGGCCGATGCGTTCGTCTCGGATACGTCACTAAAATACTTTGACCGAGAAGGCCTGGGAAGATGCCGTACAGGGACTAGGCAAGGTGTAAGGCAAGGTGGCGCTTAAGTACGAAGGGGCTTTTGTAGGAGACTTTATTGCGTTTCGAATTTTTTTAAAAAAAGGCCTGTATTCAAAGGGAATTAGATTCGGAACTCTACGGACGGTGAAAGACTAGGTTCACAAGTAACTATGTGTTACAATCTAATAGGCAACCAAGTTGCTTTTTTGAGGGGGGCGAGCCGTCTGTAAACGACCTTGTGCCTGATTGAAGTGAATAGAGGATAATGCCTTGGCCTCGAGGCCGTACGTTTTTCTCCGGAGGAGCAGGGGCATTATCCAATTTAATGCACATTACCATTGAGGAGAAGGTCATCATTATTTTAGCCACTGAAGAGGAACAGTTCTCCTGTTCCACCTCAGTGACCTGCTCTTCCACATACTGAAAATAATAACCTGTTCAAAAGAATGAAAAGGTACACTTGAGGTAAAAAATTTACAAAAAGGTCAATCTCCGGTTTTTTCGTTGTTAATACGTTAAGTTCTTTCCCTTATATTTGCAGTGTTCACCAATTAAGACTTAGAGATCGAAATGTAAGGAACTGGAACTGGTTTAACTAAGTACAATATGCAGGATGACGTCCGGGCATACTACAACAGGTCAACAGGTTGCCTTTCAGTAGACTAGTATTAACTAACCTTCAGTTGCAATTTCATCCAGCTTTTTCATGACTTCCTCTAACTTATCTTTCACGTTGTCCTCGTCTTTCTTCCACTGTTCCAGCAGCTCAATGTAGTGTTGTTCAGCGTCAGGATCCATGCATTCCGTTTCAAGACGGTCGATAGCAGCTCTGTACTCACCTCCTCCCAGGCGTTCCAGAGATTCCCTAATGCTCTGCCAGTGGCTTTTAAACGTTGCATCATCAACTGAAGCGTGCTCAGCATGTGCATACACTGTGTTCCTAAAGTACTTAATCCGAGCAATATCGGCTTCACGGTTCGAATCTGTGGGGCCAGGCAAAACATCCCAACCAGGGCGGATACCAGTCGTGGGCGCAACCAGACCGCAGATGTTCCTTAACAAGACCATCAGGAGAGTGATATCGAATGATGCCGACGAAACAGATGAAGGGATGGTTGGAAATAGCTTTCCCCATTGTGTTGGATTAATAATCCTTCTGCCCCTCAGTGATTGCAACGTAGTTATATTTCCTGCCAAAACAGCATGCAGGGTTGCTGGTGCGTGTATGGAATCGAAAGTGTCCTTGAGGGTCTGGGTACCAAGCTCCACCAAGAGCCGACACAACCGCGCATAATTGGTGGTCTCCTTGGTGGATGGAGCTGCTGGTGCTGCACAAGCCATCAATGATAGTTCCTTAAGTTTGTAATAATATATAGATTTAGCCGGACTAAAAGCGAAGCTCTCTTTAATATTTATAGATTCCTCAAAGAAAATATAAAATCGAGTAATACTAAAGACAAGTTGAAAGCAACGAGAACGGTAAAAGCAACAACAATAGATCTAATTAGCAAAAAAACAACTTGGCACGTGCAGCACCCTTTTTTTTTCTAATTAGCAAAAAAAGAACTCTGAACGTGCAGCAGTTTTTTTGTACATTTCCTTACCATTGTTTTAACGTGAAACTTCTTTTAGCTTCCTATTTACGTGTTTTATGGAGGAAATGTTTGTGTTCCTGTTCACTCTGTTTTTCACTGCCGCTTTTTTTCTTCCAACGAAGTTAGTCTCCGTTGTTATTTATTTCTCGCTCATAACCAAATTTTCTCGGACGGATAGTTTACCAAATTTTCTTACCCATGGTGCACCGCTGGCGCGCTTCGCGCGCGAGAACTAATACTACTTTTTGTACTGATCAGCAAAGGTTTCGACAATTCACCATTTTCACATTGCCCACTCTGCACCTTCTTTAGCCCCCAAAATTTTCATGGGACGACTGTAACACCCAGGAGAAATTTAAAACAATGTTTATGCAAAATTGTGGGGGTAAAAGTGGTGTATTCAGTGGAAAAGGTGAAATAGTCAATTTCGTCATCTGGTAAAAAGTGCACGAGGTTCATTATTCAAAACCTCTTCAAGCCTTTTATTCGTGCTGGCCTCAATTATGTGCAAAAATTATGCAATAGAAAACGTTTTCCGTGTTTGCATAGCCTGATATAAACACGAGAGGGGTTGGGAAAATTCGAGACAGTTGACCTGAGACGAAGTCGAGGGTTTGCATAACCATCGAGAATTCTCCCAACGCCTCGAGTGTTTATATCAGGCTATGCAAACACACGAACAACCTAGTTCCCAGGGTTCTCTCCTACCCGCCCTATGGAGCGGGTAGAAGAGAACCCTGGGAACGAGGTTGACACAGGAAAAAAGTTTTCTATTGCTTTTATAGAATAACTTTCCCGAGAAAAAAACGCAAAACTCTTTGTATGGCACTGATTAACAGAGAAATTCTTACCAGTCGCAAAATCTTGTCCACGAAGTCTTGCACGCGTAATAAGTTCTTGTTTTGCAAAAAGTGCTTTGCAAAATACGGATTTTTCTCGCTTAACATGTCAGTTTAAGCGAAGAAAAATTGACTCACCTTCTTTGTAAAGATTTTCCATGTTTCAGCCGGCGAAAGAATGGGTAGATAAAGTAAACTTGTCGAGTTTTGAACTCGAAAACTTTTTCAAATTCGTGCTTGCGTGATTAGCGCGCGAAAAGCCAAACAACTTGACACCACAACCATGTTTACAATACTCTCATGCAAACACTCCTCTCGGCCAATCAGAGCGCGCGTACTATCTTAGTTATTTTATAAAATGATTCGCTTCAGTATTTCATCCTTCTACGAGATTGATCTATGCACTCAATTATGTACTTATTCTAACTAAATCGAACCCATATTTATCTTTTCTTTACTCACACATTTTAAAGTGTGCAGAAAATGATCATCCATTAATTGAATATTCACATCTCGATAGATTAACTTACACTTTGCATGAACGGTTCATTGGTTCATCGATTATTGCTACTTTCGCTTCATCGTTTTATAGATAAATGTCTCTTCCTTTCTGAGATCCATAGCTTGTTGTTACAGGAAGACGAAGCTAGGATTAATGTAGTTTTAGGCGCAAACCAGTTGGCAAGAAAGTTTAATGAACCAATCGGATTAAATCTTGTGGCAAAACAGAGAATAATACAACGAGTTCGATCAGTGCTTCATTTCGTGGGGACGTGAACCATTTTGAAATGTAAATTCGTCTCCTTCTATGGAGTAGTTAAAGCAAAGTGTTCAGAGATCGAGGAGACATTAAAGCGCGAACAGTTAATTGGGTGAAATATATCATATTAGGCCATTAAAACACAAAGCCAGACTCAAGTTTTGTGAAATAAGACCAACAAATAGTTGCTTTCGAAACAGTTACTTTCAATGACGGCGGCCCGGGCAAACAGTAAACCAGCGACTTCATCACATTTAGCTATATTGCAAGACAGTAATCGATCTTTTACATAGATTTACTATTCCATACTATACACATTTGCCATAGCAAATAACCAATCGGTGAGCTCAAAAGGCCACAGTCCATGGTCGAGGAGGCAAAAAGGGAATGGAAGCCAACAATTTCATACCGGGGAATGATATGAGGCGATGAGACAAATGTAGGAGCTCTCTTTCTGGTACAAAATATCACAACTGAACATTTACAGATAAATTTGAACCTTCACGTTATTACTCTTTTTTAACGACTATGTGTATAAAAAAGACAGAAACAAACCTTGGATAACTCAAATGTTAGCAATATAGTAGTTAAATTCCGCGGGCGTCGACGAGATACAGAGCATTCCTCGGCTGACACCTTACGCCCCTCTGTCCTCTGTAAACGATTAACGGAATAGTTTAATTTCCTGTGAGCCTTCTCTGCAGTCGCTCAAACTGATCACAGGCTGACACAGACTGTTTAAATTGGAATCAATGTGTTCAGCATGACGTATTATCAAGCCAATATCAGGGGTGGAATCCTCGTGACGTGTTCTCATAATTTTGTTTTTGGAATGCAAGTAGTTTCAACAAAAGAATTTTTAGCGGAACCTCGCCATACGTACAGGGGCACCCAACGTCAATTTTCGGAAAATATCTGCTCGGAAGACGATTTGAGATTTAGAATTTTCGAAACATTTGCTGTAAAATTTCTTGCTTTCCTGCCTCTCTAAGGATTTTCGAACATCTAAAAAATGGTATAATTGCCCATTTTCAACGGATTTTTACACTGAAAAGGTCACCTAGAATTTTCGGGAGCCTTATTTTGGCTGAAATTTTCGAAAAGGTAAGTTTCAATCCCTATAATTTTCGGATCACAAGACTTTCAGTGAGGAAATCCGAACCAGATGAAAAAATTTTAGGGGATAAAAATATGCCTATATCTACCGTTTAAATACTAAAATACTTTTAAAAATGCTATATTTAAGTGGTTTTGAACTATATTCTCGTTGGGTGCCCCTGTACGTAGCCTGAATGGCAGGAGTTCGAAAGGAAAGAGGAAGGGGATTTCAGACGCGCGAAAAGTAGACTGGGAACCAGTCCACTCTCTCTGTTTGGATGCGGGAAGCGCACGCGGACGCGGTCGCACGCGGTTAGACTACGAGCAGCCTCTCTCTTTTCTTAGTCCCTCGAGCGAAATGCGCGAGACACGAAAATGGCCTCACTAAATCTGAGGAAAAAGAGAGATTGCTCGCAGTCTACACGAGTAGAACGCGAGAAGCGTGACAGAAGGGAGCGCGAGGGGTGATAGTAAGGAGGAAAACAAAAGGGACAGAATCCCCTCTTCCCTCTCTCCCATTCCTAGCTCTTCTTCCCTTGATCGCGCTTCTTTTCAATAGGAGACCAAGAGACAACTGCGGACAAGTCAGCGCGACAAACAGCCACTCAACCGCAGAAGAAACTCAGGGGGTGACCAGACCCTGCTCGCGCGACCAACGTTTCTCCATATAAACGCTTTGGCTGGTCCAGCAGGGTCAACTCAGTCAAGATAATCAGAGCATGCGCGATCGCTGTTTTGGACAACCGGAGCATGCGCTTTTCCTTCAGGCTCGGGCAATGGGATCAACTGTTTTCTCGTAAAGTAAACGCTCGCTAAAGTTAACTCGGCTGTGAGGGTGACCCTCCTACTCGGGACAGGTTTTCTCCACATAAACGGTGTGTTAGAAACTTGTTATATCACCAAATCCTACCAATTTTCCCCTTGGATGAATTACAATATAGACGATCACTATTTTTTTATTACTGTATAATACCAACCCACACCAAGGGGTACAAATTTACAACTACATCTGTACACTTGATTCCGTTTTAAAAAAGTGAAATTTACAATGTACGAATCATAACCTTTTTTGTTCCAGAAACGATTACATTTAAAAAGCTGTTATATTTCAAAAGTCAAAAAATAATGCAATACAATATCAAAAATATTATTAATCAAATCAACTTTTTTTGAGGCATAAAACTCGTAAATATTCGAACTATATAATGGTGTTTCTTCATATATTTAAATAACCTTGTTTTCTACTCACGGTTATGTGAAAGATATTTTAAAATATATCATTTGCGAGTGCACTGCTAAAACACTGCTATTTCAGTTACAACGCCAGGACATGGAGCCCCATCGAAAGTAAGGCTGTGGTTACACTATACTGGGTAGCTTTTGGTGCCGACACGAAACGCTATCAAGGCTACGTTCACACGAGAAAGGATAGCTTTTACGCCAGCACGAAAATCATATCGGATAGGACAAACTTGACGTCTCGGCCGGAAAAGCTACTCTGTATAGTGTGAACAAAGCCTAAACGTCAAAAAATGTGCCAACTGTATTTGCATATTTTTATGTTAATGCGCAACATACCTAACGATGTAAGCGCTTTAACGCGTTTCTTGAATGGCGCGCACTTTACAAATAAGGCAATTCAAATTTTTTAAACTTGGCGCGAGCTCTTCTCAGTGCATAAATGGCACTACTGTTAAATTGTTTTCGCCCCATAGAGTCAAGTGCGTCGACCAGACCCAACCATGTAAGTGGCTTCGCGCGCTTTTTAAATGGAGTGCACTTTACAAATGATACAATTTAAACTTATCGCGCGCTCTCCTCAGTGCATAAATGGCTTCTCTGCTAAGTTGTTTTCGCACCAGAGTCAAATGCGCAACAGACTGAGCCATATAATTGCTTTCGCGCGCTTTTGACATGGCATGGCACATTACAAACGAGGCCTCAGCTCTTAAATGACCTCGAAAGTCACAGATTTTTCACGCGCCCTTGAACTGTTTAAATGCTGGTTTCCAGATAGCTGTCTGTTTCTGAGTAACAGGAATCTTTGTCTTCTTCGTTCCCAAGCAGTCGTTTCTGTTCAGCGGCATTTCGCCTTGTAGTTAGCTCTCCCTGCAAGAAACGACGATACATTTACAACGGAGGTCGTCAATAATTTCCCTATTTTACTGCAGATACAGCAAAGCGCAGTTGTGGTGAAAGAACAGCCATTCAAGCTCATATTTCTGCATTTAATTTTACAGCAGCTTTTAGTGCTAATAGGTGCCGTGGCATATAGAAGCTTTTAGCAGTGATTGTAATGCAATGCTAGACCAAGATGGCCGTGAAAGCTGCGAGCGTTGTTCTTTTACCTTTGGAACTTTCTGCTGGACAACAGTGCGAACTCTTTTTGACACTGCGGAATGGGCACGAAGAATTTTCTCATTCTCTTCGATGCACTCAGCAAAACAAACTGAGAAGAATTAACAGAAAACCAATTACTTAAAATCTATAAAGAGCTATAAAGAGGGTTTAAATTTAAAAGGTGCTCAAACCAGTTCACGATCTCGGTTTGTAGTGATAATTGGAATTTTCGCCTATTACAGGAGGGCAACTCGCATAAACGTGCGTTCGTAGCCTTTTTCCCAGAAATATGTGAATTAAGCCACACTTCCATACTAATCGTTGATTAGTAATCACAAGAACTTCCCGCTTGAACGCCTATTTGATTAAAAAATAAAAACAGTTTTTAGTTCGACAAATCTACTAAAGTTTTTCTCCAAAACTTTCAGCTGTCGCTTACGAAGAATGCATACCAGTTCTGGGTTTTCAGTTCAGTTCCAAATTCCTGCTCTCATTATCCACCAATGTTTAGAAACAGGGTAATTGAATCACGCGTAAATTTACTTTTTCTTACCGTCGAATTAATTTTGTCAATACCCACAGAGTAAGAATCACCCATGACTCCCTTAAGTTGAAAATGCTCGAAGCCCTTAAACAAAGACAGCAAGATTATCTCACCATTATCTGAGCCCAGGTGGTTCCTATTAAGGACCACATCGACTTGGCGCAGTTTGCGAAGCGTGTGAAGGAACCTGCTGTGGTCCTTATTCCATGGATATCTTAGGATCACCCATTTTGTAGGGTCCTCCCAAGTGATACTTCGATCAAAGATCTGTTAAAAAATAATTTCAAGGTAAACTGTGCAACAGTAAATCATTGCCCAGAACTCACTGGGGAAATAATAATAATCATAAACGAACACGCATCAGTTTTCAATTTAAATACTGTTGAAGGTAAAAGTGTAAAATTCGCGTTTAGGCGGTGCTTCATGTCAAACCGATTTCTGCACTATCTTTCGTCTTTGCACGATTTGCAGATGCAACTCATCAGAACTGCACAAGCAGGTCACGCAAAGAACAAAACACAATGCAAAAGTCAGGTTACATGAAACACCACCCAAAACAAATAATGTCATCACGCTTTTATGGAGGACGTAAAATGTCAATGGAGGACGTAAAACGAAACTTTCTTTTTGGTTTTTCTGAACTTGGATATGGTTCTTAGGATAATTCAACTTCAGGAGAGTTCGCCAACACTTGAAAAAGTGACTGAATTGGAATAACCGCAATGGAGATTAAAAGAGCGCGAATTCACTTTTCGTCACCGTCGCCGTTCTCGGATCTTAAGGACACTACTAATAACACGCGACCGCGCGACTTCAAAGTCTTACGCGGACAGGGGCCGGTTGTTCGAAGCCTGGTTAGCGCTAACCGTTGGTTAAGAGGTATCAAAATATATAGGTTTCCATGGTATTTAACGCTGGTTAGCACTAACCATGCTTCGAGCAACCCGGGCCAGGTGTTTAGAAAACCAATCTTAACACTTAATCCCTGATACAGTGATGACAACTAAGGTAAACGTCTCCTGCTTGTGCGTCAGTTGAGTACGAACTCATAAAAGCGAAGGGTGAGATACTGTAAAACCCACCAAGCCCTCGTCTTAGCTTTAACATATCTAATCTATGCCTGATGGCGGACAAAGGAGCATTTTCGTCAGTACCTTTCTGCCACTTCTTAGAGCCTGATGTAGATATGGAATCACATTATAGTTCCAAACATTCACGAACCAGCCCTCGGCGGCTTTATAATCCATTGGACATGAGAAGAACAATGAAGGACCTACGAAGTAAAAACAACCAATCGATAAAAAACAACACCTTAACCTAACGACCAGTGATAAATTTGGGTTTTTTCTCATTTCATTTTCTCCCTTTCTCTTTTTTCTTCTTTTCAACAGACCAAGACCTTCTAAAGATCTGTGGAAACAAAAGCTGTCTTTTACTGCGCAGAGAGGAACGAGTGCTCTCAATGTTCTTTCTTTTATGTAAATTTTTCGACAATCGAAGACTTGGCGGAAAAACATTGGCACACATTATTTAGGAGAAAATTATGTGATAAAGTATGACCTGGGCCGACGATATCAATCTTCAAAGAATTTCTACCACTATCGTACGAACAATTCAGAATTTTTATTCCCTTTCGTGCCCAAAGGAGTATTGACATTTTTGATATTCTTATAGCCTGAATGTTAGCTTCATTATGACTAAATCCTTCTAAATAATCGTTTACCACTAAAGACACGTTTTGGTGTAAATTACTCACCAATAGTGGAATCCGGTTCGCAATATTCTTCCAGGATTTCATTAAGATGATACCACACTTTTGAAAGCCAATCAAACAAGTCCAGCAGATCTCTACCACTACCTTCAACGCTGATAAACACACAGTGTCAGAATGCTCTACAGAGGAAGACACTCTGTCTCGAAGCTAAGGGGTATTCATCACAAAGTTACTTTTCACGCCCACGAGGTTTAGACACGTTTCTTGGGGGAGGAGAGGCAAGGGGAAGGATGGGATGGGGTTCTCTTTAAACATTTTTGCTGTTTCACACCTAAACCCAGTACTTCTGTGAATAAATTCCTATGGTGTAACCATTTAATGAAACCCATTCAGCAGTACTTTCACATGGTACTATTTATTTAGTATGTAGTTCTAACTTTTGAGTCTGTGGATGAAATCCTATCGTGTTGCCATTCAAATGAAACCTCTTCAGCAGTGCTTTCACTTGCTACTATTTATTTAGTATGTAGTTCTAAATTTTGAGTCTGTGGATGAAATCCTATGGTGTTACCATTTAAATGAAACCTCTTCAGCAGTACTTTCACGTGGCACTATTTATTTAGTTTGTAGTTCTAACTTTTGAGTCTGTGGACCAAATCCTACGGTGTTACCATTAGAATAAAACCTCTTTGGCAGAACTTTCTGATAGTGCTATTTATTTCTTTGGTTTTATAAAACTGAGATATTTGGAATTTTATACATTTTCCACTATTAAGAGTAAAAGGGTTACGTAAGGTTTTAATTAATTGCTGTTTGCTAGGGAGCATAGAGGAAGCAAACGGATATTGCTACGTGACTACTTACTCAGTTTGGATTTGAGCCCAGCTTAACTTGCGCCTCAAGAATCTGCCCAGAAGTCCAGAGTACTGTCTGTCATTAACAGACACACGTAACCACCTACAATGGCAAAAACACAATTACTGGTAAGCATACATGTAGTTGTCTAGTCATTTTAAAGAGAGACTAATTGACTAACTGACTGATAATATAATTGACTCGCTAATTGACTGACACATCATGACTGGCTGACTGGCTGGTCAATTAAATGGCCGAGTAAATTACAAACTGACTTACCAATGAAATGAATAGCTGGATGGGTAACTGGCTGAAACAGACTTACCTGAAGTAATGGCATAAGTTTAGCTCCTTTGAAGAGAAAGGCCCTCTTCTGCTCTTGTCCCGAACTCCAATAATGTATGGACTGAAATCAAACAGGACAAACTTGAAAGCATTAATGCCACAGTCCGATGACCGACTGTTATTTGCAGGCCTGTTAAAAAACCTTTACCCCTCTCGAGATAGCTTGCTCAAATTGTAGAGTTTCTGTCTGAGTTATGTGGTCCGTAGCAGGGTTATGAATGATTACAAGAAATCTACATCACCTACCAGTTTTTGTTGTCGAGAATGGAGAGGTCAAAGATGCTCGCCAGTGTAGCTAAGCAATTAAGCTGTTCGAGAACAATCACAGCAGGGCTGCCTTCTTGAGGACTGAGAAAGAAAAGTATAAACAGGGTACCAAATTTAAAAACTACAAGTAATATCACATACCTGGCATAAACTGTGGACAATAACCACACTACTTGCTAGAATTATAGAAAGGAATAACACGTCAAAGACTGAGTAACTGGACAAAAATAAGTTATGGGCGTCACATCATGACGAAAACACCAGCCATACCAACGCAACGTCAAGCTTCTATGGAAACGATACATCCCGGGAATAGCCCCAATGTTACTGTTCGTGTACACTCTTTGTAAACGCCAATGCATTTCTTACGCCATGTCCTTAGTTTTCAGGGCAAAATTATAATAAGTAGTTCTAGTGATGCAGTGACCTATTTTAAATTTGAGCTGTACCATTGGATTTCAGCAAGTAAATCAAATAGAAAATACCTTGAGATGTCACTCTGCATGAAAGATGCGAGACTTTGTTTCAGCTCCTTTAAAAATAGAAACACGAGAATTAACGGAGATGCATACATCTGAGACTGGATAAAGAAAACATTCTTGTGAAACTTCAAGAACTCCACAAAGAATTTCGACTTCTACCAGTACCAGGGTTACATCAGGTTAACAGGTACTTGTTACTCCAGATGGCTTGCTTACCTTTCGAGTTGATTGTGAGACATTGAAAGTGACCACTGCTGGAGAGCACTTCCATCCAACGCTGAGTTAAAAAAAATATGGGTGAAAATTAGTATTTGATAGATTTTCAAACGAACTTATAAAAATCTAACAGAGGACAGAAAGGAAGAGAAAAGACAGCAAAAACGTTTGTTAATTCTTATTACGTCCTTCAACAAATCAGCAACCAACTATTAAACTCAAAACAGCATCGTCCGCTTTGTTATGACATAACTTCAGTTGCTAACAAACTCAACAACCATTTTAAAATGTTAAACTGATCAGAATTTATGTAGCCTGCGTAGCAGGCGCTAGGAAGTAAATGGGCGCAAGAAAGAACGGGCGCGCGCGAGGGAGACAGGCGCTAGGAAGTAAATGGGCGCAAGAAAGAACGGGCGCGCGCGAGGGAGACAGGCGCTAGGAAGTAAATGGGCGCAAGAAAGAACGGGCGCGCGCGAGGGAGACAGGCGCTAGGAAGTAAATGGGCGCAAGAAAGAACGGGCGCGCGCGAGGGAGATAGCCGCTAGGAAGTAAATGGGCGCAAGAAAGAACGGGCGCGCGCGAGGGCGCGCGAGGGCGCGCGTTTTTTCTTGCGCCCATATATTTCCTAGCGCCTGCTACGCAGGCTAGAATTTATGCAGGGCACTACAGAACAATGATGTCGTCTCGTCGTGACAATTAGGTTTTACTACTGGACAACCAAACCTTTCAAGCCCACTTCTAACTAAATCATTTACTAAAACAAGCAAGGAATGACCCGGGGCAACAGCAAAATGTGAGAACGGCTCGCCCAAAGGAAACGTTGGAATTCAAGTATTTAACAAGCTCTGTTATGTTTCTTATAAAAACATTTCTTACCGTTGGACAATGTGTTCCGCTAACTTAGCTGCCAAGTAAGACTTGCCTAAGCTTTGCTGTCCACACAGTACAATATGCCTGTGTTCCAACAAATCCTCAACATATTTCTGTTAGGAGTGGAGACATGACACGGCATTTCAATCAATTAGAAATATTCCCTCGTAACAACCATGTACTGGGCGAAAATCCTTAAAATGCAAGATTTAAGTTCCAAGACACAAAATTACAGAGTTTGACTGACGCAAAACCTCTTCAGCAATGCTTTCACATGGTACTATTTATTTTCTATAGTTTGTGATTCCAACCTTTGCATCTGTAAAATAAATCCTTTCGTGTGACGATTCAAACAAAAACATATAGAAAAGTACTTAAACATGACACATATTTTAGTTTTTGTAACATCAAATTTGGACATACTTTTTTAATATGACTTTGAAAGAGTTTATGTAACACACATATTCAGGGATTGCAAATTTTATTGATGAGTGGAGTCACTGTGACTTCCGCTTCACAAATTTTGGAGTCATTTTGGAAAATTTGGAGTCAAGTATCACAACGAAAAAAGCCATTTTCAGACTTTACAGCACGTGGTCCTGGCATGAATAACTATCGTGATGGATACACGGTGTAGCTGTGGGGGTCCACTGACCTAGAAAGCTTAAATCCATGATGGCGGTCATCGAGTAAACTTTGATCGTAATTTACCCTCTTCCTGTTTTGTCGTGCAGTATCATTCTTTAATTTTGATGATTTAATTAAGGTTTGCAACGTTTACAATTAACGTAAATTGCATTTGTTGCGAAAAAGGTAGGGACAAAACTGTGTGTGTTACCGAAAATTTCTGGAGTCGAAGTGGCTCCCTGTTTGTTACCGAAAATTTCTGAAGTCGAAGTGACTCCCTCCGTAACCTCTGTGGAGTCATCTGATCAATTTTGGCGTAAAATACGCCAAATTTGGCGTATTTGCGAACCCTGTCATATTATTCAATACACAGCGGCGTGGAGACATACAATTCCTTAAAATGCAGAAAACTGTTACCTCTATAGTTTCCTTCGGTAGCAAAGTATCATAAACGAGAGAATCACAAGAGAAATGGCTTCCATCTACAAGAACAGTTAAAAAATAGAATTGTGTCATTGCAAAGATTGAAAACAAGTAGTAATAGAGAAAAGATAAAATACTTTCTTTTGCATGCCACAAAAAAATTAATTTTAGTGTACGTTGGGGTTGCACAATACTTAACCCAGCAAATTAAAAACTTAATTTTAATATCAAAACTATTTTGTAAATGCAGCCAATGGAACGTTTTCTTCAGTTTTATTTTTTTAGGTGTATTTATATTTTGAAAAGATAAAAAATAACTGGAGTTTGGAGAAACCGTATTCCAAATTGGTAATATTTAATATTACCGTCCCACTTCTATCTATGTCAACTAGCCCAATTGTCTTGAGTCCTTCCTCTTCAGTTGAAAGGGGAAATAAAAGTCAAAGAACCCACACAACTGTTGAAGCACCTATATCCCGAGGGCGTGGTCTATCTTCTCATAGGGTGTTTAAGGAAGGTACTGCTTGGGGACCAGAGTGATTGGCACATGCTATTGTAATGTCCTTGCCATATCTGAAAAAGCTGGGGATACTAGATCCCCACGGTGCGGTCTATCTTCTGATGGGGTGTTTAAGAAAGGGACTGTTTGGGGTAGAGAGTGATTGGCACAAGCTGTTGTGATATCCCTGCCATATCAGGCAAAGCTGATAAAACAATGCTATTGTACTTACCCTTGAGTTGAATAATACACGGATTACTCTTTTTCGAAAGTTCTACTCGAGGAGAACTTTTTCTTAAGGAATCTGGCAAAAAAAGATAAAAAAGTAAATTTCTTGTTATTGAAAAAGTTCACATTTCAAAGGAGTTTTTGTTGTGGCCATACCACTTATTCTACCTAGTATTGTAAACCTAGGGACCAGAGTAATTGAAGGAACGAAATTCTAACACTTGTTCTGTCTAGTTTTTTCAATTTTTTTCCCTTTTAGACAGAGAGTGTTATGTGTACTGTCCCAACAAAAAAATGTGTATAATTGAAACCTTCCGGAAATGAAAATGTTGTGTAGGTTTGTTGTAGCCGGACGTATGCCTTTACGAGGTTGAATAATATCTTGGTTTGTGTTATATTTTTTTTTATTTCAACAATACCCAATACAAAAAGACAACATGAGGTGTGCAAAATATTCAAATATTCAAACCTGGACTCCATAACATCACTCCTGTTTGAACCCCTTGAATGCTGTGAGCTCCAAGACAGAGGTAGCCATCTGGGTCAATTTTATTGACATGATCCTAAAGGAAAGAATTGATGAAACCAACTCAGTTTGCTTTCTTGCAAAAAAGGCAGGGATGAACAAACTTGAAGAAGATTAAAACAGATTGCAATTGTGGGTTTTTGAAAACTTATCCTAACAGTTTTTTAAAATTCATGTTTTTGTTTGTAACGTTTGATTATAGTGCTGTAGACTGCAAAACAATCCATATTTTTTAAATATTCAAGTACGTGCGAGCAGTCAAACAAAAGGTCTTGAGCGAGGCTGAAATACAAAGAGCTAGACTGGAGATTTAAGCTACATTAAACCAGTTTTTAGAAAAGAACCGACGCCCATGCAGTCTAATAATGCTGTGAATCATTAACAAGTATTTTTTCAGTAACATTAAGTTTCATGGCACACAAGGAAGCGTTATTTGAAATATTAACAAATTGAACTGGACAGCCACGACACACCCCCGTCAATGAAGTGGTCACAGACATTTTAGTAATAACTATGTTGTCATGGAAACATTGTAGTCATAAGCCAGTGTTCCACCGTATTCTGGTTGAGGTACTTTTGCTTACCACAAAAATTCTTCTCGCAGCTTCCATGACTCCATTCCAGTCTGCTCCCTTTACAGTGACTGTTCCCAAGTGGATGTCTTCTTTCTGCGGTAACAATGTTAGATTGAATACAGACACTTATTATATAAACACCAATGCCCACCAATGAAATACCAGGTGAGCTTTCCCATGAAAACATCGTATCTTCACATGTGAAAATAACATGTTATCTTAGGTGAAGAGATCACCATTGCTATAGCTACAGACTAAATCATGCCTTTTACAACAGGACAAAGGATCAATAGGATACTGTGCTTTAAGAGATTTAGAATTGCCACTTACGACAATGCAAGTTAATGTACTTTCGGAGTTGCCTTATAATGGCCTTCAAAAGAAAATGGTGAAAAACCTATTTTTGTCCCTTATGGCACTAGTTATCACATTCACCATCAGAAGTTAAGTTAAGAGTCTATTTCAGTATAAGCACCACAGGGAATGCTTAAAAGGCTAAAACTGCTGCAAAAATTTACCTTTGATGGAAGACAACCAAGCATCACAGTAGAAAATCCTCGTAGACAAACATCAACCTCAACCGCATCCCCCTCATCATCATCTGAATTAACTGACACAAAAAACCCTCATCAAATTAACTAACAGATTTACAGGCAGTTGAAAATAGAACATCTTTTGCATTTTTCAAAAATACTGTTTAAGTGCAATGTATGTTTGTCAAAAATAGACAAAAATACAGTAGACCAGGGCTGTCACTAAGGGCAGAGGGCCAGGCACTGGAGAATTCATCATGGCTACCACATGCATAATCCTGGGCTACTTTCATACAAAACAAAAGGAATATAAAACCAAAAGAACTTCCTAGCTCTGTTCAATTCTCTGCCTACTAATTATATATACCCAGCGATTTGAAATCTTACTGACAGCCTTGTAGATAGACGTACAATCACCAATTTACAATCACACCCTGCTCCCCAGTTCAACTCCTATTTCTGATATCACACCTACATACATATGGCTAAAAAACTAACCATTTTTTTCTAAACCAATAAACACCTGTATTTGCAATCTATTTTCCTTATCTACCAAGTAACATGCAATGTCCTGTAAAATAATAATTTTTTTTTTTGGCAAGACTCACCATGCTTGGGCCTATAAAGTTTGTAAAGATTTTCAAGTCTCTCTGAAGATTCAGTGCTACTGTTCTCTGACACTTCTCCGTTTGTTTGATGATTGGCCAAAGTAGAAACTTGTTCACGCAGCATGTCATTCTCCTCATGGAGTAGTTTAAGCTCTCCCTAGAAAAACAAATCAACTCTGTTCATTAATTCACCACTCCTACGTGGAAGTCAAATTTGCCACTCTACGGAGACCTATCAAATCTCCTTCTAACTTGACATCATAATCAAATGCAGGGGTATGCCCTTGGAAGCAAGACTGCAAATATAGCCACGTCTCCCCTCCGTCCTCACTGCCAGGAAAGTTTTGCATGAGAGATGTTTGCACCTCCTTCAGCAAGAAACGAGGAGAGACAGCTGTATTTGCGGGCTACTTCGGAATTGGCGCAGTGGGTGTATGTAAGACCTTCCACTTGAGGAGCCATTACTTGGCAAAATAGCAGAGGGATAAAGGTAATGGGTTTGCCTATGCTGAGGCTTAATTTGCAAGTCTACTTACAATGCGACTACTTGAACTGGGGCACTTACAAGAAGATTATCGAATCACAACATTTTTTGGAAACAAAAGATTCTCAAGTTTTTTTGCTAATGGACCAATAAAATTCAAGGTTCAACAATGCAACCATTGAAAACTTTAAAACGGTTTGAACCTACCTGGCCCCTCAGGAAACAGCCCTCAAATTCATGAATGTTATTGGTCCATTTGCAAAAAAACTTGAGAATCTTTTGTTTTCAAAAACCGTTGTGATTGGAAAATCTTCTTCCAAGTGGCCTGGTGCAAGTAGCTGCACTGTAACGACCAAGGTCAAATTAGATCCCAGCTGAGCATTGAGTCAATTTGAGGTCATAGTTCCTATTAAACAACTGTTTGCTAGTCTCAAGGCTGTCACTAAAGGCTGGGGAAAGGGATTTCCTGCTGTTACTACGGGAACATGATCCAGTGTTCTCCCTAAATGTTAGTTCAGCAGGTAAGGGACCATTCTGATTTGTATGGCCAGTAAGGCAAAAAATATACCCCAGCAATGCACTTTCCTGGAGGGGGGGAAGGAGGTTCAGTGGAGTGAGAGACATGGCCTCACCCTAGGAGGAGCTAAGTTACTTAAAACGTCATTCCCTCGTTTTAAGACTTCTTTTACGCAAAATTGGCCGTTGTTATCTTTACAGAACAATGAGTCACTGCTTACTAATATTACATATGCCTGAAAACTTAAAATCTTAGTGACGGCCCTGCAGCTTACACATATATTTTTTTTTTTTGCTCAGCCTTTATAATTATTCTAGTATTTGTAATACTGTTTTAATAAGAGTGATAGTCTTACAGGCAGTGGATGTCAGTTTATAGAGGCCTATACAATTTTATAACAACTAATCAACAGTGTTTCGCTGTTGTTCAATTAAACGGTTCAAACCTTGTGAACAAAAGGAAAAATAAACATCTCAGCCTACAGTCTGTAATTATAGAGTGCCATAGTTAGATTATTTTAATTTCTGCTTCCCAAAATTGAGGTAACAAAGCTCATAGGTAAATAACCTAACCTCTGTTACTTTCTGTGATGGGAGACATGTGGCTTTTTTCAATCATCTAGATTAATGTTAATCTCCTTAAAGATTAAGAGAAAATTTTGATACATTATCATGCAGCCACTGCATGCAATATGGGAACAATAACTTCCCTGTGCTTTAAAAATTATCAAAACATAGTAAACTTCATCAGATTCAGACAAACTTGGTGATAATTTACTGCAAAGTCTTGGGTAGCCATGGAGGACACATCCTAGCTTTAAGTATTTAAAAAGGTACAAGAAGATGGGACAAGAAAACATGACTGTCAAGGATATGAGGGGATGTTGAGTTTAAGACTTAACTTTATTACCTCCCTCCTTAAAAACAATATATTGATAAGACTTTTACTGTCAGAATTACATGTGAAATGAGATTTGATTGTATTTATTTCCCAGTAGAATTTGTGCAGTTGTAAAAAATGTTCAGCTTAAGAAAAGCTTTAAACTGTTTTTATTAAGCGACATCTGCATACAGGATAGTTTTTATTTAAGACCTCTTTCACTTGAAATAGAGTTTATTTACAGTTGTAAGATGCATGTAAGTAAAACCCACTAACCTTAATTTCACTGATTATTCCCTGCAGTTCGTCAGCTTGATGCAAAGCTACACAGGCTTCCATACTCAGTCCCCCAGAAAGAGCCTACAAGAAGGAACAAAGACATGTCATGGCCTGTAATTATCTACCAAAATCAAAATTTGGCAATTAAATTACTAAGAAAACATCAGGACAACAACTGATAAAATTTCAGCAGGGATGATTAAAGTTTAATGCTCTCTAGAAGCTCTTTTGTTCTCATGGAGAACAAACAAAAACAGACCAGGCAAAACAATATTATGATCAAGTTGCAATATGTGTAATTACACTAAAACTCTACAGGTGTAAATCAAACCCTTGTCAGCGAGTAAAGCATACCAATCTTGAAAAAATTTCACTAAATGTAACAAACGAAAAAAAAAAGGGATTAAAAAGTGCTTTTTATACATATGCTTCATGGAACTAATCTTTTTACCCATGCCTAAAACCCACTAATAATACCACTATATTTAAAATAAAATAGCATTCATACACAATAATAGCCTTCATAATAATAAACAGCACTAAGGAAGATGCCATCTTTCAGCCAAAAGTTTTACTAGATTCCAAATGATGACAGGGCACATCAATAGTATACAGGCTTAAATTTTAAATGCAAATGTATACACATTAGGAGTAAGCCTCCTAAAAGGGTCTCCTAGATCATAAATGCACACAAGTTACTAAACATGAATTTATTCTTTCACACCCAGAAGTGGCCAAACTCAAAATTAGTCCAAAAATCCAAATGTCATGTCACAGAAAAAAATAATACCATTTGAAAAAAAAAAAAACATTTGAATGGTCACATCGCACAATTTCAAAACCACTTTACAAGACATTGTCATTCACCCCAAAATTCAAGAAAATTGCTTCCAAAAGACTTATGATAACTTCACCAGAATTTCCCTTACTATTTTCAAGAACTTTTCCTTCTCCATTTCCTTGGTAAGAAACACACAAACAAAATTGCTCTTTGATTAAATAAGAGGCAAGCTTAAATCATTTCCATTTATTTAAGAGTGACAAAAGCTTAACCTTAATCTCTAAATACTGTTCAAGATGAGTCTTAAAGCCTCTTTTTGCTGTGTTTCTTTACTTCTTGGAGTCTGTTCACTGCAGTCTCAGAGTTTTAACCAAAGATTCTTGGATTTTACAATAATTTAGCACCTATTCAATTATTGTGCCAAAAAATATCATTATTTTAATACATTATAGATAAATATTCAATCTGTTATTATACATTGAATTAATAAGAGATTCCTCAGACTTACTGTCAATTGCTTAAAAGTTCAACTACTTCATAGAAGCAAAAATTAGCTTGACTTGGTACCACACATGTACATAAAGCAAAAGTATTAATTTCACAACATGACCAATAGTTAATTCTAATACCAAATGTACACAGAATTTTCCTTCTTGACAAGGTTAGTTCTGCTTGACATGATGGTACATACATGTATGTGAAGGATCACAATTCAAGATAAATTCACCCGTAGACTCAAATTAAGGCTCCATTTTAAAATGTTAACACTGCATGTTTTTGATCAAACATTAATTTAAAGAAGGTTCAACTCAGTACATTCTGTTCACAGAGAATGATGTTTGAGAGGCAAAAGGAGCATAACTCCAAAAGATTGTACAAGGATGTTTTTAGTCCATTTCACATCCACGTACATGTGTTAATTGTGATCTCCAAAAAGAAAACCTGAATTTTCTGAAAGTTTCCTCAATTATCATACGAAAGTTATCACAAAATTATTTCATTACCATACCTGAATATATAGGTAGAGAGAAATCAACACTGTGCTAAAAAGAAGCTAGTGATTTTTGGACCAGATATTGTCAAAAATGATAGTAGAAAAGGCCTTGAACTAATCCTTCCTCCAGCATTCCCCAAATGGTTTTTACCATGTTGACACAGACTCATGGCTGATTGACAAGTAATTAATATGAATTGAGGAAAATCATGCTTTCAACAGATCATGTTACAATATTGCCCTATTCATGTTTTGGCCAAAGAGTTTAAGGAAGTGTAAAATTTTGTACAGTTGAGAATCTAGTGAATATGTTGTACATAAGATCTGCTCTCGTGTTAAGCCAGTATTTCAACCTAGTTTGATTTAGAATTGCCTTTGTTTCCTAGCTCTAATAATCAAGGAAATTCCGCTTTAAACATCAGAATAGATTTTAACCTTGTTAACCTGCAAACAGATTTTACATACAGCAAATACACACACAAGTGTACAGTGGAACTTACAAGGCATGCACAATTCTGACAGGGCCAGTGTAGGCTCAATTTAGAAAAAAATTTTCAAATGAAGGAGCACACAGAAAACACCCGACAAATGATTCTTGATTTAATGTTTAATCCCATTTTTGCTTCAAAAACAAACACAACCTGACAGCTAGTCAGAATTCACTTGTGGCTTTTTCCAGGCATACCTTCAAGAAATCAAAATAATTTTATTTACCTTATCTTGAGAGCTTGGAGACACCCTCTGCTTGAACCTTTCAATGGCTTTATCCAAGATGTCAGAGTCCACAACTTCCAAATTAAGTGATCTGCGTACTTCTCCCAATAACACATCAAGGCTAGCCTCATCCTGTTCATCATCATCATCATTATTATCAACTGATAACAAATTGTCATTTCCTACAAGTTTAAGGTCCATTGTACCGAGATCAGAAACCAGTGAAATACCAGTGCTGGCTTCCGTGTCCACAAAAACAACGGTGTCTGTGCTACCACCAAATTCTCCAAAGTGATCATCATCAGAAGAGTATGATGATGATGATGCATCTCCTTGGGACTCTACATCGGTAGGAACATCTTCTGCACCTTTAACACTGGCTGGCTTCTCACTGCGAGGCATGTCTGTATTGTTTGTATTATTTTTACCCACCCCACCCTCCCTACAAACTAAACTATCGCCAGGGTAGGGTGGGGGTTTTGGAGTACTGGTAATGTGCAACCCATTCTTTTTTCTATAGTCAATAAATACATCAACACCTTCAGGGCTAGCTATCTCTTGCAGCTGTCCCTCAGTTACAATTTCCTCTGCATCTAGAGAGTCAAATAATATGTCTTTAAACTTGCTATCTTCTGTTGCAGAACTAGTGACGGGGTCCTCAAGTTTGACATCACCTTTCCTTTCTTCGTCACACGGCTTTGCTTTAGGTGTAGGGAGCGAAAAACGCCGTTTTTCATCAAGGCTGTTGACTTCAAGCCCATTCTTTTCTCTCTGAGAAAAGGCTCTGTCTCTGCGAGGTCTTTTCAGGCTGTGAGTTTTTGTTAGCCTGCTAAGTGTTTCAATGTTATCCGTTGCTTCACTTCCATCATATGAAACTTTCAGAGTTTTCTCCTCATTAGCTTTTGTTGGATTATGCTTTCCTTCCAAGCACTCAACTTCTTCTTCAAAGAGCTGCGACTTGCGAGTAGAGGTCCATTCCTTGAGCTTTTTACGTATGTCTTCATTACTTGTACTTCCTCTAACAGCTTCTGCTTGTGTCACACCACTTGTTTTGTCCTTGCTATGGACTCCTTGCCTCAAGCAATCAAAACTCTTAGAAGATCTTGGTGGGACACCTCTAGGCCGCTTCAAATCTTGACTTCCATTCTGTCTTTGCACTGGGCTGTTAAGATGATGCCAACTACTTGGTAGACTAATGGTGTTGGGTCTGCTGCTTTTTGCATTAAGTGGGGGTGTGGGAGAATGGTTGTATCTCTGTACAGATACTGGTCTTCGTTTTGGCACTTCTTCAGTTGACCCAACTTTCATGGTGGCAAGGAGCTGTAAAAGCTCTTCAACTGAGACAGCTTTGTCATTCCCCTGACAAGATGTCCTGTCTGTATCAGCAAAAGTCACAGCAGTATAAGGAGCTGCTTGAACATTCCCCAGCAATGACAACTGATCAACAAGTTCTTGAGACGATGTGGGAGAAACTGTTTTACTACCTGTTGAGGGTACTGAGGATTGCAAATCTTTCTGTAACTCTTTTAACAGTGATGGTGGAAGCAGTTCTTGGGAAACAGACAGAGGTGGAGTTTGAGTTCCCACTGAAGGTGATGGTGATAAAGCTCTGAAAACATCAGCCGGTGGCGTTTGAGTCCCTCTGTGCCATCTGTAAAACTGTCTAGAAGAGTTTTTACCTTCAGAGATTGCCTGCTCATCATCATCCATGTCACTGTCGTTCAATTCCTCTTGACACACACGGTTTTGTTTATCATCTGAAGACGGTGAAAACGTCTTTTTTTCTGTTACAGACAACACCACAGACTCAATATCAGGGTCTGGAAGAACTGTCTGCGGGGATTCCAGAAGTTTTTTAATACTCAGTGCTTCAGCTGAAATTATGCTATCTTTGTCTTCACACCTGGTGTAGAACTCACTGTAATCAGTATCATCAAACTCCAGCCTTGGTTCTTCAATCTCTTTTGGATCAGTGATTGCTGCCATTTCTCCTTCAAGTTCTTCAGGAAGAAAATCCTCTGCCAAGGGGAGTGATGAATTCAGAGAATACTTATCAGTAATACTTTTTGGTCCCATTTCCTCCAAATCAGAGCTCGGTGTGACATTCTTAACTAGTGGACTAGTGGACCGAGGGCCAAAGAGGGCCTCCACTGCACTTACTTTGCGGATAGGTTTGGAACTTGCAAAACCATTGTGGACACTAGTTTTGGTAGAGCGACAATACCTAGGAGCTGAAGGTTCACTAAAGATCCTTTCAACTTCAGAGTCACTTGAGGAGCTAGCATTTGATGAGGTACGCCTAAGGTTTTGAAGGCGTGGTGCCCGGATTTGTTGAAATGGGGGTGGATCCTCTGAAAATTCAAATGATTGTCTCCTTAGAGCAAATACAGGGTCCCTGCTACCTAGCGAATGACGAAATCTCTTTTGTTCGCTCTCAGGGAAAGAGGACCTCCTTTTGTCCATATCAGAAATGCTGGAATCACAAGACATACTTTTAAAAATGTGACCATGAGCCAGACTTTGAGGTCTTCGTCGCTGTGGCTGGAAAAGTGGTTCTGAATGCACACTGCTGTCATCAGATGTGTAACCAGATTGATCAAAGGGTGACAGCCCAGTTCTTTTGGGGGAACTCCAACCCATCTTTTCTTGAGAGACATTTATGGTGTTTATGGAGCTTTGCATAAGTCTTTTTTGGTGAAACAAGCTTCCAGAAGGGGATGAGAGACCATTCTCCGATTGCCAGGTTGTTCTTAATCTGGGTGTGTGAGCCTGGTGAACATTGTACTCCAAAGGAGAGTTTACCGCTAAAAGGTGTGTCTCAATAAACGACCAAGATCTTCTTTTCATCTCAGAACTCAAATCTCTTTCCAAGTTCGGAATACCAGAAATTGACCCTGGGCGTCTTTGCCTAATATTTCTATCCTGCTGTCTAAAACCAGGCAAAGATGATTGTTTGATTTCACTCAGCCTCGGATTCACAAGAATTTCGTTAAAATCTATTCCACTGGCGGTTTCAAGAGAAGGCACTGTCCTACTGCTACAACTAAGTTGACGTATGTCCCCACAATGTGTTTTTGAGTGATCTGGTAAGTGACTGCCTCTTGCTTCAGATGCATCAACAAATTCAAATCCATTGTGAATATTACTAACAATACCATTTGTGTAAACATCAGTTTCTGATGGCCCCAGTGGATCAGAGTATTGTCTCTCAGTTTCATCAAAAGAACTGCTCACTCCCTCTTGATTCTCATCCACAACAACATGATCAGCATAATCAACTTCATCAATTTCCCTCACAGAGTCCAGACAGTCTCTTTGTATCTTACTGTGGTGGCAATTGCTATTTAAAGGTTCACCGTTTATTGAGGATTGTGAAAGGATACTTCCATCAACAGTAAATTCCTCCTCTTCAACCAGAGGAGGAATCTGTTCTTGAACATCACCATTAAATATAACAGACTTGCAGACATTATTATTTTCAAGTGAAAACCTCTCAGTGTCTACAATAGGAGCAACATCTTCCGTGCTACTCTGATCAGCATCAAAACAGTGAAAACCATTATGAATTTCTACATTGACCTCTGTGTTGCCAACACAAGCCTCGTCAGATGAATTCTTGAGGCTCTTTGCTTGAACATTTTTCAACAAATCATTTCTTTCAGTCAAGCCATCTTTGACACACGCTTCAAAGAACAGAACATGTTCTTCAACAGACTTCCATTTGTCACAGTCAGGAAAATTATCAACTTCAGTACATTCAGGTCTTACACTGGCATTTTGACATTCATTATAAGAGAACCGTTTAGTGATGTCTTTATTTTGTTGTTGAATTCTCTCAATTTTCTCAAAACTTGATGGAGGAGCACTGCCTCTCCTAAGCTTGGGTTTGGGTGGCACTGGAGGTTTACTCCTGACTTTACTAACACCGCACCTTGTCAAGGTACTCTCTGGTGATGCACTATAATATAAACAATAAAAGTCACTAGCGCGCCTTGTTTTCTCCACAACATTGCCTCCTCTGTCTTCATCATGCGTGTGTGCACATTCGATTTGATCATTAACTGCTCCTTCCTTACTCATGACATTTTGCATACAGACAGAAGTTCTATTTGCCTCATTTTCCACTGTTGGCTCAGAACTTGAAGCTACAGATGCCGTGATATTATCTTTTGTTTTCTTATTTATCACTTTGGTCCTTTGAGAATCTAATTCTGTTACAGGCGATGAATTTATTGATCCCTGTGAGCTGTCACTGCTAGCACTACCATTTCGTTCTAGTTCCTCATCCACAAAGCACCCTGAATCAGTTTTACATTTGGTGTCTGGCGCACTTCTTCCTCGATTGAGTCGTCGAGTCACTCCCGGTTTTTCTTTACCACTCATATCAATAACTTAACCTGCCATGAAGCTGGTGGTCTGCATGGTCTCAAATACTGGAAGTTGATCACTACAAATTCACATACAAAGAACACATGTTAATTTTGGAACAACTAGTTGCCACAGAGAATCAAGGCTAACTACCTAGGGTAATATGTACTTGTTTGTGAGGAAAACGAGACTGGCACTTGGAGAAACCAAAGGGGGCAAAGAAGAAAACCAACAACAAAACTCAACCCACATATGCCTTAACCAAAAACAAAGGAAACTAAAATTGAAAAGAAGGGGTAAAATCACAAAATGTACACAGGGTGCAAACAAAGTCAGTTTTACAGCTTGCCATTCGCGCAAGCTGTAGCTAGCATGTACTGGCCCGAAAAAAATTTGATGAGCAGGATTGATTACAGTTCTTCTGTTATTCGAATTCCTAAAAAAATCTCACTTGCCCATCGGGCAAGTTAAAAACAGAATTCACTAGCCCGATAGCAAAATCCATTAGCCCCAGGCTATCGGACACTACTTTCTTTGCACGCTGATGTACATAATACAGTAAAAAAAGACTAAGGATAGATAAGGGTAAGGGACCAAGGATTTCTCCAGCATACTGTGAATGTGACCCCCAGATGTTTACATAGGAAAACAGCTGAAGAAAAATACAATCCAAAGAAATCCCTAGCTGTTTGATTCCTGGTCTACTTGTTGCAGTAATTTACTCAGCAGCTAGGGAAAAAACTCTAATAGCCCTGGTGGCACCAAAATTATTAGACCAATTCTCTTCCAAGTCAAACAAAATTCTGTCATTTTTCCCCTACTCCTCAGCTGTTTCAACACCCTCCATGTTAGTCTTGACTAGTAAGTCTGGTAGCCAGCCAACACACACCAAGCCTTTCGGCAGTTGGATACATGTACTGTAGAATCATGATTTCTCTTAACCTTGGTTTCTTTGACCTCCTGATAACTAAAGCCAAAATTTAGGGCTTCCCTTTTAGTCAAACACAGTGTTTAACTCCAATTTTCTAAACTTCCCAATAGTTTTAACAAATTTCCTCTCCTCAGGAGGTTCAAAAGAAACAAGATGCCACTGTGGATGTAATCAAAAGGAAAATAAAAAATCTACGAGCTCAGTTTTTAGGAGATGTTGATAGAAAGAGTAAAAAGGGTTTTTTAGAGGATGAGTAGCTAAAAGAGATCAAAAGATCCCAAGATAATGTATTTTACTGGAGCTGGAGGATCTATTTTAAGAACAAGATAAATAATGAATTTATTAGGCCAAGAGGGACCTTTTATAGTCCTTTATCAAGATCAAACAACAAGGCCAGACAGGACATCACAAGGACATTTCTATTTCTATGATGTGTTAGCCATAAAATATCAGTTATCTAGATCTGTATGCAGTAACTCTAGCAAGATTATGAGAATTAACAGGGAAAAAAAAGGGTTGATTGTGGTTTGTGTATGTGACATGAAGAAAACATATGCTTGTGTAAGCTGGATTTGACAGTGAGTATTACCTTACATGTTACTTAAAAAATTTTTTTTGCAAAGTCTCTCAAAAATTCTGAGAGAGGAGCAGTCACCCATTTGAAATAACCATCTGGTCAAATTTTAAGTACTTTCAGTCATTAAGCTTATTTAGAGAGGCACAAACTTACAAAAATATTATGACTGAAAGCAAGGTTTTCTTGTAGTTAAACTACATGCACTGTAAGCAGGCAAAGTTCACACGAGCTGGATTTCATCATTCTACAAGAATTTTAGGTATTACAAATGTAATTTAACTAAATATTATTATTTGAAAAAAAGCCTCTGAGACTCTTATCCTAAACCTCAATTAGACTTCAATAAACAGTTTTTAATCCACAAGAATATTGAAAGAAGCAGCCTGCTTAAGCAGATTTATAAATTAAATGGTCATCATTCAAAGAAGCTCTTGCTCACTGAAGGTTTCAATCTCCCAGACCACTGTTCATGTTACTATATATGAGTGTCTCTTCAAAACTAATGTATTGGAAAGTGAACAATCTACTTGTGACCCAGTACAGTGTAATTATGAACAGTATGGCAACATAGTTCGCACCCCTGATAACGTTACTACTCTATTAAACATACATATGCAAGTTAGGTCACTTGTGATCAATCATTTTGACCAAGCATAAAACAAAGGATCAACAAAGGCTCTTACCACTAGCAGAATAACAGTAACTTCTAGATCAGAACTTCCATTCTTTGTCTTACTGTGAACAATGAATTCAGCAACTTTTTCAATGTAAAGTCTTTTTAAAAGCTTTTCAGGTATGAAGGAGTGGCTACAATGTAGACATTCCCTCTTTTCAATGTTAACCTTTGAAGCAGAGTTTCTCAGACATCATCAGAAACTTAATACCACAATTAAAGCTAAGACATCTAACAACAGATAGAATCAGCTAGAAGTATGCTAAACATGTCAATTAAATGTAAATGCTTTTAAAATGCGTGTCCACAATACAATGTGTCTATAATAAAACACAGTCAATAAATAATTCAATGTTGTATCCAATTCTTCTTCATGCATGAAGTCTAAACTAGCCAAAACAAGGCCAATATATGTGGCTGTATGTGAGTGCTGACTGACGATAACTTATCTCTGCTATGCAAAATACGTGCTCTGCTGCCAATCAGGAAATGATCTCAAGATTTTAAAACAGATAAGGAAGTCAATTATTAGACTAAGACAACCTGCTACCCCACCCCCCTCAGTTCTAAAAAAAATGGATCACACTGGTACACTGCTCACTAAGAACACTCAACTAACTGATGGTCACAAACTGCATTCAACTATAGTACATATTCAATGAAATCTGCTCCATGGAACCCCTGTAATAAGCATCCACTTGATAGAGAACTCTTCCTAATAGAGGTTTGTATGAAAGAAAATAAGGCTACTGAAGCTTAAGTCCATTCACCACAGGGTGTCAGCTTAAAATTTTAATACAATCATGTACTGACTTGAAAGTTTGTTTATGAAGACATAATTTTTAAATAAATGAAAGCATTAAAAATCACAAAAATCTTTCCAAGAAGAGAATTAGTGAGTTTTCATATTATTTTAAAAACTCTTACTCTGTCATATAAGGTATCTTGCTATCTATCCTATTACAGGAAATAAAATACCTAACATATGTTCATTTATAAGCCAATTAATTAAATTTCCATTCAGAATCCTTGTCTAGCTATACATCTGTGAACATTCACATCATAATTAAGAAGTCTACATTATCACTTATGCACAACTTAAAAAATAATGCAAGAAGACTCTTCTATTGGTTGGGGTATACAACATGATCTTTATTTTAAAAGCTAAAAAAATTCATGTTATGGGGTGACTGGTGTCTACTTTCAAGGCTTGATGAATAGACAGTAACAACTTTCAAATCTGTCATCAGATACCAATAAAAATTTAAATGAGTTGCCCTTTCATGGATGTAAAGTTGTCCCTCAGACACAGCACTTAACCACCAGCACCAAATATGACCATCAATGATAAGCAATTTATGCCCTTTTTTCAGGAAACCCTTCAATAATTGAAGGATTGAATGGAACAGGGGATTGAACAGAACAAAGATCTTTTGGTCTAATTTTCCTTGTTTCCAATGAAAGTACCCATGGGTCATGCTCAAAGTAGCCAAAAGAATTTCCCTTAACCTGGGCCCTCAGTGACAACCCTGGGCATCTAACCATCTGCTCTGAAGGCAAGCAATTGACATGTACAAAATTTATATTATTACCCTGAATTCAAACACCTACCAGTAATTTTTTTCATACTAGATAGTCTATAGCATTTTGACACCTTCTTTCCTCACCCATAAGTGAGCAAACTTGTGGAAAAACGGGAATCCTTTCGCACACAATAAATCACAGCTCATTTAAATAATGCGGGATCTTGTGTACTTTAAGAACCCCTCAACCAAGTACCAGCCAACACTATCAGAAAACACATGGTCAACTTGTCAGCCCACATAATGGCCAATACTCAATTAAAATACAGTCAAAAGACAGTCGACATGTCAACTACCTTATGGACTGGCACTTGGCGAATACATAGCCAACATGTAAATCAATGTGTTTGACAACATTTTGGCTCCTTATCAGTTGCTATGTTGGCAAATACTCATGCAGTCGATACTTGGTTAACATGCTGGTCAAAAAACAGATGGTTCTACTAGTGTAATGTTACAATAAGTTGCCACTGGCATCAGTCAATTGCCAGCAGTACCTCAGTCAACTGTTGTTTATTAAGACAGGTGTTTATATGTCTAGATTTTCTACACTGGTTACAGAATCCTGAATATTCATAGCCAAATTGGCATGTAGGGTATAGGAATGCTCCAATGCCTTTTGTTGTGAATGGATATGGTACCTTAAAATCAGGCTGGACACGAGGGCCGGGTTGTTCGAAACTGGGTTGAGATAACCCAGGGCTAGTGCAAACTTTGAACTCAAATATTAGAGGTTAAAATTCAAATTCAGTTTAATTCTTTTTGCCTACAATTTGATGACTGGATACTCTAAAAAGAATAGAGAAAATTATCCTAGAGAGTGCTTTTGATAACAAGAAAAAGAAAGCCACGTTAAAATTTAACCCTGGGTTAGTGCTAACCGGCATTCGAACAACTGGGCCCTGATGTTTATTACACAAGATTATACTCTATACCATGGCTACACTATATTTATGCAAATTTATTGGGCTCATTTTAAAGAAAAGTGGGGAAATAAGAGAAAGAGAGCTCAGACAGTTGTGTAAGGAAAAGAGTTGAATCCACTGTACAGGGTTTAGCACCGAAGTACAGTGATTAGGGTTTCGCACTGTTTTAAAAACGGTTAGCTTTCAATAATGTAATGATTAGTACCATGTAAAGCACAATACAATTAAGTGGTCTCGGCAGTTAGCCCTTGATGGTGTTGTGGATACAGATGTGGATTATAATGACGTGGGTTCAAGTCCTCCACACTACCTACTGTTTTCTTCCATTTTCTTTCTTCTCTTATTCACTACTTTAAGTTATAAGACCCCTGTCATGTATTTTGAATGAAGATGACAATCTGACATTGGGGTATCCATTCTAGTCACAACCAGTTCTATTGAATATTTGAAGATGACTGAGTAAAATAATTCAGGGTCAATGACGAGAATCACTTTGAGACAAAAAGCTAATACAACTGTAGGTGAGTTGTCAAGTGATGCTTGGTCTTCACAAAAATCATTTGTAACGAAAAAAAAAATTTTCTTAAGACCAAGCATTGCTTGACAACTCACCCTTTTTAATAACTACATGTAAAAAGTCTGTACAACAAAAAGGCAAAACTATGAATTACTTTGAAGAACTTACTTAGTTCAGTGCAAAGAAATGCTAAGTTTGCATAATTGTCATAGTTTGTGAAAGAAAAATTCAAGGAAATAAAACCCAATAAAAATGTAATTAATGTAAGAAAAGCATCTTAGACTGACTTATGTTTGCAGTTTTTGCTGCTGCAAAAAGCACATTATTTATGCTGCTTTAGCCACAGACCACACACAGAGAGGTGTAACAGGATTAGAATTATGTAAAGTATCAATTTTTGTTTTCAAACTAAATGTTTGAGTAAATTTAAACAGAATCTGGACTACTAAAGTTATCTTGGAATGCTTCATTTTGTGTTAAGGTTAAGTTCTTCAAGATTTCTTTCAACTATTATGTGTGACTATCTGCAACCATAGCTCAAGAACATTCTAGAGAGAATAGAATAAAAAGCTCAACATGGTGCTCAAATACCGGCTGCTAAAACCTACAGTTTGTTTTTGTGGAGAGATAGAGAAAAGCATTCTTTTTACCTACAAATGGAGTATTACCATAATATTGGGACTTGCTGTCAGTAGTCTTGCAATTTAAATCAACTTTGCTAATTGTTTGCTTTACCACATGCATTCACCAGAATCATAATTTGCAATTTAATAAATCAGTTATTGCAAGGACATTTGGATGCACTACATGTAACTAACACAAAGGAAGACCTGCAGTTTTACAAAATTGCATTCAATAACAAGTTAGTCACTGTCTCAAACATTTTGACAAAAAATGAAAAGTTATGAAAACAATGTTCTTTTCAAACTGGAACCAAAGAATGCAAAGAATAATTTTCTCACAAAATGAAAACCATTAAAATTTACTGTTTGCTCTTTTAACAATCTGGTGGATTAAAGACCAACACAAGCTTTCATTAAGCAGTATCTCAGTGGTAGTTTGCTGTTTCTTTTCAAACTCAACATGAGCTTGAATTAGAAAGAAAAAAAGTAAAATTACAGCAAAAAGCGACGTCTTCATCAGATTTTAAATTATCACGGGCTCAGACATGAGAAGAAAAGATTAAGCTTCCTTATATCATGTTAACATGACGTTTTCAAGAGCAAGCAACTACACAAGTTTAGACAGAAAACAAACAATGCAAACATTTTCTTTACAAAGGCACTGTGGAAAAATTAATGTGTTCCTCGCCAAAGGTGGCTTTGGTGCCATCTATTCAACATTTGCTTCAAAAACATGCCGCACGGCATGGCACTGTTTCACAACACAAAGATCCAAAAATGCACCCCCATGAAAGTTGACGAACGTGGAATGATTTCAAGCTATAAAATTTGCATACAGAGAGTGTAAAGGAAAAAACACAACAAACCTGCCGACCCATGAAACCACATACCTTTTAAAATATGAAAAAGCCACAGTTTGGCACAGTTATAAGGCGAAAAAAAACCAAGGTTTGCTTTGTGTCAAGCGAAAGACAATACAAAAAAACCTGCCATCTTTCCTTGATGCAACACGCGGGCCACCGTGAAATCTACAATTGTTTATTATTTTTCGTAAACGGGACCGTTTTTTAACGACGTGACGAGAGTGAAATTTGGTAATCCAATACTGCTTGACATGAAAATCGATATTTCTTCAACAAAGGCTTGAATAGGAAGTTGTGAATTAGGTTTCTAACGAATCATTACCTGTCAAAAAGCGTGATTACGTGTGTTAATGATCTAGAAGCAGTAAAAAATAATTGCGTTTTTAAACTTTATCCATTGTCTCTCGTTGGCAAATAAGAAACGTTTAACAACAACCGACTGGAAGTTAGTTTAAAGGAAAGATCAAAATGTAACAGGAATCTCCAGCGAATGTGTATTGCGTGATTTTACAGAGTAAAATATTCCGCATCTGAAGTAAATTTCTAAATTTAACCGATACGACCTGTCAGAAAATTAAACAATGACACCTCTTTTAGAGAAAAATGATCTTTGTCACCGCAAATATTATTCGGTCTGTTTCTTTATGCTTTCAAATCAATAATTTGATAATGCCTGATAAGAATAGCAGGAGGAAGCCTTCATACCATAAAACACAAATTACAGCTCTAACTAAACGCTGTGAGACCGGTTCGAAATTCACCAAAGGTGCCGAAATTCGACAGCGTCTGTGCTTTTATCACTGGCAGATGGCGCAGCGTTCGTTCTCAGCTGAGAAAACCCAAAGAAAATAACTAAATTGACGCTTTCTACACAGCATTGGATAAGCTAAACTGGAGCATTCAAGAACAAATTATGAAACTAAGAAAGGACCTTTGTGGAAATAGAAGACAAGCTTAACGATCTAAGTTTGTATTAGGTTATGCTCCAGTGATATAGTTGATTGAGTAACACGACGAGGATAAAAGCAATATACACTAGCGACTACTCTAATATTAGCAACCGAGCCACGTGTTCAGAAAAAGGGGAAGTGAAATGTTTGTAGAATAACGACACTTTCACTAATTTCGCGGTCAAACCCACGCTGAAGTTGGCCGAAAACGTAGCTCGGTAAATCAGAACTCTTGCTGATAATTTGTCAACTTACCGCATGCGAAATTCATGACATCGAAGCTGCTACTCTCAAAGTTGGCGTGCTTTATCGCTGACCTCAGAGAGTATTTAATCTCCTCCGCACGATCGTATTTAGTGGAGGAATATTATCGTCAGATAAAACTCTTCCTGAAAGCTACTCAACACACGATTCAAATACCAATCACTCAAACAAACGGAAGCTGCGGTTGCGTGACGTCACAAGCCTCTTTGCGATGCTGTTGTTTCGCGCCTTCCTTTGTATGCAAATTTCGTTCAAATCCCCATTGATGTATTGTTTGGCGATAAGGGGCGTCTTTATTTTAAATTGATCAATAAACCCGGATATTTTGTTCGAAGAGAAAGACTGAGTGGCACCTGGATTTTAAAAAGGGAAGGCGTTTTAATCAATTTGTATACATTAACTGAAAAATAAACTGTTTTTCTTTCACTAATAAAGCAATTTCCTCTGAAAATTCCAATTTCCTGTTTCTCTGAAACTCATGTACCAAAATATCAGAAAATATCAGGTGTTGCTGTGACTATCGAAGCACTAATACCCAGAGAGAAACCTTGATAACAGCTATATGTGCATTCAAAGATTCGTAACTAATCAGTAATATCAGTTTTGTTGAATGTACTTCCTACAGTATTTGATTGGGTGTGAAAAAAGAGCTATGGCTTTTGGTGTGAAAGCATCAAAAGGAAAGACTGAACATCCCACGATCATTTCCTCCTTGTCGTGTAGAAAACCGCATCCTTTTAGAAAAAACTAGAGTTTTATAACACAGGGTACTGTAATATCTGGCTCACTGTGTGGCCGGCAAGCGTCGAAAGGGGAGGATCAGAAAGGAAAACTAAAACAGCGGGATTTTGGATGTTATCCACCTGACTACTCTTTGCATCTGCCTACTCGTCGAAAACTCCACTCAATTTCAGTCGGTTTGCTTTTAACAGCGGCGTAGGCAAGACCACAACACAAAAAAAGGATACCAAATATAGGCTTGCATATAGGACTGAGAACCTATATAGGCGGGAGTACCCCCAGGCTCCCACTTACCCTGGATAAAGGCACATTGAGTAACAAATCTATATCTACACGTTTCAAACTGAACACAAGCTTTTAAATCCTAGTTCTATCTTATCAGGGGCACCCAACAAGAATATGTTCAAAACCAGTTAAACATAGCATTGTTAAACGAATTCTAGTATTTAACAGATTTAAACGGTAGATATAGGCATATTTTTATCCCCTAAAATTTTTTCATCTGTTCGGATTTCCTAGCTGAAAGTCTAGTGATCCGAAAATTATGGAGATCAAAACTTAGCTTTTCGAAAATTTCAGCCAGAAAAAAGACTCCCGAAAATTCTAGGTGACCTTTTTAGGGCAAAAAACCGTCAAAAATGGGCAATTATACTATTTTTTAGATATTCGAAAATCCTAGGAGAGACAGGCAAGCAAGAAATTTTACAACAAATGTTCCGAAAATTTTAGATCTCAAATCGTCTTCCGAACAGATATTTTCCGAAAATTGACGTTGGGTGCCCCTGTCTTATAGTAAAATTTATGCTCAAAATGGAGAAAATCCGACCAATGGGAGTGTTATGGATGGTAATAGAAGAACTCCCTCAGTGCAATTAAAGTCTGGAGACGACTAATTATGATCCGCGGCGCGGCAACTCGCAGTTTTTGTCGTGAAGAGGTCGGGTCAATATGTACAGATGCGAGATGAGTGTCTGTGGTCGTATATTTTATTAGTGAGTGGATCGTTATCAATGTTGTCAACTTAGACAGTTTGATATTCCCCATTCCGATTATGCAAAAGAAGACTGATATGTGGTTAATTGGGTTGAAGGTGGGGCCTTTGATAACCATAAACATAAAAATAACAAAACAGCAAAGATAAAAGCGACATGGAGTTTCCCGATATTTCGGTTGGACAAGCCGTCGTTCTTCAGGGGATTTAATGAAGAATCTGAAAGTCCTTACCACTCAAATAGTAAAGGGCTGATTTGTTTGAGGCCAATATTTCGGCTAAAAAATATTAGCCTTCCTCGGGGCCAGAGCTACATTGGAAGGGAATACTATAAAGGCTCCGATATATTGCCCTAAAATAAATCAGCCCTTTGCCGTATTGCCAGCCTTGTATTCAGTTCTGTTTTTATTTCCACTTCAAGTGGCGTCTAGCATGGGCATCTTTACATTAGAGATCCGGCAAGAAAGAACCAGTCGGTTTCATTTACAAGCGTTGAGTGGACCTCTGCATTCAAAGGTTTTTACTTGGAATGAGGTTGGCTCCAGGCACTTTTGACACTTAGTTTTCGGATCCATTTCCATGCGGAAGTGTTCGTCTTTTAAATGGATTGTCTACGAAGCTTAAAATTGATCGTTTCCCTTCCCTATCACTTCCAGGGTGCCCAAAGGTCCCAAAGGCATCCGCTCGATTTAAACTTGACTTTTAAGTCTACAAAATCTTGTTACGTCACCACTTGCTCGGTTCTGCCACAAACGTGGCGTGGCACAGTTCCATTGCTGCAAACACTTTGTGACCAACGCGCACGTTTCCTGTCAGGTAAGTTCCCTCAACAAATGGGATTTTTTTTCCAGTAACTCTGTTACGAAAATATCAATGAAGAGCTGGAAACAAGTTGTCTTGAAGAAATATTTCGTTGAACAAATCATCAGCTTTCAGAAGTCTTGTGCAACCGATTAATAGCTGCAAAAAGAAAGGAGGCACACAAAGAGTCAAAAGAGTTTGTAGATTTATCATCAATTATTAATGGTTATTACATATTTTAATTGCTCTAGGTGTGTAAATTGTTGGATTCGGAAGTAGCGCTTCAGTGATACAGTCTTACCTAACGTAGGCGAACAACCTACAGAGACAAAAAAAAGCGTCCACAGAAAAACTCTACAGGAAGTGTGTTGAGCAGGGGTTCAACTGAATTAGTTCGTCTCTACAATGAAAGACTGCTAGACTGCTTAGACGTTCGCGAGCGAGGTGAACTCGAAAGCGAGCGTTCATCACACCCATCGCAGTCTTGCGCGCCCGATTTCTCCCTTCCCTTCGACCGCCTACCACCGAAAACCGAAAAAAAAAAACAATAACATAGAAGAACCTGCCGATAAACCAGTCATGAGCCATAATCCCATAATGTCCATCATGGCTCTTGACCAGGCAACGACAAACGTGAGAAAACACGATTTAGAAAAGCTAACCTGTGTGTTGGGGTGGTAAGCTGCAAGAGCTTCCCTTATTTGGTGAACTTCAGAACACGTGACTCCTCCGACAATAAACAGTACTAGCAGTGGATGGTCATTAGGTCGAGGCTTGCTCACATTCATGAATAAACTGAAACAACCACCAAATATATTAAGATCAGCTAAACCAGGAAATAGTCTCGTAAACAGTCCAAGTTAAGCAATATTAAAAGAAAAGATGCGTGTAAAATTTAATTTACTTTGCAATTATAAGTAACCTAGACAGTTCAAGTTAAATGAATGAGCTTAATATTTCGTCGAGTCAACTTTTTTTTTTTTAAATTAAGAACAAAAAATCAAGTAGTAGAGACCTTCATCGCAAAACTTCGATAAAATCAAGTTATTAAAGGTTGATGGATTACAAAGAACGACACAGAAAATTCACCAAAATTTTAACTGTACACGCAGCGGTACCAAGTGAGTGAACTTTACTTAAGGGCACTGCTGTCGAATTCAATTATTTTTTTCATTTATTTTTGGCAAAGGAAGTTAACGTTGGCGCCGAGGAATTCAAATTTACTGACTTGTAAATGACAAAAATGACAGCTTCGTATCAAACAAATCTCTCTCCCACAGCATTATACATATCAAACATTACAAACAATATAAATGAACTTTGAAAACCTGCTAGGCTGACAAGTTTTCAAAAACCGCAATTGCAATCTGTTTTAATCTTCAAGTTAGTCCATCCGTGCCCTCTTTTGTACCAACTTGCTGTGTTATTTATACCTTCTTTTAATATTTTAAGCCATTCTTTTGATGTTTTACACTCTCACTGTTTGAATTTTGATGAATTTCCTGACAGCGCCCTTTAAATTTTAAGGGACGGTTTTACGGGTCAGCGCATGCTCATTTAAAATCAAAATGCTGTTTTTCTACCGGGACATGCCGTATCATCTATGCAAGCAATATGATCATGTCATAATGTTGTCAAAGAACCAATCTACAAACCCCCCTCAACCTCGTCCCTTGGGCGCTTTCCCCTCCCATTTGATCAAATTATGTGCAAATAGCTGTAAATTCATCAACCATGGAATAAAACCTTCGGGTCAACAATAAATTCACCGTTGGTAGTGTTGGCATATTCCACTAATTTGTTCTGCGATGTTAGTACTCCTCCATCCTACTTCAGGTTACTCTGAAATACAATTCTACTTTGAAATACAGTCTGAGATCGCTGAGATACATGTGAGTGGGATTATCAACCAATAGAATGAATACTAAGTTGGAAAAAAGTAATTTAATTAATGAGCATGCGCTGAACCGCGAGTCTTCCTACCTAAATCCAGTTTTGATGAAATCCTTTAACCCATGCGACTTAAACTCGATATCAGGGAGCTCAGGACATTCAGGACTAAACACACCATCAATGATCTGAAGACGAAAAAAACAATAACCCAGAGTTTATGTGACCTCCCTTTCAACGAAGCAAACAGAGGGAATTGTTTTTTTTGGGGGGGGGGCGGAGGGGAATGGGGTATTGAGATGGGACAAAACGTTTCCTCCCCTGCTGGGTCATGTTGTGTATTAGCTTTTTAGTAGTTTTTATGTTGTAGGTGACAGTGAGTGATATTAAAATATACTAAAATAAACAATCATTATAGATTAGAGTTTTTGTGGCATCCGGAATAGTCAAGGTCGAGGTAAGTGTTATAAGCCGAGGCTGATAACACTTTTCAAGACCTTGGTTATTCCGGATATCACAAAAACCGACTCTAATTATAACTGTTTTATTGTACATTATTTTGAAGAAAACAACGACACACACTGTCGCAAGAAACACAGTTTGATATCCGCATGTTCTTCCTGCAGATTAGTCAGTCTAAGTACTATACTAAAAACAGTGAAGAGAATACAGATACCGATATTTCGAATTAAGGGGGTAAATTGCTGTTCATGACAATGGACCGAAAAGTAACGACTTGGGCTTTCATTTGCATGAAACGTGCCTTTTTAGGTGCAAAATAGGCCGTCAGTTAAGATCTGGGTTATCCGTTTGGGTTCCCATCCCAATTAACGAGGTTAGAAGAAAAAATTTCCTAAGATGCACTGGTAGTATTCCAAAGAAACCTGTTTGGAAGTGCTTTTACATGGTTTCTTCTCAGTAACTATTGTAGAAAATAAATTCGTGATTGTTCTTCAGTTTTGCTGACTGGCACTGTTGGAAGAGACGGAGTTAACACACTTAGACTAAGACTTCCCGCCGCTGAAATAATCAGCTAAAATATTCCTAAAGATTTAACTTAATCATTCCGCTAGCCTGCGTAGCAAGCGTTTCTGTACGGTTTAGGAGAGAAGAACGAGGAACGAGAGTCAAAGACCGCGAGAAAAGTGGCGCAAGAAAGTCCCCTTCCTTGGTATTTCTTTGCCCCGAAACCAAACGGAAACACTTGCTACGCGGGCTATCATTCCGCTTTAAGACCCTAATATCACGCGGAAAATTACAGCTGAGACTATAATCCGGTCTCTGTCGTAGGGTGCTCTTACGGGTTCCGTACTCACGTTCACTTTAAGTTGTGTAATTAGCGTGACGAACATTTTCTGAGCCTGCCGTGAAACTGTCTAAATAATCACATTGGGCAGAAAGAAGTGTTGAAAGAGGACAAATCTTAAATTTTAAGTGGAACATAAAACAAGATAACCCTATCCGATCTTATTTTCAACAAGATATAGACGAATAAGGACAAACCGACTGAGGGACAAGACATACAAACAGGACAAACCTGTCTGACAAGTGGCTGATACTGGGCTGGTTTAAGGGCTGTTCCCTGTTGAAACACATCTCTGTTGACAAAAACGAAAACCACTGGTGAATTCTCTGCTGAATTTTATTTTAAACAAAACTGTTACAACACTCAAACAACGTTTCGCAATGTTGGCAAAGTGCTGTGACAACAACACAGTCCTAAATCCGTGCGAACAAACTTACTCAACATGCTGCCTGTAAGAAAAATACCATTTCAATACTGTCACATACATTGCTGCAACAAAGTGAAAATGCTGTTGCAAACACTACTGCTGTATTAAACCGATTGTACCTGAACATTTGAAGCTCCTCCCTCGCGAAGTTCACGCCACGTATTTTCTCGAACGCATCGGAAATCCTGCTTCTCACAGTCTTCTCAGAAAGCTCAGTCCCTACAAAATGCAAGTCATAGGTGTTAATTATTGGTCATTCTGTCGTAGTCTTGTCACACCCGTCTGTAGAGTAATTGGGGTGACAAAGGCTGGTAAATGATGATTGGTTTTGCATTACTGTGACGTCGGATGGGCTAATATATTTCGCGCCATTCCCGGTCAAAAGTAAGATGACAAAACCGTGTCATAGGCATTTTCCCGCGCCTACCGCATCTTGCTGGTTCAGAGTGAAAATACTTGAACTAGCGGCGCGTTTGGGGGCAACCTCATTCCCAGCGGACCCTAGGGACGAGGTTAATTCGGAGGCGGAGTCGGAGTCGCAGTCGTAGATCATTACGATTTAGTAAAAGCACCTTTTCGTTTCCGCTTCCGCTTCCGCTTGTAGCTTGGTATCTAATGAAAACTAGGTTGTCGGATTCACAAGCAGAATCGGACGAACTAAACCGAATTGTCACTGGTTTATCTTCCCGCCTCTGCTTTGGCCGGCTGCAATCTGATTTTCACTAGATCGTAAGTGACGGACGGTAAAAGTTCTGATTATTCTGACTCCTATTCCGTCGAGCTTGTGACTTACCCTGGTACCAGAGGCCATTGCCATTAGCCAAGCTCGTTTTGAGATCAGCGCGCTCCGTCGCTGTTGCCGTCACATTTTTATTTCTAAATCTGCCTTAAGTCAAAAGCATAGGGTACGTTCAAACGACACTGGTGAAATTTACGGCCGGTTGAAAAGTCGTGCATTAAGGTGTTCCGTTCTGACGGAACCACGTAAACCGTTCTAAAAATTAGATGCCTAGCCGTTCAAAGTTCCCTGTGAACAGTGTGAAAATATTGAACGGTGCCGTGTGAACGAAGTGTCCGGTCAAATTTTTCTGCCGGTCGAAAATTCGTCCAGTGCCGTGTGAACTTAGCTTTACGGCCTGTTTACATGGAGGTGGGGGACCACAGATAGGTGACGGAACCACCTAAACCGTTCTAAAAATTAGATGCCTAGCCGTTCAAAGTTCCCTGTGAACAGTGTGAAAATATTGAACGGTGCCGTGTGAACGAAGTGTCCGGACAAATTTTTCTGCCGGTCGAAAATTCGTCCAGTGCCGTGTGAACTTAGCTTTACGGCCTGTTTATGTGGAGATAAGGGACCCCAGGTAGGTGAGGTAACCTGCTTAGGTGGGGTAACCCCCCTGTCCATATTATCTCTCACTTTCATTTGATGACGTTTACATGATAGGTTGGGTGACCACATGAGAGATTATATGAACAGGCGGTTTACCCCACCTAAGCGTGTCACCTCACTTACCTGGGGTCCCCCACCTACATGTAAACAGGCCCTAAAACGAGAGATTATATGAAGAGGCGGGTTACCCCACCCAAGCGGGTCACCTCATCTGCCTGGGATTTCCCACCTCCATGTAAACAGGCCCTTAGATTCACTGACCTAAGAACGACTCACAACTGCATTTGAGTTCTCCGCTGAGGATTCCGTTTATCAACATGTTCTGAGAGACAAAAAACATAGTAATGTTAGTTTATCACCTTGATTCCTCGACGTGCCGATGAAAGGCAAGCTTAAATGTGAACAGGATTAAAATTTCTCTTTTTTCCAAAGGTTCAGGTGCACTAATAAAGAAACAAGTCGTTTCCTTACTGGTCAGTTCCTTACAACCTTGACTTACTTAAATGTCAATATTTGTCTCGTTTTAAAAGTGGATTTGGCTCAAACATTATCCGAACTTTCCCAATTTTCTAGTTAGTCTTTTTCCTAAATTATTCTTGTTATTCGCCACTTGCACATCTCCGATCTCCCATAATACATTTTGTTTGCCCCAAAAAACTTTACATAAACCGTGCTTTTGAAGTGTCCTGGGTATTATAGTGGTTCCAAGAGAAATAAAAGACAATGCTTAAGCAAATTTTTTTGGGGGGAGGGGGAGGGGGAGGGGGCGGAGGGGGTAAACAAGGTGTATTATGGGAGATGTGCAAATGGCGAATTTGCGAAAATTCAATAATTAACCCTCTTATTGTTATTAACCCTCTTATTGGCTGAATGGATAGATGGAGATTTGAGGGAACAAGGATATATTCGATTTTACCAGGTCACGGGAAAGAAGACATTAACACTGGGGCGCAAATGTTCTTTCAGCTGGTTACCAAGTCTTTCGCATGACGAGCTCGGAGAGGGTTTGAGGAAGGGTAGTCTGAAGTACAACTCGCCTCATGTAAGGTTATCCGCAGTGGCGGATCTAGGGGAGGGGCACGAGGGGCCCATCTCTTATTTTTAGACCCAACTGAGGCCCGAAGGGCCGAAAAATAATTTTTGGAGACCCTCCCCCTTATCTCGAGGCCTGGATCCGGCACTGATCCGGATTCCGGAATCTGGGAAGTTTTTGCTTCTGGAATCCGGAATCCTGGGCTTTGGAATCAGGAATTTAGCTCAAGGAATCCGGAATCCCTTTAACGATTGGAATCCGGAATCGAAGATCCAGTCAGAACTTTACATGATGCTCTCCGGGAAACTATTCTCAAGGTGACCAATAACAAAATATAAACTGCTATGCGGCAACGACACCAGCTTTAGGCGCGCACTGATTTCAAACAACTGTCACTTGCGTTAGACAGAGAATTCTGGGTGGGGACGGAGAAAGGCCAAAGGGGGAAAGAGTGAAAGGGTTGTTACTGTTAAAAGAACGTAACACGAATTCGCGAAATTCTGTCTACAGCCACTTCTACACAAATCCCTAACCACGAAACAACCATAAGCAAACAGCAAACAACACAGTAAACAAGGTAAGACAGGGGAAGTTGAGAGAAATAACAAAACGTTCCAGGTAGTTATATATATATATATATATATAAATACTTGTATTCTGGGTAGAACGTATTCCGTAGAGCGCTCAATTCATTTAATTGAAGAGCATTGATTATTAATAATCACAGGAGTTCAGGCTTCAGGAGTAATCATTGATCGTTTATTGCGACAGTGCTGTTTCGTATGGTCCGAAATTGTAGGACCACACTCATCAGGCAACTTCAACGATTGACCGTTAAAATTAAAAGCCGGCAGTAAATATAGGGATGCGTTAAGAGATAGTATCTAGGTAACAGATGGATTGTGTCTTAGTTACGTTACTCTAGAGTTCTGAAGTACATATCTGTTTCTGTGGGGGCATGAACTTGCTAGTTCGTTTCGCCTGTTTAGGCTACAAAGCTCTTTTTACAAATGATGATAAACTTTTCATAAAGACAAAGATTACATTTTTTTTGCAAAATTTTTTTTCTAAATCTAATGTTGCTATAAGCTTTACATTTCTTTAAAACTTTCCATTTTATCTGGAAGGGTTTGTTAGAGTCTTGTAAAGTCCAAATATATTTTGATAGTTCCGTTTCATTTCTTCTGTTTGAGCGTCGAAAGGAGGACTGATGGTTTCTGTAACGTTCCTTAAAGTTTGTTGCCAGTCCGACGTAAGTTTCAGTTGTCGTCGCTGTAGTTACAGTGGCTTGGTAGATTACATTTGATTGGAGGCATCGAAGGAAAATGCCTCCAATCAAAAAAACCTAAACAGGCGAAACGAACTAGCAAGTCCATGCCCCCACAGAAACAGATATGTACTTCAGAACTCTAGAGTAACGTAACTAAGACACAATCCATCTGTTACCTAGATACTATCTCTTAACGCATCCCTATATTTACTGCCAGCTTTTAATTTTAACGGTCAATCGTTGAAGTTGCCTGATGAGTGTGGTCCTACAATTTCGGACCATACGAAACAGCACTGTCGCAATAAACGATCAATGATTACTCCTGAAGCCTGAACTCCTGTGATTATTAATATATATATTCTTTATTTGAGTAGAACGTATTTCGTCGAGCGCTCGACTCAATTGATAGAGGAGCATCAGCTATAACTTCACAGAAGTTCAGGTTTCACGAGTAATCATCGTTTTATTGCTACAGAACTGTTTCGTATGGTGCAAGGACCACACTCATCAGGCAATTTTGACGACTGAACTGTTGGAATTGGAAGGCTATATATATATATATATGTAGCAGAGACATGAAGTGAAGTTTAGAAGATGTGAAAATCATATATGTGAACCGCGGAGTGAAGAATTAAATGAAGGATGATCATCGCTGTTATATACGCAACTTTTACAGTTGCGAAAAGAAAGAAAAAATTCAGGCTTGTACGGGATTCGAACCCTTGACTCTGCGATACCGGTGCAGCGCTCTACCAATTAAGCTAACAAGCCAAATGGGCTCCCAGTTGGCTTCATTTAAGAGATATGAAGTGTTTTTCTCTTTAAACAAGTGTTAGTTTCTCTACTAACTATGGTTTCATTTAGTAAAAAATTTGAACGTCACACAACGCCGCTCAACGTTTGTGGGGAGGAGCGTTGCGTGACGATACAAAAAAACGGGCTGCGTTGGAAACTACGTATCAGTGGTCACGAAACGCTCCACGGAACGTCTTTCTTTGATAGTTGTTGGAGGCTAGTGATAAGGCACTTTTGTTTTTTCAACGTTCATAGGCTGTCTGCAGCGATTGTACCATAGCATATGTATTCATCAACTCCTGTTGAATTGCAAGGCCTACAGCTTCTACCTCCTCGTTTGTGACGCTTGTTTCCGGCACTACGCGACCTTTTAACAAAAACTTAAAGTGAACGAGCCTGAGTATTGCCCCTAGAATACTCATAGTACAAACATACACTGTCACTGGAAAGGCGAACCAGGTTGTGGAGTATTTGCTGAGAAAAAAGAACAGTAAGATCATGGCGTGATTTTCAATCACAAACATGGCATGAGATAACCATTGTATTTTTGCCAGTTGTCTCTTCCGCTTTCTCATATCTTCTGCGTCGAGTGGTGCAGACAAATCATCTCTAATCCAGTGAAAGATAAGAAAAAAGATGGACAAAAGTCTACACCGCCAGTCCGGATTGCCTGTCTGGCAACGAGAGGTACAATCAACTAATGCCACGATGAGAGAATGAGACATCAAAACAACGAAGATCCAGCCCCGAAAACCCATTATAAAGTAACATATGGCAAACAGTCGACTAGTCAAGAGAAAAAAATTTTCTACGCAGAATAGCACTTTGTGCATTAACTTCACCTTGATCTCTCCGTCGTGTAGAAATTCATCACCACATGAAAATGCCCAGGCTATACTAACACAAGACACAATCAGTGATATTATTTGAATTATCTTGACTGCTTCCTCTTGCACACTAGCGGCGTAAAGCTGAATGATAAATTGAGGAATTGACTCCGCGATTGCTTCCGTAAATGGGGCAAAGTTTACATACGCAAGAAAGCGATTAACGTCGTTGACGTCGCGGTCTCCGCAGTCAATTTCCTCGCCGTGACGGAGCTTTTCGAAGTTCTCCACACACAAAACAAATGCTTTAAGCGATGCCCAAGCCGGAGAGAACGGATTTAAACTAAAAAAAACTCTCCGAAGAAAATCTGCTACTCCACGCACACTGTCAAAAGTTATTGTCAACATGTAAACCATCAGGAAGACCAAACAAGGAACAACCATAAAAATCACTCCCCACTGAAACCATCGCCGGTGTTTTTCTTTGTAGAATTCAGCCAGTGTTAAGGCGTCAGTGACCGGATCGGCAAAGCCTAAAATAGCTCCTAGTAGAAAGAAGAATGTACTGTACCACTTAAGATCGTCCGTCATCTTTCACCAAATTCAGCTCTGTCTATTACATCCTCGTTTCCAGTCGCCACCAAAATCGCTTGACAATGGATACGTTTACACTAGAGAAGATTTTTCCGAATTTATTACATTTAGCGTGTTCAAACGGGATTCGCAAGCGTTTGTACTAAAATCGTATTCGGATTCCCAACCGTTTACACACATCGATAAATCCAAAGAGCTTTAGGTTATGCGGCGCAGAAGCCCTGTCCCGTATGGTTTTCGTACTAGCTTTAGCAACGATGACGGCGATGGCAACTAGAACGTCAAAAAAGCAATACTCATGGCTAATAATTTGCACGTGCAGCACCCTTTTTTCATACATTTTTTTGCCCTCCCTGCACGAACACCACGGGAAATTTCTTTTATATGGGGTGTTGTTTGGAGGAAGTAAACTAACCACGACGAATTTTGCTCTCTCTTTCCAAACTTGGATGCAGTCCCCAAGCATTCAACTCCAGGGAATTTCGAAGAGTTGGAATAAACGTGAAAACGTATGGGAAAACGCGAATACATTTTAATAGTGACGTTTTCGCTGCCCTCGCCGTCGTCGTTTCTTCAACGCTCTATATTCATCAACGTGACAGTTCCATTTTGGTTTTGCCGAACGCTCGCCCAAACGAAGGTGGAAAAGTATCTGAATTAGTTGGAAGAATTGTTTACACTAAAAGACTTTGCGAATTTAAAAATAATCGGCTACAAAACATTCACTTAAGATCACAGATGGCCCAATACCACAATAGGAATTTTGTAAAATGACAGTATTTGTATGGGGTAAAGTTATGATCCTTAAATTTGTGGGAAATACGAAATAAAAGACAATGAAACTTGCTCTAAAATTGCTGGTTTGCACGTGACGTCACGGCGGCCATGTTGGTGGTCAAGAACAAAAGCATTTCTCTCCTCTGGGAACTAAACCCTATTTTCTTGCAAATTATTCAAGCCAAATTTCTATAGTATTAACCCCCAACATGGCCGCCTTGTCACGTGGTTGCAAACCAAGAATTAGTTGTCGTTCTCCTTAATGAGCTTTCGCAGGGAGTTGAGTAAAATCTCAAATTCTCCCTCCACACAGATTTCACGTTGCAGGAGCTCTCTCTCCCCGCCGCGTGTCGCCTTTACTCGCGTGGGGTGATTTTCACGCGCGCTCGCGTTTCGCTCGCACTACTATCCCTGAGGAAAAATGAGCGACTACTCGTAGTCTACAACGACGGCGACGGCTGCGAAAACCTCACTTAAAAAGTGAATTCGCGCTCCCTCAAACTTTATCGCGCTTCATTTATCTCGATTGATTCGTCAAATGTTGGCTAAAGGACTGTATCAAAGTTCAAGAAAAGAGAAAGAAAGTTGTTGTCTTGTGTTCCCGTCCCTGACAAAACGTGAAATTAGGCACTTTCACGTTGAAGTCTAGCCTGAAATTCATCCGATTGCTTCGAGTCGTTTTCTCCTCTCAACAACGACTGAATCGACGGGCCGTTAATGCCGTCCAGTGACGTCACTCGCTACCCGAAAACCTGGTAGTGATTTTGATTGGTTGATTGTCTAAACATTCGCATAATTATGTATAATTATGAAAAATTTTAGCGGGATTGTCGCTTGATATTCATCGGATCGCATCCCTGGCATTCTTTCGTGTAGTTCAAACATTTCGATAAGCTTAATCTTTATCTTAAACAGCAAAATTGCCCTTGTCTTGCGGAGAGTCGGTAGGTTTTTCATTTAGAGCCGCTTTGTGGTTTCGGCGGCCGGTGATTTTGTTTACGCGAAGTTTTCTGAGATCAATGTTATAATTCGACCTTCTTGCTATTTTATTATTCTGTTAGCTTTTCTTTCTTGTTTCCTTGTTTTTTTTTTCTATGTTAAGGACCAAATAGCTTCTTTTCAATTAAAGCAAATCATCGTGTTTTTGAACTAAGTGTTTCATGTGTGTGTTTATTTCATTGCGTGATTGCGACCGAGTTTGATTATAGAATTCAGTCCTGTTCAGAGTTGTACTGCATGCAGTTGATAGTTTAAACGTTAAACATGAATTACGATCGAAAAAAATAAACAATTCTGTATCATGCAGACATTTCCAAACGATATTTCTAGGTTTGCCACTTGAAAATCGTGTTTTACTTTTTGCATAAATTAAAGCAAAGATCAGAGCAAAGATCAAGGAGTAGTGACGTCACTGGACGGCATTAACGGCTGGTCGATTCAGACGTTACTGAGGGAGTAATAACGACTCGAAGTAATCGGATGAAATTCAGGCTAGTTGAAGTCGTGCAATGACTGCAAAGAAATGTACAAAAAAGCGTGATGCACGTGCAAAGTTGACGTCCTGCTACTATAAACCTATTGCTTTTTTACCGTTCTAGTTGCCGTCGCCGTCGCCGTCGCCGTTGCTTAACCCTTTAAGCCCTAAAAGTGATGGGCGTCAAATTTCTCCTTGTATAACACAACTTAATAAAACAGACTGGTCATGAGAATTAAGGACATGATCACACAAGATGAACCTAACTGATACTTCAACAGATTCTCCCCACTACTTCTGTTGAAGATGTATAGGGATAACAAATGGGAATTTGAATTTTGATGTTACGGTTTAAAGGGTTAAGCTCCCTATTTGTGAACCCTGACCCTAACAGAGGGCAAAAAACGTTGATTTTTTCATAGAGAGTCTTACTTTCATTTGTTCCTCTTCCAAGGGAGAGTTGAAGCATTCCTGACCAGTTAACGAGTACAGAAACACCAGGAGAAGAAAAATGTCCTCTACATTCACAAATCTGAAGGCAAATTGAGGGCAAATAGTAATCTAAATAGCCATAAAATGCGGTCACATTGAGCCTTTTGCACGCAAGATAAGGCCTTTCACCACGAGAAAACTAAATGTGCCTGTATGACCACTTCTTCGTGGAATAAACTACCGTGGGAAAAAACCATGAAAACGTCGAGAAGTTCAAAGAAGGCCACCATGGAAATCATGGAGATGTTGGTTGTTTATCATTAACAAAAAGTAAAAATATAGAAAATACAGTTGGAAGAAGTAAACGGAACACGACTTTTTGGGTCGTTTCAGTGGAAAATTTTCCGGGAGCCACGGAACGTCTGCCTGATAAGGTAGTCCTGGTCCTGGAGCGCTTACAATTTGTACGGTAAATCCGGTAATTCCAGGGAAAGTTCAAATGTTACGGGGGAAAAGGTAATACCTTCGAGGTATTACCTTTTTTCCCGCTTTCATCGAAACGAACGAAATTTCCTGAACCATCTGTTTGGATTATCAGTGCCACGCTTCCTCCCAAAATTGTAAATGGCACAACACAATCCCATTCCTGTTTTCGGCGAGGAAAAAATACCAGACCTGTACTATTTGACGGAAAATCTTCACCCAAATTTCCGTACAAATAGTAAGCACTCCTGTTTACCTGGTCGGTACATGAATATTCCAAATGTAAATTCGTGTTCCATTTCTTGAAAACTGTCTTTCATACAAGCTTTCGGGGCCGTATCTGGGTAAATGAAACTGATTTGTGCAAATGGTGAACGCGATTTCGGAACGAAATTTACTAGTCCCGAATTTTGCTTACCATTTGCCCCAAGCGTGAACCCGGTTTGACCATGTAAATGGTAAACAACCGTTTGTCAACCGTTTATCTCCGCTTTCTAAGCTCTACGAAAAAAACAATCAGTGAAGTGGCTATAAAATTTTCCGCGTAAAAAGACGCACTACACGCGGTGAGTTGAAATTGATGGTGACCGCTTCTTTACCGCCTCTACAAGTATACCTGTATACATTAATATACCGTGAGAGAAATACAGAGGGAAAGAGTAGTTAAGCACAACTTAACTACTCTCGGAAGGTTTAGGGGCCGTTTACATGAAGAAGGGCCCAAATTGCACTTTTGTTTTTGTCGCCCGCCATTTTTACTTCCTTCTCGAACCTTGTCTAATTGGGCACCGCACGGACCGAAATTTGTTCATGTAAACCCAACGTAAAGTTTTTCCGTCTTCTAGGATCATCCTGGTACTAGCATCTTCCTCCCTCCATGTAAACAGCCCCTTACTTGGTGTATGGAAACACTTCTGACGCTGCTTTTCATGAATAATTTTATACCTTTGCTGATGATCGTTCTGTAATGCGGTAATCACCTCTGATAAAGAACTTTGTGGACCATGTTCTCCAATGTGAAGAATCAAACCCTTAAATCAACAGACGCGATAATAAAAATAAGGGATCGTTTTGATTTTGGAGCTGTACTTTAAACAGTATAAATATTAAATGAAGAAGACGTCTTCTAACTAATGCAGACGCAAAAAGAGAGGCTTAAAAATTTTATGCTTGCCAGGATTCGAAAGAACCGGGACCTCTGCAATACTGGTGAAGCCCTCTAACCAATGGAGCTAACAAGCTAACTGGAAGCTAGCCCGGGTTGCTCAAACATTGGATAGCGCTATCCACCGGATAAATCACTATCCAGTGGATAGTGTCATCCACTCTTTTAACAACTGGGGCCTCGGGGCCGTTTCTTGAATGGCACGGTACCTTTTCGGGCTGAAGGCAAATTTAAGAATCAAAACATGTTGAATTGTAGCACAGTTCCTAGCTCACAAACCAGTCAATTTTGCTTCGTTAAGTGATAGTTTCATTATAATCAATTTCATAATAATTGACTCTCATATATTGCATACAAACTCGGCAAGCGTAAAAAAGCTTTCCGGACCCGAAATGTTACCGTAAGTTTCAAGAAACGGCCCGCTAGCCCCGGTTGTTCAAACATTGGATAGTGCTATCCATCAGATAAATCACTATCCAGCAAGTAAGCATTAGAGAAACCAATTGTGCTATTCAGTTAATACAGATTTATTCAGTGGATAGTCCTATCCACTTTTTTAACAACTGGGGCCTGGTCATTAAATTACTTCATCAGAATAATATTTTTGTCTCAAATACCGGTAGTGAAGGAGATTTTAAGACATATAAGCGAAGTGCAAACAAAACTGGAAACACTTCTGTATCTACCTTCACGAGATGCTAGTTTAGGCGATACCTTTTCTAACGCTTGTAAGTGGTCCATCTGTGAAGCGCTCTCACTCTTTAAAGCCATTATTGTTGCTCTCACCAACTGTAACAGGGCACCATGCTTTTGTAAACACTTTGGTTGACCTCTATAAATTATTAGAATTAACAAAGAAATGTAACATGTACAATCACTTAAGCAATCTCAAACTAGTACTTACGTTGTGTACTTTTTATCACATGCTCTCGTTTATAAGCAAGCTCTTAGCTCAATGGGTGGGGGTAGGGCCCCCAGGGTAACAACTAAAATAATAGGCTGCTGCTTATAAAAAGCCCCGCGTTTATACATCTTCAGAAGGGTTTTAAGAGGCCTTATAGATGAAGGGGTTTATATCCAAGGGGCCTATAACTGGAACAAAAAAGCGCTTCAAAGCAAGCTATAGCAGTGCTAAAAAAACATGAAATTCGTTTTGCAATTACTGGGGTTTAACAAAGCTTCAAAATTTCACAATTAGACTTAGTCGAATTTAGAGGGAGGCCCATAATTATTGGAGCAAGAGGGGCTTATATTTGGGGAGACTATAAATTAAGATGTTTTTCTTGTTTACAGGTAGATGGGCATTGCCCTTTAACTAAGGGAGCTTATAAGGGGCAGTTTAGGGCAACAGTTCTAAAAAAAGCTAAATGAGCCCTGTTACACACCTAAAATGTTCTGTCATTGTTTTAAGCTGTTCTACTGTGACTTTGGTTTGCACTCCAACTTTACTTTTCTGCATCAGTGATTCTCTGGACAAAGCTTCTTGGAGCTGCCTTGAAATATCCACCAGACTTTCCTTCATTTAAAGGAAAAACTTACATGTACATTACACTCCCAAGAATAAGGCTATTCACAGTCCCCTAGTATTCCGTGAGATCTTCAAGATTGAGCACTCACTGTTACCGGCAGCCATTTTGTAATTGGAAATGTACTGAGGGGGCAGGTGATGGGGTTTACAATGGTGCTGTCCCCTGCCCCCTTAGTAGATTAGATAGTCATCTTCCAGTTTGATTCTGTGAAGATGGCCGCCTGTAGTGCATGCTTTCGACAATCTTACTGAAAAATGGGGGACTGTCGACAGTCCATCCAAAAATATAATAAATTCAAAAATTAAATTTACATTGTAGACTGTGCTTTATGAGTTATGAACAAAGCTTTTCTCAATTGAATATCCAGGTTTCTTCCAAAAAAAGTGGATATCCGTTGTAGAGAGGTGGCCATTGTGCCGAGGTGCCGTTAGTGGAGGTTCCACTGTAATAATCAATATGCCACTATACAGAGTTTTACACAGAGCGAAGAATCCACAACAACAACAGAGGCATCATAATACAGTTGCTCAGTGTTATACAGAAATACAAACAGCTTTACGAGGTTACACACAGCTACACAAAGTTATAATTAATATGGTTACATCCTCTTTCGAAACAGATACCTTTTGTCTCTTGGTGATCATAGAGCAGAGTAGAGCCTGGGTAGGAGGGTCTCTTGGGTGTGCTAAGCAGCCAGGTGCTACAGTCTGAGGAGTGGAACTAGAAACCAGAAATTTCTTTGAAATTAACTTGAAATTATATTTCATTTTCCACTAAATGTAAACCAGAAAAACTACACTGAACAAACTGCTTTAACCCTTTAACTCCCAATATCCACATACAAATTCTCCATGCTGATTCCCTTGCTTTTCCCTAAAGAATCAGTTGAGAGAATTTGATAGGAAATCAGAGAATTTTCTCTATGTTGGTCATTTTCTTCATTCTCATCACCTTTTCCCTCGATTGTACCGTGTTATTAGAGAGCTTTACATTTGAGGACAAGGACGACCATGAGTACAAGATTTTACTTTAAGTTTTCCGCATATCCATCCCCTGGAAAGCTAAATTTAATGTTTTTCACCTGAGAAATTAGTGGGGTTATTTTTATTGGAGAAGGTTTAGCCCTTGTGCGGTTGCAAAATGATTAAACTTCTAAGATTTGTGTAATTTGTCCCTGCCATTACGACATGCTGCTAAAACTCGTACTAGAATGACGATGGCTACCACATTTTCCCAACAAAATAACGTTTGCTCACACGCGAGCACTACTCAGTACTGAGAAAATCTCAGAATCTAAAGCTCTCTATTGTTAGGAGAAATTTGATTTCAGTTACCCTTGTGACTTAAAGGATTAAGCTGAAGCCATTAGCCTAATTACCTTACCTGCCATAACAACAAAGAGGAGACATGTCCACCGCCACATCACTTGTGTGCTGTGGTAACCTTGGTAACAACTGTATGATTCTGTCCGCTAGTGCGTCAAATGAGTGACCCGATGGACCCGCCAGATCAAGTGTTCTGTCAATCAAAATTAAGGATCCCCTACTGCTGGAACTCTACGAAAATATGAAAAAGAAAATCACACCCTCATACGCCGTAAATCAGGTGTTATTTATCCATCTTTCCCATAAAAGTCATGTTCTACTGGCCGCACCTACCATCTAATCCTAAGATCCTAAAAGCTTTCCACAAAACTTTTCCCACTGAATTGAAGCCTAGTTAATGTCTACCAAAGGAAAGAGAATGAGGTGATAAAAGTGCAGGAAAAGAGGGAAGGAAAAAAGGCAAGAAGCAAAAGTCAAGACTGCTGTGTCACTTTTAAATCCAAACTCCTCCAAATTTTGCTCATTGCACATGCCTGAGGGTCCGAAGCTGATATTTTGCATCTGGAACAAATGAACACAAAAACTATGACCTGTAAATCTTTTGGTAGGTTTTATTTTTTCTTTATAGCAAGTCAGAGACCTGAAAACAGCTCGACAGTAGCTTTTATACACATTCTTTGGCAAAATTTCCAGAACCAATGGGTTAAAGAAGACTCTTGAGTTTTAAGTCAAGAAATCTCATCACTTGACTGAACTCTTGGGACACAAATTGGATGGACAAATGAAATGAGATTCTATTTGCAACCTACATCGTATTCACTTTCTCACTCTGGAATATGACTCACTATGACCCCTCAATCTTGCAGAAAAATGAGCCAAGTAATGGTTTTCAGGGGTTTGAATAATTTTATCCACAGGGTGAGTAGATAGCTGTGACCAGGAAAGGGGGCCATAAGGCCATTTTTCACTAAAATCTAACAAACACAAACTGCACCTTTCTTCTCATCCTTGCTGCTGGTAAGTTAGCGAGTTCTGTAGCAATGACTTTACTGAGGTAACCTACACCATAACAGTCCTCATTCACGTCTAAGAGTTCAAACAAACTGTTCAAACCAAATGCAAACATCTGCAACAGAAATTTAAGAGAAACACTGCATACTAGACTACATACTGACCTTATTTTCTTAATTCTACTGAATGTTGCACAAGCTACAACCTCGCACAAAAAGCTACAGACAGTTCAATATATTTCCTTGTTTTGTGCCACACTGCCATCTCCTCCAAACAGAAGTCACCACCCGCCCCACCCCCACTTAGTGTTGTTTTGCTCTAAAATCCATTATTCTGGTGTTACCAAAAGCAACTTTTTGGCAGAGGGAATGAGGTTGGGGTGGGATGTTCATTCATTAAGCAACAGTTACTAATTTCTGTGATGTGTCTCAAAAAGTTTCGTCCAAGGTAGTAGCAAAATTGCCCATAAGGCTATCCTTGAGAGGGGAAATTACACAAACTGTCATTCACCTGTGAAGTTAACAACATTACAAACACGTTTAGAGATCCATGGCTGAGGATTCTCCACTAGAGGATAAGAAAGTGATCTTTGTGAAAAAATTTTCTAGTTCCTTTATTCAAATCATGCTTTCAACCCAATAAGCACCCACCTTGATTTTAAGTTGCAAATTATGAGGAAGAGAAGACATCTCAAAATCATTTAGGCCATTGAATGTCCTCTTGTCTCCCTAAAGAGCATTAACACTTAAAACAGTTACTTACACTGCTATGGAAAAAAGTTAAAGGGCTCAACTTGACCAAACATCCCTATTAATAGCTGCAACCTTGCTGTCAATGACAAACTTAATAGCTACCCTTATTGATCAAAGAACTTCATGCTTTGAGGGCATTTTCAGCTTCTTCTATGGATGAAGTTCAAGTCCGTATAGATAGCTATATATCGTAGAAAGTTAGAAGTGGCTCAAACTGTGTGGCAGTTGTAGGCTACGATATAAGCATTAGTATTATTTCTGGTTTCTTTATTTCCATCTTGGAGTCTTGAAATTTACTTCAAGTTCTTAGATTTTTAAACCAGGGTCTCAGTATCTCAGTAATCTCACATTTTAGAAGTACCCACCACCTTTATTTTGGTTCCAAAAATACCCAGAAAAAGAAACTAAGAACCTTAAAACAGTGAAGGATACTTGAACTCGTCTTTTGAAAAATGGCACATCTATGATAAGAAGGTTAAACTTAAATAACAGTCTGATTACCGTACTCCTGAGAAATTTTTGTAGCCTTGGAACATCTGACGGCAAAAGTGGAAAGAAGGATGAAAACAAAGGACTGATGAATAGCCCAGGACAAACCACAGCAGCAAACAACGGCACATAATGAACATCCACAGTGGCATACTGCAGTCAATAAGAAACAACAAAAAAAAGGTAAGCCCAGCTTTCTAAAAACTTAGTTTTGTTCCTGCTTAGACCTCCAGATAAAAGGTATGAAGCTCTCACCATACTACCTCATTCCCCTATGCCGCCCACACCCCCCAACACACTGCCACCCCAAGAAAAGGAATTGTGTGTTTGATTGTTCTTCAGTTATATGGTGGTGATAGAAATACAGTGAAAGAAGCTTAGGGTCAAACAGTGATATTATTACCTCTGCGTACAGCATTCCTAATGCATAAAAATCCCCAAAGACACAAAATAATTCATGGCATGCAAAAGAACGATTAATCGATTGATTGAAGATTTTTTCATTGGTAGAACATCCTGTTCGTGTGATTTCTGTGGCTGTTGACAACAAAATAAGAATAGTTTTACTTGCCATATTGCCCATCCATTCCCTCAGCTTTTGTGACAATTCCCCAAATGGTGACACATCAGTAACATCTGCATGTCTGGCGAAGCTATGTACATTTTCTGGTACAGTACAAAGAATTGTACAGTGCTGAAAATCACTGGATTCGACAATAGAATGGACCAAATCCAGTGTTTCACTTTGAAGTAGTGTACCAACAATAAAGACAGCCTTTGTTTCAGATTCGTTCCCACCCTGAAATGAAACGATTAGGTTTAATTTCAATTTCTAGGAGTGAAAGGAAACATACTTCAGCATGTCGATGTTGCAAAATATCTTTCACCCTTTACTTTGCTCCTTTTCAGTCAATGGCTGGAACCTATTTTGGGAAAGTTAAAAGAGAGTTTTGTACGCTCAAATTTCAAGCATAATATATAGTTCAAAATTATGACGTCTGGGCAGTGGCGAAAACGTCGTGTAAATTTTTGTTGAATCTTTCTATAAATTTATCCTTCCACAATTTCGGTGAGAATATGTACATTGAGGCCAATTAAATTAAATGGGGATTCGTTAATGTATCTAGTGTTTAAGCTTTGCTTAAGCTAATATATTGAAAAAACTATTGCGCCGAAGTACTCACTCTTGCTGATGAAATGTCACAGACATTAAGTGCACCTGCGTCTATAAAATCTTGAAGACTACCACACCAGTGTATCCATTCAGCTGTTCTGCTGTCAAGATAGACCAAAGCATTGTTCACAACAGTTAGAATTTTTTGCCAGATCGTGCTAATTCCACGTTCGATAGCACTTTTGGCCGCCATATTTAAAACATGCTGGTACCCAGTCTCTGCGGCGCATGGGTAACAGGTGGGTGGGAAAGGTGGGAGGGTGAGTTATCTTAGAGTGCAAAACATACAGTGGCCTGGGACAAGGCTCGGAAAACGGCCAAAAACGGTATAAAAACAAAAACAAAAAATCGGCGGGCGAAGCGAGATGAGCGTCCTGAGACTTTGTTCCCCAACTAGCCTGGCCCCAGGCTAGCACAACAGCAGTGAGCAGCAAAACTACATGTATTATTCTTCACTTGCCATATTTGGAAAATGTATGCAACGCCGTAAACTGCCGATTATAAGCCCTACATCTTCGTAAGGTTTTATTAGGACTTATTAAGAGGGGGCGAGGGGACTTACAACCGGTGGAATAGAAACAGGCCTTTAATTTTGCATTAGTTGATCACGTGATCAACTTTCGGTAAACACGAAAACAATTCAATTTGTTAGCACAAGCTGAAAGAACATATTAAAATTAGGTATCCTGAAAATTTTCAGCTGTATATCTCAAAAGTAGCGATTGCAACGGCCGCCGAAAATTAGAAGGATTTGTATGAGAAAACCAACTCTTGCCACCACCACCACTCTTGCCATATTATTTATTGTAACTTAGAATAGTTTCTTTCCTTTCCTTTCCTTTAACTTTTATTTTTCTATTGTAATCAATATTTTTATTAAATAAAGTTGAAGTTGAAGTTGAAGTTGAAGTTGCCACCCAGTCACGCTTGAGTTGTTTTTCATACAAGTCCCTGTAGACCTTGTAAATTCTGGAATTCTTAAATTGTCGTTAAATCTTTCTCTAGTTTTTGGTGGCCGTTGCAATCGCTACTTTTGAGATATACGGCTTAAAATTACCTAATTTTAATATGCTCTATCAGCTTGTGCTAACAAAATTTTTCAGAAGCGAACTGTTTTCGTTTTCACTGAAAGTGGATCACGTGATCAACTAATGCTTCGAATGCAGTATTGCTGATCCAACTCCATTCTGCATGCACTGGTCTTAAATTAACCTTCAAAACGTCATAGTAAGAGAGGGCTTCTGGGGGGGGGGGAAGGTGGCTTGTAATCGGATGTGTATTTTTTTGTTTTTGTTATAGACAACTTTTGTATCTCGGGCAGGATGTGACCAGTTGGCTGATGGACAAGCCTCCCTCGTTTTTTGGCTCTTCACGCAATTCTCCCCATCTTGGGGAAGGAACACGTGACGAAAACTGCGTGGGAGGCTACTGTACCGATGGACCAATCCTTGAATCAATCTTCATGTAGTGTATAGGGTGACAGTCATTTGGAGAAACTGCTTGGGGAAAAGAATCAGGAAACAATTTGTAGTTCTCGTATTCGTAATTATAGCATTTTCGAAAGTTACACGACCTCTCTTGAGTTTTAAGCTCATTTCATTTGAAACAGATTGTGTATTATGAGCTTATACGCAATGGGCTTAACCCCCTATCCATTCACATACGCTCTGCCTAGAAAAGGTGACACAAATTAGTAATCAAACTTTTTATTTACTGCTGATATATTTGGGAGAAATGGCTTTTACACAACGTCATCTTTGCAATGAGATGTGAGTTCAGAGGAAGAAACGCTATCGCGCCTGGGTGTTTCCCATCGGCTCATTCGACGACCAGTGTTGTTTTTCTCAATGTAAATAACACTCACACAGCTGTCAAACTGAATAGCTTTCTTTTTCTCTGAGAGAACGCCAGGCACTTTAGAAACAATATTGTCTAGTTCATTTTCCATGTGGAAAATATCGCAGTTCTTAAATCCATAAAACAAGAGCCATTCTTGATTGATTTTCCTTAACTTTTCTGGGTCAATCCTGGGTCCTTTCGCAAGCCTTTCTTTTCGCCTCTCACGAATGTTTTGACGCTTCTTTTTCCATATTTCAAAATCAACATGAGTGGCTATTTCTGAGTTGTTGTCTTTCGGGAGCCCAATGGTAAAACTAACTTGCGCTACCCTGTGCTGGGCTAATCGTAGCCTTGCTTGCGTGATGCGGTTGACGTAAAGTGGTGTGACGAAAGATGGTGTGACGAAATAGTTTTGCTCTGTTTTGGTTCCAGTCTTCTTCTGAGAGTGAGCCTTATACTTAGGCCACACAGAACTCTTAGCACTCATAGCAATAAGTGAAAGCGTTAACAGACTGCCAAATACAGTGAAAAATGATGGCAAAAGGAAGTCTGAAACAAACAATAAGAATCAGACTGAGACTATGATTCACTAGAATTTGTTTTATCTATTTAAGTTATTTTAACCCACCAAGCCTCCCCTATAATTGCTCGTGTGAATCTACGTTCCTTGTATTACTTGTTGCACCATCAGGTTGGACAGTTAATGTAAGGAAAACTTTGTCATCTAACTCGTGCAGGAGTAAGAAGTATCTTTCAAACCATACCAGAATGAGCATGATTCAGTTAAGGAGGTCGAAGAAAAAAGGCAAAAATTACAATGAACCTCTTGTTCCACTACCCCGCGTGCACTTCCTTACATCTAACGTTAAGATCCTATAAAAGCCTTCTCGACAGGAACTAATCTTACCGAAATAAAGTCTTCTAAATTCCCAGCAAAAGAAAGAAAACGAGTTCAGAAAAGCGAAAAAGAGGGTAGGAGAGAAAACGAAAGGTAAAAGTCGAGACTGCTTTGCCACGGCGTTTTGGTTCTTTAGAGCCAGACAGTGACCAACAGCCTACGCTGTAGAGCATTTTTTTAAAATAATCCCTTTAACACCCAAAAATGGAACCACTTCACGAGTAGCTAACTCACCACTGCGCAAGGGTAGACGATTCAAAGGCCAGGTATTACCATCTAGAGCATGACTGGACTGGGAAACTGACTGACCAGTGGGACTTGCTGTTGCTAGCAAAATGAACATCAAAATGATTCCACTCTTCATTGTGATTTCCCTGTTGTAAAACAAAATAGTGCATCAACAATATGTCTTGTTGAATCATTAAAGCAACAATAGGACCAAAAAAAGAAATCTGCAAAGGTTCCCTACCTGCCAGAGAATTGCTCTCAATGTAAAAATATTTCTCTCGTTTGCATGCAGACCGAACTTGTGCGCGGACAAATTCAGAAACACTAGTTTCAGTCGGAAGAAGGTTTCCTGCAACTTGAAAAGCCAGCATTTGTTTTCCTTTATGACATCATTTTCATCTCTATTACGTATGTTCCATGATCTCGCGCGCGTTTGTGCGCGCACGAGATAGAACTTGAATAACTCATAAAGAAACAGTTCCTACACAAATAAAGGGGTGTTCAAAGGCAACTTGCTGGTCAGCAAAATTTAACTTCTTTCTATTTTCTCTTATTTCCTGTCAAGAGTAAGAGGACAATTCATTTTCTAAGGAGATCCGCGGTTGCACTTTTTAAGGCTGTCACAAGTTGAAGCTCTGAGAAAACGAAGGCTTCAACACACGAATGCCTATATGTGCAACACAGTCAAAAAGACTGACTAAGTCATTTAAAAAGACCAGTGGTATTACAGTGGTGTTACTAGTACGCCGCAAGCACAGCAACACATTCAGACGCGAGTACCTTAGTGCCTATGGTGTTAAATGGTCTGCTCTTTAACTGCGTCTATGAATGATTATATGCATGTTTGGTCGCAACCAGGCCGTGAGTGCTTTGTGAAATTTCTAAAATTACTCTAGAAACGGCCAGTAATCGGCACAGATAATCTGTATAACAAGTGTTTTGAAGCCAAGCACAAACCGGGAAGTATTTTCAGACGCCAGCGAGAGAGAGGAGACGAGGGTGTTGTACGCGGCGTGGGAACAGAGAACAACCTGTTTTTTACACAAGCACCTTTCCCATTTCATGTTTGGCTAAACAGAAACCTTACGATACACTCTTATTGGTGTACGGGAGTGTACCGCATTCAAAACCGTAGTCGTAAATACCTACAGACCTGTTTCTTACCCCTGCAAGAGAAACGGCTAGACTACTCGATAGAACAAGGCAATATCACACTTGGAAAAAGATGGTCACAATTCAAGTAGTATAGTAGGGATGAAATCATCCGTTTTTTTGCCTAGGAATCTCATTTACTTGTACAGGAATATATAAACGGCGCCAATGACGTCCTATCCTTTTTTCTTTATCAGCTCATGAATAAAATGCGGGGGATTCTCATAATCTTGCGGAGGAACCTACATTAACCCGATGCCGCTATAGCCTGGGGCAATTTAGTATTTGTTGTCTACAGTAATACGTTTACGGCTCAGTAATTTTAAATCACCGACGTGTTTGAACTCCATGAATTAACCAGTGAATACTTTTCTTAGTTTCTAGCCAACTAATCGAACACCAAGACATTCATAGACCTTGAAATAACTAGGAAACCTGTCAAACCGGTCAAAAAACCTAAAAAGAGCACATGACCATAACTTATGAGATTTCCTCGTATTCTATTCACGAGATTAAGGCAAAAGACTAAAACGTCAATGGCGATAATGTATTTCTGTGCGAGTTAATCAAATTCATGCGCAAGAAAACAGATAATTTTATCCCTAATACTGTCACATCGTATCCCTGTTTCCCTTTCCGTTTATAGCAGAAACAGTTAAGGACCCTAGAAACTCCTTGATCCTCATGCAGAGGATAACTGGCTCCTGATGCGCATTACTAAAGGCATGTAAACCGCTCTCTTTAGTGATAAAAATTAATATAATAATAATAATAATTTATAAATTTAGGAGCTTTACATTAATAATAATTAAAATTTATAGAATTTATAGTTTTTCGAACATGCTTGTAAGAGGCGGCTTAGAAAAAGTTATTATTGGAAGCTGCTTTTAGTTCATTGATCCATCCTTCCCAAACCCCAGTTTTCGAACTCTAGGCACTAGGCAACAACGACTGCGACGGTTACGAAATCATCACGAAAGAAATGAGGTCGCGCTGCTTCAAACTTTATCGCGTTCTTCCTATCACGTTCAATTTGTCAAATCTTGGCAATTTTTGTCTGGAGTTGAATTCTAAAAGACTGTGGCTAAGTTCATATGGAACCACGCTAACTGTACGAAAATTTGAACGGCGGCGTGCCGTTCAAAAATTTGAACACTAAAATCGAGGTCAAATTTTTAACCGGTATGGTCGAAAATTTGAACGGCAAGGTGTGAAACACCGCGAGCGGCTAAATTTTTGTACGGCAAAAGGCGTGGCTTCATGGATTCGTGGCTGCTCAGCTGGAAAAAAGAAAGGAAGATTGCGAACATGGATTTAGGAGTCGTGTTACCTATTACTCACTTTGCTTGGAAGTATTACAATTCGACAGTTCCGAGTGAACAGCCCAAAAGTATTGAACGGTTCCGTGTGAACAAAGAGTCCGGTCAAATTTTTTCAACCGATCGAAAATCGTCCAGTGCAGTGTGAACGAAGACTGTATCGAACTTCAGAAAAAGAACAAAGTCGCTCTCTTGCGTTCACGTCTCCCACAAAACGTGAAATCAGGCATTTTCACGTCGTAGTCGTGCAGTGACGGGAAACAAATGTACAAAAAAGCATGATGCACGTGCTAAGTTGTTGTCTTGCCAATCTAAACCTACTGCTTTTATCCCGGTCTCGTTGACGTCGCCGTCGTGTATAATATTTCTTTTGAAGAGATAGAGACGAGGTGGGTATCGTTAACTGCAGAAAACCGTCACCTGTTAAGTTAACGACGATTTCTACCCAAATTCACTTAGTCCTGGATTGAAATGTACTGTAACGTTTTTGACCCTCCTCGATAAACTCTCGAATAGTCGGAAAGAGGCGTAGCCTGCGAACGGCAGACACTTCTCCTCGCTCATCGCCGCTGACGGACATTTCGCGAGGAGGAAACGTCCCTCAGCGGCGATAAGCGAGGAGAAACGTCTGCCGTTCGCAAGCTAGAAAGAGGCGAGGAAAACGAGTGAGATGAAAGACAGTACCGAATACGTTCACCCACGTCATTTTTCAACTTCCCCGTCCACCTAAGAGCCCGGAACAAGTTAAAATCTCGGACAGAACAAAATGGAAACGCAATTCCCCCTTCCCGCAAAATCAAGGATGAAGCTGCTTGAAGGCCAAAACGCACCATTTTCCTATCCTTTTTGGGGGGAAGGGGTCTTAGTTCTCCGTTTGTTTTGTCAAAGATTTAGGGTTATCAAACAAGACACTGGTGAATTCAAAAAACTGTTTATTTTGACACCAAAACACCAAAGCAATTCCTCCGTCATGAGACGTTAAGAAAAGTTTGGCAGTTGTGTCATTGTGACACCAGACTGTTGGATCATGTAGTTGGCGGCATAATGGCCACAGCGAATGCACTCATCCATGGGTTTTCCTTGAGCAAGCTGACTGAGGAATCCTGCAAACAGATGAAAGAGTTGAAAAAAAAAGGCAACAGAGTACACAGTATGGAGAGAAATGGCACAGACATACGCAAGACTGATGGAAATTTCTAGGTCAGTTATATGTCGTGTTCTGCCCTCTGGCCCAAAATGCGATAGCAGATGAATTTAAGAAATAGAATCACTTCACGCCTAGCGCCTTGAGGACAGAGGAGAGTGGCCGCGGTAGGTAGGTTGTCGCTGTAAAGAGGTTAAAACAAGAGCAAATGTATCCCCAGAGACACGTTAAAGGCAAGGTTTCAGTTTTCAAAGCCTCTTTTGCTTACACATTTTGGAAAACGTTTGTCAACTTTTAACCATCTTGGTAGTACATTTATAAACACTGAAAAGTGGAAATGACAACTTTGGTTTCAATTCACTTGCTTAGCTTCTGCAACTTTCCAGCGGATAACAGAGGTTAGAATCTTCAACTTTTGTGCTCGCAAATGATAAAAAGAGACTTTCGGAATTCATCTAAAACCAACGAGCAAAGTGCCGCTGTATGAAGAAGCTTCAACAAAGGGAACGGGAAAGAAAAAGCTATACAACTTCGATATCTTACCTCCTACAAATGCATCCCCAGCTCCATTTGTGTCCACTATATCTTCTTCTTTGATTGGAATGATTGGGTACTCTGTGACTTTACCATCTGCAAAAAGATTGGGAAAGAATTTACCGCCAACATTAAAAAACAGAGCACCAGACTGCGAGTTCGGGGTAAATTCCCGATAGGACCAAAACTCACTGTCTTAAAATAACTGATGGGATTGTGTACGTGGTCCAAATGGTTTGACTCTCCAGTTCCCGTCAAGGAGGAAACACCAAAGGCCTCACCTCACAGCGCTTTAACTGATTCATTTGACTAACCCTGAGACCGAAAAAAAACTCTGGCGGTGACCACTCCTGGTGTCTTCTAGTCATGGAATCTGGGTTTGCTGAGAAGGGCCCCCATCCCGTGGGATCCCGTGAATCACATTTGTACCACCCCCAAGGGCATGAGTATAACGCTCATCTGATAAGCTCTCAGCGATAAAGTGCTACACAGTCGTTTTTAGTGTCGTCACTAAAAACGGCTGTGTAGCAGACTAATTTGACCCTGACAAAAGTTTCTCCTATGTTATAATCACAAATATGTGTCCTGAGTACCTTTAATAACAATGGTTGGTTCTTTGCCTTGCGTTATCACCACTATACGTTGACGACTCCCATTGACTTTTGTTAACTCGGCCATTTTCTTTGCAATTTCTTTCACGTCTTCTGTCTGGTGAATTTATAAGACGTAAAAAGTACTAGTTAGCTGGTAACCATGGAATGCATTCTGGGTTTGGAATCTTCGAAGTTTAAGCTTTTAAATCAGTATCATTATTACATTGTCTTTGAAAAGCCCCCTTCCGAAAAGATAATAAAATATGTATGTATCTCTCCCAAACCTCATCTTTTTGAAACCACTCTCCAGGTTGGTTTAAAGCATTAGGCCACATTCACACGAATCCGGGTAAGAAAGTAAGCGGTTTCAAAAATGTCCGGGGTCGGGTGGATGGGGCCAAATGCAATGGCAGATCCAGACCTTCAAATAAGAAGGTGGGGGGAAGGGGCTCCTTTGGTCCTCAGTTTGGTCTAAAAATAAAGGGGGGGGAGTGGGCCACCAGGGCCCCTCCCCTGGATCCGCCACTGAAATGCAACTATATGGAACAGTGTTTTTATGTTTAGTATGTGCAAATTCAAGAGAATGAACCTGGTGTAGCGATATCCAAACAATATTTGTTCTGGAAGTAACATCAATGTACTTACTCCAAAGTCTTGTTCTTTAGCAAAAACGGCTGCTTCCTGTACAGGAATTAAATGGAAAGGTTTTACTTCACACTTAAATTAATTTTCTACACCATGTTTTAAGGCAAATTTGTATTTAAAAAAGGCCAGGAGCTTTCTTGGTAAAAGATATCAAAATTCAATGACCCTGAGCTTGAACAAATTACTACAACTCTCTTTGCTCCTCTACACTGCTCACAGCCATCTTCTTCTCGAATTATCAGTACTTGATGAACACATGAACAGGATGTAAGTCTCAAAATGAAGCAGGAGTGTTAAGTGCACCTCATCTTAAAATTACGCTGCAAGCAGTCCCTTTTCAGTTAGTCAGTTGATCAGTCAAGTTGAAAGTTAACAGGACTGAAGAGGGGACAAGGCAGGCTGGATGAAGCTGGTGGTGGTGGTGATGATGATGATGAGGAGGAGGGAGGGGGTGGAGGAGGAGGAAGATGAAGCTAATGGTGGTGGTGGTGGTGGTGGTGATGATGATACTGATGATGATGAACATGATGGTGGTGGTGGTGGTGGTGGATGTTGATGATCATCATGGTGACAATGACCATGATGATAATGATGAGGAGGAGGAGGAGGAGGAAGATGAGGCTGCTGGTGGTGGTGGTGGTGATGATGAGGAGGACCGTGGAGGGTTCCATGATGATGATAATGATTAGAATGGTCATGGTGGCAGCATTGGTGATGATGACAATGATGATGATTAGTACTGAAGGGAAATGACTTGAGAGTGCTACAGGCCACTTACGTAGGTAACTCCCATAAAGAGCCAGCTCTAGTTTAAGACAATTTTCTGTACCCCATTGATGTCTACTTATGGGAGCTTCAACTGTATATGAGAGTTAACAGGTACAGATCCATCCAGGACTCAAATGAAGTATGCTTAAAAGTGATTAACACCCTTTCATTTTCAAATTGTTTTACTTACACTTTCATTACCAAACAGAATGTCCACATAAGGCAAAGCCTCCATCATTGGCTTCTTAAAAACTTGACACAAAAATGGTGCAGAGAGATTCATCATAAAAAGCTGAAACCAAAATCATAATAACAATCATCATAATAATCAATATTTAAGTTCAAGTAAGCCTATAAAATATTAGCACAGTAGATCAATTCAAATTACTTGCCTTGTCTTTCTCTGCAGCATGCTTGCCTATTTTCACAATTGACTCTGGCGATACTGTTAAGAAAAATCCCTGGAAACAAAGAAATTGAGAAGTACTTAAAAACACTTAACCATCCAAAGTTGGTCTGGTGTAGCATCAAAATAATGTAACAGCCAAAATCTGTCGTTCTGTCCAAGCAACCTCCTGACAAAAGATTTATTGCAGCAGGCCCCTGGAGTACCGTAAAACCTGCTTACAAACCCCAGGAGTTATAAATTCTTTATCAGGTCTGCAGAAGAAGGCAGCTCGAGTAAGGGGACCAAAGGCAACAGATTTTAGTCAACAAGGTGCTTAACCACACTGTTACTTCTGACCAACTTTTCATTGTAAAATTAATAAGCTCTGAAGTGTTTTTTGTGGTTAACATACTCACACTTATATAAACATATTGAGCTTTCTCAACAAATGCCCAGTTTTCTGGTTTGTCCAAGTGGCTTTCCTTGTTGTAACAATTTGCTGCAGCAAGATTTGCAACAAGAGACCTGCAAAGATTTAATGTTTCAAACAAAATTACCAAATATCTAATTTAAAAAAATCATTGTTCAGTGGAACCTCAATTTAACAAACCTCAAATAACAAAGTCCTCAGTATAACTAACAATATTCCTAGCCCAGCAATATGGTAAAATACCAGTAGATGGTAAAGAATCTTAATATAATGAAACCTCCTTATAGTACTGTCAAAGAGATTTCATTTTCATTGTTAAACCATAGGGTTATTAACCCATCAAAAGTTGCACGTTATGGCTGTCTATCAAATACAGTTGTACAAATGGTTAGAAGAGACTCAATGAGGGCTTTAGATGATAGAGTTCTGTCTAATGCCCAGAAACCAAAAAGAAAACATTTGGGACCATTTTCAAAACAAACTGAAAACTATGTTCATTAAAAAAATCACATTGTAAACAGTGGATTCTGTGCATTGAATTATACAAATGAAATGAAAAAATTTTTGAGACTATATTGACACTTCAATAAAAAAAATTCATTCTAGACAATGTTTGGGTTAATCAAATGACTTGGTAAAAATTGAAATTTATTTCCCTCAATCAGATGTGTATTTCCAAATCAGATGTACCGTACATTGCAAAATTAATCTTCCCATCTATTTTGATATACTTTTGGGAGGGGAAAGGGAAGAGTCAAATGAAATCTTGGAGAGTGTATACATGAGCAGCAGGCAATGCAAACTGTACCTGTGTTTTCCTGTTATGCAGACAGCACACGTTCCAGTGGGTTCTTTTTCATGTATTAAGTAGTTTACATTTACACCGGCTTCTGTGGCTTTTTTAGACAGAATTTTACCAAATTCATCCTTTCCTAAAAAGAAACAATACACATACAGAAGGTGCATGGAAGATCATGGCATTGATTAACAGCAGATTATTATTTTTTTAAGTCAATTAGCTATACTGCCTCCATGCATGAAATTTCCACCGGATCTAATTTTCTAAAATTTATGCAGATTTTCCAAAGAACTGTAAAAAATTAAGTCACATAAAATAACCTAACTTACTAATTTTTTTTTCATCTTTTATGTCTTTCCCTGTCCTAATACTTATCAAGGGTGGGGGTGGGGGTGTTTTGCAGTGAGAATAGCAGTGAGAGAATTTGAATTTCAGGGGAAAACCTGTCTTTGATGCACCAGGCATTTTCAGTTGGCCTTTAAATAAACTTCCCAGAACTTACCAATGCAACCCATAAATGATGTTGTTTTTGCATCTTTCCCTAAGAGCCACTATAATAATGTAGAAAATGAATACAGTGAAAATTAATAATAAATAACATATCACAAATTGTTGGGTATCAGTTTTTGTATGCCCTAAGAAAAAAAGTACAAAATAATCCAAAATGTACTTTCCATCTTACAGGAAAAAAGGAATTGGAAGAGATTTCAAAAAGTAATTAATTGTGTCCAAAGGTCATGTACAGCTTTAATGGCATCTCTAATTATTATTGCAATGTCCTCTGTTGTTCAAGGCCACTTAAGCTGTCTCTACACATTTTCGTTCTAAGGCTTTCTCTCAGCCAGGAACTGGTATCTGTTTTGTGCCTCACCAAATTAAATTATGTGAAGGGTCATGCAATCAAATCACTTCCTTCCCTGTTGGAATACGTTTTGTAATTACAGTTGTAGCATTGGCACTAAATAATATAAATGAAAAAACATAAACCGCCAAAGCTAAGAAACTAAACATGATTAAAATACAATGCACTATATCAAAGCAAAATGCCAAAAGTGATACTATAACCTGCACTACAATGAAGTTGAAATGCTCTTAATTATGCCCCTGGCACTATAACTTCAGCAACTACCTTTTAGTTGATCATAGCTAATTGTGCTGAGCACCTGATTTTACAGGTTGCATTGTCCCATTCCCTTTATTCATTCTTTCTTTTTTTTCATTTTTTGTTTGTCTCCACTGGCAAAGTAAGGAAATTATATTACATTTACTCACCTGGGCAACTCGCATACTGTTTTGTGTAGCACCTCCAGGGATGTATTCCACATTAAATTTATCAACCATTTCTTTATAACTGAAAATCAACATTCATTTAGAACTTACTTCAAAATTTGATCATTATATTTGTTAAGTAAGTGACTGAACTGGAAAATAAATGTACTTAATTCATGTTGATGCACAATGGCCAAGACGTTTGCCACTTGCCTGTCAATTCTGTTGTTTCATTCATTCTTCATGTTTTTTCCTTAGACAAGAAACTTTGCTCCCCTTTAGATGGGTGCCAGAAGGTTATGTAAAACTGTTACCGACCAGCATCCCATCCAGAGGGGGGTGGTTGGGGGGTCGTGGCAATACTCCTAGGTTCACCATGTACATGTGATGGGGGCATCACTGGCTAGTGCCCCCAACTTTTGAATAATAATAATTATTACTTGCTGTAATTCAATGTTGTTGTCTACTTACGTACCTAAGTTAAACAGAATTTCCTCTCTGCAAAAGCAGGCTATGTGAGCTTTTAGAAATTCAGACTATCAACCACATACTGCTCCGCTATTCTCCAAATTAGAGATTTCAGATGTTTTTCAAGTTAATATGCTCGAAATTGCTAAATTTAAGTTTCACTACCAAGATGATCTGCTGCCTCTTTCTTAATCTGTTTGTAACAAACAATCAGTTTCATGGACATGACACAAGAACAGCCAGTAATTATCACGTGCATTCCCGTCATAAATAACATCAAGAAATTCACAATTCTTTACCAAGGACCAATAACCTGGAATTGTGTTCCTGTATCTATAAGAAACTTGTCAAGCTTTCCTATCTTTAAGAACAAAGTGCTAGAGTCTTTATTAAAATACTGTAGTTACTGACTTAGCCTAGCTGCACTCCTTCGCAGCCCCTTCTATAAGCCTGGTGGTTTCTTGAGATCTCCTCACCTAACAACATGCTTTATTCTGTATTCATGATGGTTTTCTCTGGTACATCTCAATTTTAATCAGTGAAACAATGAAGGTAATAAGATGTGAAATCAACAAACACTTTTGATATCATTTCAACAGGTTTGTTCGGGTGCTCTTAATCTGAAGTTATCAGGTTTTGCTTTTGAGAAAAAATCAAAATAGAAACACTACCTTCAGGATGGAGGCTAAAAATTGTATTTAAAAGGCCTTCCCAAAATGACGATTTGAGAATAAACCTTGTTGACTTCACATTCTATTCTCCAACATTTCATTTCACAGAAGTGACACAGAGCAGACCAAAGTTTTAGTGTTTCAAAGTAAATCTATGCTCTAAATTCATTTCACACCTCAGGGATGGATGAAAATGGTATTCAATTGAAATTACGCAACTGAAACATATTTTAACACCGACTCTTTGTACAGGTCCATGTAGCTATGGCAGTACTGTCTAGCTTATAATCAATATAACAATGTTCTGAACTCACAGGGGCTGGTGCTTTTCATCTGCTAATATTGCATTGTTAGCATCTAGTCCATATCTGCAAAGGCAAATTTAAATACATTAGACTCTTGATAACTCGAACCTCGCTCTAACACAAACCAAAGTCGATTTCATGTGGATTTCCTCAATACATTTACCCTTGGTAACTGAAACACTTGACAACTCGAACCTTCCAGTAACTCAAAGTAATTTTTGTTTCCCTTGAGATCATTCTATATCATTGCACCCTTTATAACTCAAACCGTGTTTTGAGCGCATGGCAAGTTGGACAAAAAAAACCATGTACTGAACTCCCAAATATTGAATTTATTTGAAAACAATCATGTCATTTCTTTGTCTTTACTTTTTCGTCACTCCAGTTCAAATTCATTTTCCATTCCTGAATATTTATCAAGCTGTGTTGCTTAATATTCCTTTTTCAACATATCAATCTTCATTTTTTGTTGTCCTTGAAGTGAAGTGTGCATGATACTTGCCTTCCCTCCCCATCCATTTGCTTATTTCCTCATTTGCTTCGAACTTCCAACAACTCGAACCTTTTTTGATTTCCCTAGAAGGGTTTGAGTTATCAGGAGTCAAATGTATCCTTTTAAGAACTTACTATCACAAAGCAACCTTCTCTAAGATCTAAACCTCCAAAAATATATTTCAAAATAAGCAAATACATTTAGCTGCTTACTTTTTAGTCATTTGTTTATTGTATGTTACAAATGAAAAAGTATTAATAAAGCCAAAGAAAAGGTCAAAGCCAAGAAAGAATTCAAATAGGATATAGAGAATGAGTAGGCAAGCAAGCATTGTTGACACTGTTAAATTGCCAAAGATGAAAATCAAGTAACTTGAGCTTGCAGTCTATGAAAGGAACAGTAAGTTTATCACATCTACTGTCTGTTCTAAAATACATGTTTTCCAGTAGACAGTGCTCTAAAATGGACTGATTCCATAAAAATTTAGACAAATTTTATAAAATTTACTTTCTAATGCTTTGATTACGTTTAGGGGGAGGGGCTTGTCAAAAGTTTGGGTGAAATAGCTACAGTTAAGAAATACAAAGATTATTGTCTCTTCAGTTATGCTAACATACTTGTCAAGGAAATCTTTATCCACTGTGGCAGAGATATCCAATAGAGGATTTCCCATTCCAAGGACAATTCCTTCCCTGTTGATGAAAAATATCAATTCACAATGACTGAAAGACTGGAAAATTACAGACTGTACAGTTCAGTTAACTTGTCCATTCAAACTCCAGCAACCAGTGCAAAAGGGACGTGACCTTCGGGAAGTACTCAGATAGACTATGGATGGAAAAGTGTTTCTAGGGTTCTAAATTGCACCCTATTTGAGTGAGATCTAAAGTTCCAAAAAAGGGATCTTTGATTACAGCCAAGTGGGTGATGTGCAAAATAATATTGAGGATGAGAAGCAGGCCCGTAGCCAGGTTTTTTTACGGGGAGGTGCGATCCAACAAGGAGACGGACCAAAAGAGTCTGGGGGGGCAAGTCTCTAGGGGGGGAGAGCTTTGTTTGTCTGAGAATGAATTGTGCAGCAAGTTTGCAATAATATTGGGGGGACCCACTTCGAATGCATTAGCGTGAGTCAACTAGGGGGATCCAGGCCCTCTGAAATGGCTGGAAATGCATTTAAAACTAACATGGTGTGGTGAAAATTATATACTTTCAACAACAAAAAATGTTGCCATAAAAAACGTTTCTCCAAAAAGAGTTGTGTCACTTTTAATAAGAGTTTTAATATCCTCCAAGCAACACAAAGAGCTGGGTCCAGCATGTCAAAGCTGACGGGAATTCTCATACTTGCCGACTGTTAAAATAACAATTCAGATCCAATGCTTTGCAGAAAACTACAGCAAACAAACCCTAAAGGGAATTTTATTGAGAAATGAAACAATGTCCTGTAGGCACACCAAATCCTCTTTTTATACTTTACGAAAACTAAAACACATTTTGTGGAAAGAGTCATCCTTGGAGACCCAGGAGCAGTCAGTCGGGTCAGGAGAAAAGGCGGGACAAAAGTTTTCAAGTACCGGCGAAAGAGCCCCTGGGTACCGACTCTCACCAGACCATTTCCAAAACTTCAAGCGGATGCCGGCTCCTGATTGGGCCCAAAAAATGCTTTGTATTATTGTGCCCAATCGGCGAACACATCTCCAGAGTTCTTTTCATGTGTTCGTACACGACGGCTATTGTCTCGATCATGGCTTGTGTGGCTCATGCACCAAAGAAATGCACGCAGTCAGGAAACCTTCAGTTTGATATAAAATTCCCATCTGATTTCAAATTACTGTCTGTCCGAAAACTAAAGACGTTTTTCCAAAAATACAAGCTTCAGCTTACAACAGGTATTCACGCTTGCATCGGCTACAGCTTGCGTATATATTTATGAGAGAGTTTTTAAAAGATACCACGACGGCTGACAGCCACGAAAACGTCGCTTGAAAAAGTGAATTAATATTTTTTTCAGTCTCTATCGTGATTATTCCAACTAGCTTACTTTGTCAAATGCAAGCAAACTCTTCTGGAGCTGAATTTCTATCAACCATATCCTAGTTCATGAGAAGAATGAATTGTGTCATTGCTTGTTTACGTCCTCCACAAAACGTAAAATTAGGCATTTTCACCGGTAGTCGTGCGGTTGACGGCAAAGAAATGTACAAAAAAGCGCGATGCACGTGCAAAGTTGTCGTTTTGCCTTGTCAAGCTTAATTGCTTATTTGACTTTCTCGTCGCCGCCCCAACTTAAACTTCCTATTATTTACAATACATTGTGGTCCGTCAGAAACAGAATATTCTCGGGGAAAATTCAATTGTTCCTGTGGATAGCATCCAAAACATTTTTTCGACTCATCGGTAGTTCCTTTGTTTCCGGTTAGGAAAGTGGAAAATAAGAGTTTCTCTTGCACGCACAAGCTTGGTGAACGAACCGTGCAAGTGTGGCGAGACAATAGCCGTCGAGTACGAACTGCACGAAAAGAACTCAGGAGATGTGTTCGCCGATTGGGCACAATAATACAAAGCATTTTTTGTGCCCAATCAGGAGACGGCATGCACTTGAATTTTCGGAAATGGTCTGGTGAGAGTCGGTACCCAGGGGATCTTTCGCCCGTACTTAAAAACTTTCGTCCCGCCTTTTCTCCCGACCCGGCTGACTGCCCCTGGGTCTCCGAGGATGGGAAAAGGTGTGAGTCAGGCTTTTGACCTGTTAACGGCATTTTCAATTTATTTTACTACACAATCAGTAAATTAGAATAGAACAATACTCCTATAGAGAACTAAAGTGATGACGTCATAAAAATAAAATTTCTGAAATTATGGGATTTGTCAGGATATTCTGAAAGAACAATGTCCAAGAGGCCTACTTACCAAAAATGAGCATTTCGGGGCAAATTGTCTCTGAGATGTTAGCCGGTTATATTCAGAAAACTCTATACAAACCCTTCTAATTTTTTTTTGGGTCGACCCAAAAAAATTTAGAAGGGTTTGTATGGAGTTTTCTAAGCATAACTGGGCTGCGATCTCTTTCAGAATATCCTGACAAATCCCATAATTTCAGAAATTTCATTTTTGACGTCATACTTTAGTACTCTATTTCACTTCATTTTAAGTCGCTGATCAATTAAAAAGTGGACACGAGCACACCCTTCGCACCCCCCTCCCTACAGGCCTGAGGTGGATGTTTCTTTCCATCAGTGAAATAGGCGACTCTGAAAAGAAATTTGAGGCCCAGTTCAATCATCGAACTTTTTATGTGCTCTACCAAATTGCTTCAGTTAAGTAAATGGCAAGATTGACATAATTTTGTAACAATAAGTCTGACATATCTAATTTTAGTCAACTCATGAATTAAGTGTGAGTGGCCCACACATACCTGCCAACTCTCCTGATTTTCCCAGGAGTCTCCAAGTTTTTCATCAAATTCCAGGTCTCCCAGTTATCTCAAAGTGCCAAATCTCCTGGGGGGTGGGGGAGGGGGTTTGTAATGCAAAAGAAAGAGTCTCCAGATTTTAAATTTCCAGAGCTTGGCATCTCGAAGTTTGCGTTTCAACCTATTACTTCACAGAGGGGGCGTCTGCACTAACGGGAGAAATTATGTTGAGTCCAAAGGATAGAGTTTTGCCCAGGGGCAAAGTCAGTAATTTAAGTCAGTAATTTTACTATCTTGACAGGGTATTGTTTAAGGTTCAAAAGTAAACCAATTATTTGCAGACGATAAATTACGACGTTAAGTACAGAAAGAAAAGTATAGAACCCCAATTTAGGGTAATTTGCTTGTATAGAAATCAAACATCCAACAGGGCATATTTCGAAGTGGATCCTCCATGCCAACTCACTGAAATTCTACTGTACAAACAGAAATGAGCTAAAAACTAACAACAATATACAAAAACTTACTTCGTCATTTTTTAGGTCACGCTTGTGCAGAGGAGGCCGAGAACAAGATGTTAATCAACGAGCCGGGTCGAGATGAAGAGGGCGATCGGTGTTTCACAAGCGCTTATCAACATGTGTGGAAAGGACTGGTACGATTATTATTGCCCAATCACCGGCTGGGCATAACTGGGCACATGGGGTTATGTCATCAGTAAAACTACTTCAAACTGGAGAGGAATATTGTAAAGTACTCAGGGTAAATGCATGGTTTCGTATTTTATCGTTGTAAGCTTGCAAGGGGCATTCAGGCAACTTGTAAAGTTTCCGAAACCCCGGCGGCTCGCAGGTAGCACTTGTTGATCAGGGTGGAAGACAAACAAAGTGACTTCCCTAACATATAAGCTAAAATATTACTTCTCTCCAGTGACCAGTTCTCTTCAAAACAAAACTAATAGCAAGATTTTTACAAACAAAACGTAAAAACGCCATACCTCAGCTCCACACGGCTCTTCTTCGCCTCAGGTTCGACCGCCATTTGCTCAGTACAAATTGATTTCCCCACCCCTCCCCCTTTGTCGACTGCCCGTCTAGCTCCCAGACTCTCCACTCGCGCGTTCCTCACGAGGACATCCCTGTTTTCCGATATACCAGAATTCATAATTGGCTGCGAGGCTTAGGGGAATAAAACAAAAGTCATTATCTTGAGGCTCAGTCTTTTGTTTTGTTCCCCGATACCTCGCAGCTAAGTATGAATTTTAATATATCGGACATATCGGAACTGGTCAATGCTGTGCTGAAGTCATCACTTTACCCACGCGCAAAATGCTCCTGTCTGAAGACGATATGAAACAAATTTCATCAGGAATCACCAAACCATGAATGCTTTGGTGATTTTTGTCGGATTACCGTAAAGTTCCGAAAGCTAAACGACCCCTCGAAAGTAGCCAACCCGCGAAAGTAGCGATAAAATGTCACAAGTGTTAGCAAATAAAATAACGACCCTCCGAAAAAAGAGACACTCAAAACTAATTTCTCTTTTTGCCAAAAAATAACCGGATAGGATAGGTATACTGAACAAATTAAATCCGAAGTTTATTTTAATAATGATTATTTAACATTCCTATTCATAACTCTTAAAGTACAGGATATACATTACCTTTTTTCAAAAAGTATTCCTTTCTCATTTTTTGCTATTTCATTTTTCAAGTGCCCATGTGGAGTACACGTTTTAGCCATCGGAAAGTAACATGGACTCCCCGAAAGTAGCGAGCCTCCGAAACTATAACGATGGCAGAAGGGTGCTGAAAAAGACCCTCGTTACTTTCGGAACTTTTTAGTACATTAAAACTCGTAAAGATTGGCCCTACTTTTTCAAGTTTCAATTCAGACCAATCCATGTTAATCCTTGCCATCCGTTGCAACATTTGTCTGATAAAAAATAAAATTGTTTTAATTTAAAAACGAATGATTCACCAGGAGAGAATAAACTGGGCCAACGCAGAAACTGACTGAAAAAAAGGAAAAAACCTCCACGGTTAGCGATCCCGTCACTTTTCTGTTTGTTTGTTTTTCGGCATAGTGCGATTCGTAATTCAGAAAAATATTCACAAAGAGAGGCTAAAAATAAAACGGTTTTGAAAAAAACTCGTTATTGGCAGAATTGAGTGTGTGCTGACGGAAATCTGTCTCAGTCATCCGTGACGGAATTCAGTCTTGACAGTAAATATTGTGCTTGCGCAAAACCGCAGCTTCAAGTTTTCTTCAAACGTACTCTGCAGTGAGGCTTCCTTTCTGGTAAAATGTGCGGGCGATTGCGGCACTCAGGGGTCCCCTGAGGCTACCGAGTCCAAGTTAAAGTTCGAGTAGGAAAATAGCTAAAGCTGTAGCTAGTCTGAATGCTGCACACGAATTTGAACAAACTGCCCTCAGGACCGAAATTGTTGGCTAAGCTTAACGCCCAAGAAGTAACTCCTAAGCGGCTAGTTGGAAGATCTAGATGTAGAGGGAAAAATCATCCTATTTTCTTTATGAAAATAGAATTTGAATTTTAAAATTTTTTTAAATTTTAAAATTCAATTTTTTTCAATTTAAAAATTGAAAAAAATCAACAGGAGAGGAAAAATGAATGTGCTTAATTTGTTTTAAGGCGTCCGTCTGTCCTTCACTTCCTCTTTTGGCGTTTTGTGGGAAGCAGCGATTTAAAACTTTATCACGTTTGGGGGCTTGAAAAGCGTTGAGAACTTTCTTTATATTCAGATTCGCGAGTCAGTTAGATCGCTAAAACACCGTGTATTTTGAACTAGTCCAGAACTTTGACGAAAGCGCAGCCTGGCAGCTGTCTTGAAAATGACAGAAATATTCTCACCGAGACGATAATTACTTAAGACAGAACTATTGACATTTGATTCAAAATTTACATATATCTTTGCGATATGATTTTGAAAAGTGCAAGAAATGCGCCGAAAAAATCCTGCAAAGTAGCAAAGATCGATTTTGGTTTCGAAGGCGGGTACAACAACGTCAAAAATAAAATATATATACGCTTGTTTAACATAAAATTACCAGCTTTGTCAAGTCACCTTTGTCAGCCTTATTTATATTCTCTTAAATTAATCTACTCGCCATTATTTGCCATTGTCATGTCAAATTTTCTTTGACATGATGGTGTTTGCAACGCAGATCAGCCTCCCTTTTTTGTCATGTAAATCACGGCCTTTGTCGAGATGATTGATTTTCCGCGCTCTAATTTATTAACTTATATCATGTACTCTCTGACGAAGATACACGCAGCTTCCTTTTCCGATTTTCCAAAGTAGAAATCGTAGCCATCTCCGCTTCCTTCATCTTGAAGACTTTTTTCCGGATTGATCCTGTTTGAAAAGTAGAGAGGATCTGGGCTCTAATGTTCTTCGGCAACACTTTTAGAGCAACCTTGGCATTCAAAGAACTTGATGATAACGTGAATAAATTCGTTGTGAATGGCCTTTGATTCTCATTAACTCTGATGGGAAAAGTATATGAAAGAGACTTGACTAGAAATTGTCACCTGTTTTCCAGCCAAGGTGAGTTTTTCCTTTGTTCATATATTTCAGCTGGCTGTGTTGCAAGGAATATTGCATCAAATAATCGCTTTCGTTTCACCACCGTACGTTGAAAGGGTCATGCAATCAACAAGTTATATAGCAATAATTTTGCAAAACGGACAGCGTTTTAAAAGTTGTGCACATTAGTTAAGCACGGCTGCTCTCTATTAGACAAAAGTCTTTAAACTTAATCTTATTTGAGCAGCAGAGATCTTAAAGGCGGAAAAATCATTGCGAAGTTCCGTTTCGTAACAGGCCTTGTTTTGTAGAGAATGTTTGTTTATCGCTGTTCACGTGTGTTCAGCTTGGATGAATCATTCTAAAATTATTTAAGCTTATATTGCATTTGATCTATTTCCCCGTAACATAAAGGTCAATGTGTTAAAACATGCCGTTTAAAAATATAGGTACAGAGAAACCCCACATGCAGTTGACCTGACCCGAAATCGGATTACGATCGAGTTGCAGGCAATTTGAGCTACAAGGTAGGCGATAGATATAATGCACAAATGTAATCGCCATTTTTCTACTAGGCACCATCACTCCCAGAAATAAAAGACAGATGAATTTTTTAATTCTTCACGTTGATATTGTTTGTATTGTTCTTTTGATCGTGTGATCAGTTTATACTCTGCCTTCATACTGCATGCCCAATAATATAAGAAACGAGAACTTAAAGAGTGAGAAGAGGCGTTGACAATGTACATTCCTTACCAACTAATTTTTCTGCCCTGCATAACAGCAAGCAGCCGCAGCAGTAACAACAATAACAACAACAACAGCACAATGGCAAAATTCATGATAAATACACATTTAGTTTATTTTAATTTATAACAACAACAACAACAACAACTCAGGTTTAGCATATATATCTTCCATGAGAATGAGAAGAATGCAGACAGCTTTTTGGGGGGCGGGGGTCATCAGAAAGGGGATAGTTACCTTCGTTATTATGAGTCCAAAATAGTAAGTTTCAATGTACAGTTGAACGTTCCAGCATGTCAAGAGTTTAAGGAAAGTAAAAGCAAAAGTTAATTAACTTGCTGAGGAAAAACAAACTGGTCATTGTGGGTGGCCATAAAAGACAGGTGGAATTCAATCATATACCCTAAAATTCCAAAAATAAGCCCCAGGGCTTAAATTTTTCAATGCCATTTTTGAGGGGCTTATTTTTGGCGGGGCTTATATAGGGAGGGGCTTATCTACGGAGGGAAATTTGCGTTTCAAAATCGATTGGGCGAGCCTTATAGTTGGAAGTAAATTTACCGTTTTTGCTTTGTTTTACTTTGTATTTAAGGGCAATTTTCCAAGTACAAGCCCCCAGGGGGCTTATATTTGGAGGGGCGATTTAACGGAGGGTTTTTTGGGTTACTAGTTTGGGGGGCTTATACATGGAGGGGCTTATTTTTGGAATTTTACAGTAAATTACTATATTGTATTAAGAAAAGTGCAGTTTGAAAGGAGATATATTTAGTAATATCAAGGGACCTTTTTGAAGTGTTATAGGAACATGAAATATAAGAAAAGCAACTTTCAGAGGAAGTAAGAGCTTATTTCAAGTAATATTAAAAATGATAATGGAAAAAGTAATGATAATAAATTCAGAGTTTTAATATTAAAAGTTGCGACTTGCGTACCAGCACCCCTGTACTCTGTCAGCACAGTACAGCTCATGTCTTCAAGCTAAGTAGAAAGCTAACTCTCAAAACAACTTTCCAACTTTGTTAGTGGACACCCTTCTACTTTAAAAATAGGGAAAACCCTGTATGAAATAGTCATAATGATGATATTAAGAGTAATTTACAATCACACTGGTTATAGCTTGGAGATTGAAAGGGGTGAGGACAAAACATGGACCAGGGGTCCATGGACCCTCACTTTGGACCGGGTCCATGGACCCCCTGTCATGGACCGGGTCCATGGACAGTTTTTTTAATAATGAGAAATGAACAAAAACAGAAATAGTGCAAAAATAAGGTTAAAAAATAACAACAACAACAAACAATGCTTGATTGATCAGTAATGTTTAATTGTGCTTACATAGTGTAAAACAGGGGGGGGGGGGTTCGGTACCTCGTGCCAAAATGCTGCTTGTTCCAATGAATTGTTTTCTCTGATGGGTAGATTATGCTTCAGAGGAAAACCTTTTGACTGAGCAAATGTGAATTTTTGCTGCTTATTTCATACTGAGAGGTCGTGACACACATTGATTTTCTACCTCTTTTAAAATGTAAAGCTGTTCATTGCGGCTGATTAAAAGGGTTTTAGGTTGTTTAATTTCTCCAAAGTGCATCCTGGATCTGAATAATTCTAAGCCACTTTCTTTTTGTCCATGAATGTCACTTTTTCCTGCAATGTTTTGTTACGCTGGGCCCAGCTCCTTAGCGCGCTGTAGCAGGACGATTATAAATTCTCATGGATTGTGATTTACAGATCCAGATCTCGAAGAAGAAGAAGTGGCATGGACTCCCGGGGGGGGTACTCCCATACATTACCTATACGGGTATGTGCCGCCCAAAGGGGTCGTGATTTTGAAGCTTTTGATTTAGAACGGGGTATCCATTTCAGAGGCGTTTTCTAGAACGGGGTATAATATTTCGAACGCACGAAAGCTCCACTTTTGTAAGCAGCCTTTTGAAAGTGTTCAAGGACAGATTGCTTTTAAAAATATGGTTCAATGCGTTAACAAGCAAACCGTTGTACTCTTGTTGCACCCTAGAACGGAGTATGAAGAATTGGCCCATTTCTAGAACGGGGTATCAGTTTTAGGGCGAATTCTAGAACGGGGTATAAAAAAATTGGCCCATTTCTACTACGGGGTATCAATTTTAGGGGAAAATTTTTCTAGAACGGGGTGCCAATTTGGAGTCCCGGGCGGCACATACCCACCCAAAAAATACCCAAGTGCCCCCCCCGGGCATGGACTGTAGCTTAAACTGAAGCTACATCAACTATCAGAGACTATGGAGAATTGCGATGTGACTCAGTCATGATTGCTCTAAAAGCAATGAATTCTTAACTCCAGCTTGTTTTTCTAAGGGTGATCAATGCAAATCTTTGTACTGGAGCGCGTAATTCCTCTCTTAGTGATAACTTTTGAATTAGCTTAATTTAACAGTCTTGCGTCTGCACATGTGCGAGCAGAGTGTACGTCATGTAAGCACAACTGAATATTTGTGATCAATCATGAGCACTGATCTAATCTGGGTACGAGATAAGCATTGATCAACAGCGTCTCATCAAATCTTTTTTTGGCACTATTGCTGTTTCTGAGTGTCCATGGACCTGGTGCAAAACCTTCTTATAAAAATTCAAAAATTGTCCATGGACCTGGTCCATGACAGGGAGTCCATGGACCCGGTCCATAAAAGTGGTCCATGGACCCGGTCCAAAGAGGGGGTCCATAGACCCCTGGTCCATGTTTTGTCCTCACCCGATTGAAAGTTGCCTGGATGAATATAATCTATAATGGATACCAGCCCTCAAATAAAACTTAACTCAATTTTATTGTTCATTATTGTTGGCTGTTTGCTGTGATCACTGTGATCTTTAAAGAATAATGTTGTAGTGATTGTTTGAAAACCAAGCTAAACTGAAAATGTTATTTTAACTAGGGTCTCTGAATAATTTAAAAGATGAAAAGGACAAATACAGTACCATCACCTGGTGCAAAGAAGGTTAACCAAGCAACATCAAATGATACAACCCCAAAGGGGAGATACAAGTCGGTCATTTTTCCTTCAAGACATGGAGCATCTCCTTCCAACTCTAAGCTACCAGCAGGATACCTACGTACATTTGGACTTGCAAGCACGCGTTCATCATCACTACCTGGTAGGTTACTGACCTTTTACTGTAGTAGTACTTTAAGAGTATACATGACAGAATTTTTTGTCATGATTTGCTAAAACAGAATCTACACAGTGTCCTGAGAAGGATAACAAAGAAGTTTTGTGATACTGATTTTTCTTTCCCACGTTTTGAGTATCAAAATACTTGTATTCAGATCCCTATCAGGACAATGTTCAGGATCTATTAAGAGAAATCAGTGAATCGCCGTTCTATGGATACGTGCTTAAGATGGTCACCCATATATGATGGACAGTTTTGTTTGTCTGACAAAAAGCTCATGTCTTTTTTGTAAAATTTACCCGCTTAATGTCAAATATAGACACCTGTTAATAGGGACAACGCAGATACTTTTCTTTGTCCTGAATCACACTCTCATATATTGTCAACCCCACTTTACAGACACTGCGGTTTGTTTATAGTGAAAAGTGTACTTCGCATATCCAGCTAGTTTACAGACACCTCCCCCCCCCAAATAATTAGAAGCAAATAATTCAAATATAACCTAACAAGATTTAAAAAATTCCAACTGGCAGGACGTAACCAGTTGGATATTTACAAACATGTTCTGTGATTGACCTCGGGACAACCAAGAATGAGTCCAGCAAGTGGCCAGAGCGGGACTCGGACCCTGGACCACCGGAGTCCGACACGCTGACCACTCTGGTCCACACTGCCTCCTTCAACTCAATTCATTTACTATCTTGTCCTGGTTATTCAAAAGTTGGATAGCGCTATCCACCAGATAAATCACTATCCAGCAGATAAGTATTATATATGGAAACCCAATTGCGGTATCCAATAAATAGCAATTTATCTGGTGAACAGCATTATTCACCTTTTGAACAACTGTGGCCTGATGTTTTATTTATACTTCAGATGCCTCTAAACACACAGACGACTCCAATCCACGCACTGAAATCTCAAATGATGACGCTTCCAGTATATGGTAAGCTTGATCTGTTTCAACCACTGGCCTAAGGTGCAGGGGGTAGTTTCAAAGGCTACATTTAGAGTGTAAACTATTGAATCTTGGCTGAAAAGCTTCAGGTGTGGCCCTGTTTCTGTTCTTGCCCTCAGGGGAGTATGCATGTAGCAAGCAATAAATACATTGTCAAGCTTTTTTGGGGGTGAGGGGGTGTGCTCCTTGGAGAGAAATTTTGAACTCAATGTGCTAAAGTGCTGTTTTCAACCTTCTGGTACCAAAGAAGCAATTTCCTGGGTACTGTCATATTTCATGATTAAAAATTAAAATCAATGGAGCGACACAAAACTCACAACAAAGTGCCAGACATCACCAGACAATCATGTACAATGTAACATCTGGCATCTATGGCTTTAAACAAATGAATGAATATACAATAATTACTGTTTTGACTCACTATTAACAGTCTAATTTGTGCATAGGTCATTGGAGTGTAATAGTCTGCCGCCACCACCAACTACACCTCCACCACCTCCTCCACCTCTTGCCGAAGCAACTAATAGTTCAAAGGAAGAAAACTACTTGGTTCTTTCAGAATCCCAACTTAATGTACTGTCACTTAATTTATCAGAGATTGCTGACAAAGTATCACCAACTAAATATGATCCTGTGATTGAAATAGATGAGGAAACTTTGGAAGTTTTAATTGGTGAAAATATTGAAAACTCATCTGAAACGTTTGTTTCTAGCAGTGAACAATCAATGAGATTTAAATCTCCATATTCCAGGCAACGGAGAGATTCTAAGAGTTATGTTTCAAAACAAAAAAGCTTTACTAGGAGAAGGTCCGGGTCTGGCAGACATGGCTCATATCAAGAATTGAACAACAGTGGTGACGTTTCTCATGATGTGAATAATGTTTTGAATTTCTCAGCTGGTAATTTTGAAGCATTTAAACTGGATAGTGAAAGTGATTCTGGATATAGTTCATCAATGTCAACATCAGTTAGCTTAGGTGAAGAAATTGACGCTGCCAAGAAACTTAGCACTAGTACTGATATTGACGCTGATGACTTGACTTTTGTTGGAGATGATCGTGGTGGAAAAAGTTCTGCAAGTACTCTGGTGATCAGTGAATCTACTTCAGGGTCATTAGACCATCAAAATACGGGCAATGTTGAAGGACAACTGGATTCATTAATTAATGGAGTGTCATCGGAAATTGGCAATCTTGACTTAACCAAGCAAGTGAGGGAAGAAACAGTTGTTTATCGTGAGGAACCCAACTTATCTAACGGTTTAGAGGAACCTTCAACAAGTTTTATACTGTCACATAATGAAAATGTAACTCCTACATTTCATGAACAGGAAAATGGACTAGAAAAATCGTCATTTAATTTTCAAAAGGATCCTTTAGATGGCTCTGCCTTACAAAGTAGGACTAAAACAGGAAAAAGACCTATGCTTCAACGGAGGAGAACAACTACAATGTCCTTCCGTCCCCCAAAGCAAGTTACCGTGCAAGAGGGAGAAAGCGGCATTGTAGAAATGGATGAAGCTGGCTTCCTACAACTTTTGACAGATTTTAAATCTTTGAAGACTCAGTTACTTAAGTTGAAACGAGAACTCCAGGAGGTAAGGTCATCAAAAAAAATTTGAGTTTTCCTGTTCAATCACAAACAACAACAGAGGGTGAACAGTGACAACAGTGCACGCAGCTCTTAAAACAGAATCAACCAATGGCAGAGTCGCAAATTGAGCACCAGAAATCACATTCAGTTCTTTCTGGGCACTTTGGCTTTCTCATTTTGACGTTGCATTGTCTTCCCTGAATCATTCTTGGCTAAGTATAGGGTCCTGAGGAACTGACCCACCCTTTCCTTGACCCAACTTTAATATCAACTTCACATTAAGAGGAAAATGCATGATAAGGGGAGCGGTAGGTGGGCAGTTTTCCAGAATACTGTATTATACAGATCCACATTCTCAAGCATCTCAGAAAAAGGTTCAAGAAATGTGTTCTTCCAGAAAACAATGAAGCTCCCTCACACTTGGAGTACCAGTTTGGGAGGTGTCTTGAGTCCTAAATTTACTAGAAAATATAGGAGAATCAAAGATTGGAAAAATTAATCTACTATAAGTTCTTTAAACATATGCCAAACTGTGAATTAATCTGCTCTCTGTTTCAAAACATTGCTTTTTTCTTAACTATCAGCCAAAGATTAAAGAGAGTGCTTGTCAACTTAGAAGCCACTTGAACTGGCAGAACTGCCTCCATTTTTATTTAATTTTACATAAAACAAAAACTTTTGTAGTTAAGACACAAAGTGACTATCTTTTCTTGACTGTCCACAATTCATTTATTTTCTACAAAAATTAATACGGCCCAGGTCCCTTGTAGTGGAAAAAAGCACTTTAATCTAGTATCTCAATCTATTTAATCTTTAATATCTCTTGTGCACCCCACCGCAGAAAAGGAAAATTGGTTCAAGTTTGTAAGAGGGTCTAGTTATTGCATGCAGCCAATCTGAACACACCTCATCTAACCTAAGATCAGGCCCAATTTTAGTGGTTCTCATACATTCTCTCTAACGGCTACCACTAAACTTGGGCTATTTTGGTTTTGCCTTGCCTGCTGGAATGTTATTTTCAAAGGAAAACGAAAATAGAGCCTGATCTCAGGTTACACCTCATTCAATTTAAACTACAAACAACATGCAGCCACACCCCACATAATAATCAAACACTTGCAATCACTGCCTGGTTTGGAAATATTATGAAAATCCTTTAGCTCACCATATTGATAAAGTTAATAAATAGAGAATCATTGTGCGCCTTTTTTAAAAAAAAAATGTTACAAAGAGGTATACATCGCCTCATGTAAGGTAACCAAAGACAGTCTTGGATCATGGACTCCTCGCTTTGGATTCCAGATTCCTTCATTCCTAAGCCCAGGATTCCAGATTCCACAAGCAAAAATTTCTGGGATTCCAGATTCCTGATTATCTTACATGGGGTGATATGAAAGTCACATTGTACAACTGATCATATTGTTCTAGGCTGATGTTGTATCACCATTGATGCACTCTCACTCTGGTGTCCCAAGAAGAGGATCATTTTCTTCAGATACTGACACAAACAACAAAATCCCACTACATAGAAAGGTACGTAATCACATAAATTTCAGTAGAGTGCCTAACAAGTTTTCAGAGAGACAAAAGTTGGCACTTCCTTATCTTCGTGTTATTGAGAACTTTAAGGTCAAATTGTCCAGCCAGTTTTTCCTTAGGCTCGAAAAATGATTACATTTCTGCTTATGACTTACAAAGAACTTTGTCCATAGCTTTGTTTCTATAGTAAGCGTATCTTGTTTGTAATCTCAAAGAAAATCAATGCCATAATGTTGAATCCAACTGTTCTGTAAAATAAAGTAAAATAGGAAAACATAGTCTATTTCCTCTGCTTTCCAAAAAAACCCAGTTTTTGGCCCTTCAGAACAAGAAAAAATATTGATTAGTCTGAGTCCTTTACATTGATATTTGCCCTCACAACTCGGTGAGGACCCAGTTTTTTTAGAATTTGGCAAACCCTGAGGGACTTGGTTGGAGAGTATCAAAATGGAGGATAAAAGTATTGAGATTTAAAACTAACACTATCTGTTGGGAGGGGTACTCTTCAAATGCATCATTATGGTGACAATTTCATAGGCTCAATTTACATGCGCTTTTCAGGAAATGTGCCCACCCTTACCCCCGCGGCTGGAGAGAAAAATATCCGCGGAGTATGGTCGTTTTGCTGCATAATGAAGTCATTTCGCCATCATAAAGTTGATTCGCTGCAACCAACTTTTCATATTAAACAGTTTAAAACAATTTAGAATGAACTGCAAACGAGTTAAGTTAGCGAAATGACTTTACAACTTTGCAGCGAATTGACTTCAGTATGCAGCAAAACGACTTGTAGCGAAACGACTATACTCCACGGAAATCGGGCCTCTTAAGGTTATGGTGCTTGGAGTGTATTGTGTTGGCTGATTTTTGCCCTTTATCAACAGAGAATGTTGCAAAGAACGATGACAATGGATTCTGTAACAATGAGGGAGAGACTCCATAGAACATCCTCCTCCTCTTCTTCAGGGGGGAGATCAGGGAGCCTGAGTGAGATCACAGGGAGCCTGAGTGAGATCACAGAGACCCCATCTGAATCAGCCAGGGTGCCAAAGCCAAGTGCAGGAAATGAGGAGGAAATAAAGAACCTACATCAAGAACTAGAAGAAGTCAAGGAAAAACTCACAGAAATAACCGAGGTACTGAGTTGAGTAGTCTGCCACACAGCCGTTTTTAGTGTCGTCACGCAACGCTCCTCGAGCGTTGCGTGACAACACTAAAAACGGCTGTGTAGCAGACTGTGAGTTAAGTTGTGTTTTAGGGGAGTTGTTGTTAGATGTTTGATGGCAGATGTATCGAAAGAAGAGTGTTTTGTTTGCCCCCCACCAACCCTTCAACCCCACCCCTCCGGAAAAGATGAGGAATGCAATGTAAAATGGGTGATGGTTTAGCTACTTCTAAAAGATGCAATGATCCCGGGTTCCCTTAGTCTCCTTCGAATTCACGGCCTTACCAGCTTTTGATAAATGTTGCTAAGCTAAGCCTAATAGTGAAGTGCAAGAGGCAAAGTTGTATTTCATGGTAAATTCATGTAAGATTTTAGATCATGGCTATTGTCTTCTCGCGCATAAAATGATTTTTTCCATTGTTCATTGGTGGTCGTGAAGTATCAGCATGTTATGAGGTTAGAAATCAGAATCAGAATCCTACGAACATACGGCGTGCAAAGATTAAATGTGGTTCAACGACGGACAAATTTCGGAGATGCCTGCCAGTCGATTCCTTCGAAAACAGACAAATTGTTGTTGTTAACAACAGACAAATTCTGTTTATCAGAATATTTGTAATAGGTTTGAAAACTCTAGTTTCCCTCCAAGCCGCTATTGGTGTCGTTACGAAACGCTCCTTCCCAAGAACTGTATGATCGTTGCGTGTTGACACTGAAAACAGCTAAGAGGGAGAGACAACCAAAGGTCTTTTTTTTTCTTACGGCAGGAAAGAAACTCACTGATCATAGCTCGAGAGGAACTTGAACATGAACTTGACAGCAAAAATCACACCATCAGAATGCTGCAGAAACAACTGGTGAGTGAGTTGTTGTCTATACTAATTAAATTAAACATGCAATTTGAATTTTAAAAAAATAGTACCAAAATACTAAACAGCACAGAAAACCTCGGTTATTTGTTTGTGCCTATGGAAGTTAAGTTGACAAGAGATTTTTTTATGTTTGATAAATAAATAAATATTCACCGCCACCTCAGTTAGTCAGCTACTGAATTTGTGCTGCATTTTCAGGAGTCCCAGACAGACAGTCAAGATGAAATGGCGTACCTGAAAAGACAAGTGAAATCTCTGACCAATCAAATACAACAGCAGCAACAGAAGATCACGGAGCTAAGATATCGAGCTACCAGCCCTGGAGCAGTTCCTATGGGAGCGGTAAGGGAGATATTTGAAGATGGCTTTTCAACTGCCGACCTAAACCGTCCCAGAAAACTTAGTCTTGTGCGTTTCGCGTAATTACTTAAGGATAAAGAGGGACTGCTCGAAGTCTACAGTTTACCCCCTGTAGAATGAAATCTCAACAATTCACTGCCTCCTCCTTACAGAAAAAATCGCAGAAGGGCCCTTTCTCCAATTTGTTATGAAGAGGGAGGGGAGGGGGCGACTGTAGACAGGCTAAGGAACGAGCTTCGATCGTATGACGTGCTTCCGGTTGGGCGGTCTGTTTGCCCTAATATTTTCCCGCCAAAAGTTTTGGGCTGCACCAGAACCAAAAGTAATAGCTATATCGCGTTAATGCGTTCAGAGTATGGTGTCTGCTCTTCTATAATGTATGCATTATAAGTAAAAGTTCACAATACTTTTGTTGACTTGAGTATGACGCGTTTTTTTCTTTAGCGGGGTCGGGGGGGATCTCAAATCTCCTTTCCCCTAACCCCTGAGGAAGACCTGATATTGGGGAGAAGTGATGATTTCAAAACAACAAAATTTGTGAAATTATGCGTTATAACCCAAACTATCCCATAGTTTCACAAATTTGAATTTTTGTGACGTCACACTTCTCGTTTCTGTTTACCCATGTCTTTGCACTTAGGGGATTTATTTGCACTTGTATTCACAGGGCCGTACATAGCGGGGATGTCTTTGCCCCCGCCAGGAAAAAAAACTTAGTGTCTGATTTTGCTGGGCTGTTTCTTGTAGCTATATTGGTCCGAAATCTCACGAAAACCGAGTTTGCCCCCGCAGACAAAAAATCCTAGGTACGGCCCTGATTCACCTGAAGAAAACAAAGCTCATACAGTAAATATACAAATTGCACTAACATAGTATTTTATTGATGACAGATTTCTACCTCTTTTCAGCACAAAAAGGAAGCTGTTAAAGCCGATATCAGGTTTGTGTGTAAATTCACTTTTGAGAATAAAAATGAATTGGTGTTCATTTGTCAAAATTCTTTCCATTTCTTTTTCTTTTTAGAAATCGTTTAAGGGATGCCTTTGTAAAGCATTTAGGGGAGTCGTCAAAGGTTTGTACACAACTGGCATTTGTGAACTGTTTTTTCTTAATTTTCAGTCTTGAGTCTATTTTGCCTAGCGCGCGTGTGGAGATAAAACCCGCGGGGGTTCTCGCGGTCCTGTCGAATTGTCGAAGGGAAAAAACACGTCAGTGTGGACAGGCTAGAGTAAAATGAAATAATCAGTGAATGTTAAAGCACTCAGAGCGAGTTTGGAATGATCGATGATTCAAACAAGAGTTTGCAGCCTGCTCTAGGCTCTTTGAAATTATGAATTACGCTACGATTAGTATCTATGATTTTTCTTGGAGATAATTGTGCAAGCGCAATATTAATTCCCTTGTTAAAACGAATAACGGTTTTGCCAGGCGCAAAAATTAGTTTCCGCCAAAAAATATCAACAAGAAAAATTGCCTAGTATCCGGAGAGTTTAACTCCCTCCAAATGGGGGGAAAGGAAAAAGGTGAGAGCAAGACTTCAGCAGGTTGTGAAAGAAAGAACTTTTCTCGTTATCTAATTCACAATTCGTCTCTAAATTCTTGTAATCTCGCCTTGTTGTGTGTCATCCTCAAATTGTTAGTTCAACGTAATGTAGTATGAACTGGAAATCTCTATTGGTCAGTTGGTCATCGTCACTTATGTCACAAACGCCAGCCACGTCAAACACTTACATCCTCCATTTATCATATAACAAGTTGTATTCATGTTACATCCTATTTTCAGAGCAACGTTCAGCTGAGCAAATACATCCAGAGAGCGGAGCAGAACATCAGCATGGCACAGAAAGGTCTTAGCTCGTTATATTCATCACCTCACGCCAGCACAGAGCATCTACCGAAAGGTGGCCTTCACTTCACTGCACTTCATTCCTCACTCATTCATCTGTTTGTCCCACAAGTACTGTTCTTTGCACAACACTCACGATTCAGTTTTCTCTAAAGTAGCTCTAGTTTTGAAATTAGTCCTTGAAATTTGTCACTCAGTGTTTTCTCAGTGCGTGAGAAGCGCAGACTGGTCACTATTACGTGCCTAGACAAAAACATTCAATGTACTTAACAGCAATATCTAGGGGGCCTTTAATAGGGAGTAATACAATACTGAAGTGTACCCAGTCAAGGCACTTGCACCACATAGTAGCCCATAACCTGGGGCGTCTAACTGGCATGTATTCGAGACTTGCTGTTTTTACAGAGCTGTTTATTTTAAGATCGATTTTGTAGTGAGTCAAGTCTATCGTAGGAGTCTCTTGAACGAGTCGGCGAATGACACAGATCGGGAAAGAAGTATCTTTTGACATTTTTATAGCATTTTGTTCAGTTCTCGTGTCTTGTTTGACATATTCTGCTGCTGAAGATTTCCACTTACACTTGTAGAGGGGAAATGTGTCTCAAAATAAACTGGTCTACGAAAATGCCGTGTTGGCATTTGCGCTCTCCGGGCTATGGGTTCCTTTGCGGTGTTATTGACGAAACATCGTTCTTTTCTCCACAGTGCGGTTCATGTTTGATTCTCAGTAGTAAAGTCTAGTTGGTATCAGATGCCTCGCATATCAGTCTTCACATGACATTCTCACTATCACCTCACTTATACAACATTATCTCCTTGGACTTGATTGACGCATCCCTGTATCGAAGCATATTTCTCTTTTTCTGCACCGACTATTTGCTGTATTTGAATTGCCGGTGAGTTTTGTTAATGTTAATCTGTTTTGCAGACAAGTCGTTCCAGAGATCCGACTCACAATCCAGCGTTGAAAGAAATCAAGAGGACTCAGATGGGAGAGAATATGAGTCAGATTCGTCCCGGTGTAGCAGAAGGAGAATCGCTTCCTCTCGCGCGAACAGAAACAACGACGACTCCGGTTCGGAGTCAGGAAAATCGATAAGAAGTCGCCCCGAGTCTCCTAGAACTTTTAAAAGTCAAGACGAATCCGATGGAAGAGCTTCGGATTCCGACACGGGAAACTCGAGGAGTAGACGCATCACTTCTTTTGAAAACAGCGCTGAAAAGAATGAACGGAAAGACTCAGAGCCAGACCTGGTTAAAACAGAAGGACAGTCGGAGGACTCACTGAGTGTGAATAAACCTCCGCGTGTTAGGAAATTATCCCGGAACAAACTAATGAACAAAATAGAGGCGTCACCATTATCGCACTCATGGACTCCCGGTGCTATTGAAAAGATTGTTAAGTCGTGGAGAGAGACAAAGTCGCCTGTTTCACAGGAGAAGAGCAAAGAAGAGGAGAAAGCACTTAAACCAGTATCCCATGTACAGTTTTTCTAATAATCTGCTTTTAAAGTTCTGTACATACTAGGCGACATGTGGCTGCAACACTTCGCGGTGACAAATCACTCTGTGTGTACAGGTCTGGCGATAAGTTGCTGCAACCAACCGGGATACGTTGCAGCGACAAACGCCTCGTGTGTACTGGAGAATTTTTGTGAAAATCTTTGTCTTCGAAACAGAATTTTGTCACCGCAAAAAGTTGCGTTAGTTCAATGTGATTTGATTCTGTGCGACTCGTTGCAAAGACAAAGACTTTCGCAAAAATTCTCTAGTGCACACGAAGCAATTTGTCGCTGTGGCTTGTCGCCACAACGTGTTGCAACAACTTGTCGCCTAGTGCAGTGTGTCTCGGCCTTCAAAATGTGGTCATCTTAGTCCAAAAAGTATACCGTAAGAAAGATGTTCCTATAGGTGAGTGTGTACCTTATAGGAGTGTCTGTTTTCAATAGAGAAGTGTCCGATTTTTAGGCAGCTTTTTTAGAGGGCTCTTGTCCCTTTTTTTTTTTTACCGAGGCAGACTATTTACAGTTCCCTATTTTCCCGTAAGATCGTCGCCATCGAGCGCTTACAGTCTTGTTATAGTGACGATCTTACGGAAAAAACAGTAATTATAAACAGTCTATAATGGCGGGTTCTTCTCAGTTATGCAGTTAATGTGTTTTTAATACGAAACTGGTCAGCTTTGAGAGGTGTTGAGATTTTAACCGCAGACAGATGAACTATTTACTTGGGAGCTTCCGAGATGGGGAGATTTTGAATCGGATTGGGTCCCTGCGACGCTTGAACCAAAATTCGTCATTCCAGAAACTATAAGGAGAATGCGTACAAGCGTTCGCGCGGGTAACGATTTCTGGGATTGTTTGGGTTTGCAAGTAGATTGGTTAATGGTTGCCTTGAATACCATCCACCAATAATAACTAACGCTTGTCCACCGAAATGATGCCAGAAATCACTGCGCCCAGAGCTTTTACCAATTCTCTCTCTCTTTCCTCGAGTTTTGAAGTGGACAATTCCATATCCGACACCCCTGGGAACAACCTCCCTTGCTTTGGTGTGTGAGCCAAGGGAGACAAATCCATTAAAAATAAAGGTGAATTTTTTTTAAAAAATATGTCTTGCTGTTCTTTTTTACTTCGCCCCAAAATCTTAAACTCTCTCGTCATACTTCTATCAGCGTAGAAGGCGCCACTAGCGGAAACCAATGCGTTGTTTTGAGGTAGAGGTGCGACTGTACCAATTCACTTTGCGGGATAAGTAAATATACCGGTAAACCCAGTTCCACTGTCGCGTAATTTTTACGTGCGTAAATAAAATAGAGGCAATGTATGAAAGGTGCATTCGACAAAAAATTACGCGACAGTTGAAATCTCACCATCCGCTCCTGTTACTTCTGTGACCAGTGCCTTCTTTTTCCTTCTTCTTGATCGGGGAGGTTGAAAAATTCGAGCAAGCGAAAGAAAGGCTCTGCTCAGGCTCTGCTTACACGGTGCAGGGATAGCTGCCTGTAGTTCTGAGTCAGCAATCATTGTTGCTGAATTTTAAGTTCGGTTGAGTCAAATCGATATGGACTTGTCATCTTTTTTTCCAGTGGAGGGAACTTTGTGCAGACTTGTTCCAAGTCAGATCGTTCCATTTTATGGTCAGATCGTTCCACAGTTTTAGTGTAAAATTCGATGTGAAGCGCGCTTTTTTTTTTGGTTTCTGGCTTAAAGAACGAGGTATACGCATGAGTAGCGCCCTTATTTTTGCTCGTGGCTAAAAGGCTCGTGAAAAGTTCTGACTACATCGTGCAACGACACCGGACTATCTGACCATGCAACGAAGAGACCGTGTACTGGGAGACGTCGGCACCCAGGCTAAGAAAAACTGTAAAGAAGTCTCTTTAGACTATCCACCCTCCCCTCCCCCCCAACCTCCTCCCCCGACCACACAAGCAGACACCTGACCATCATGCACCACCTTCAACCCGTCCGGGCTCTTCTTCCAGCTGTTTGATCAACATTAATTACATTAAATACGTAGTCATTCATTCAAGTTTGTTCCTTTGTTCCTTTTGAAAGGCAACTGTTTTCCCAGCTATTCATGTCATAAGTTGTGCGTAAATGAGCTTAAAACCAATTAAAACCGAATTGAAAATATGCCCAGTTCGATAATGTGATTGGTGAGCTCACCGCTGCATTTGTTCTGCTATGTACACGCTGAAAAGAAGTTTTGCAGGGGTTTCCATGACAACCATCATTCATCCGGGTACCCTGGGAACAAACAAGAATCAAAAGAGGCGACACGTTCCGAAATGTTTTGTTCGAAAGATGTTGGAGGCTAAAATATTTCGACGATTTTCTTCAGAATACTTTCAATTTTGGTCTTATCATCGATTTGTTGCTTCTAGTTTGTCTGCGTTCCTACGGTATGGCGAAAGAACCGAGGATGTTTACGAAAAGATGCTTACCGTCGGCGGACATGAAAACATGGTTTGACGAAAAGCGATTGATGGTGTTGGTTTTCCTTTGCTGAACTGCTTGCAAAGCAGAATTTAAAAGGTCCATAGATGGACCTATTTATTGAAACATTAACTGGAACTGCCTTTGAACTACGAGTTAGTCCTTTTGAAACTATCATGAGCGTCAAAGCAAAGATTCAACGTCTCGAAGGTGAGTTGAAAAGGCTTTACACACTTCGCGTGGGAAGGAAATACTGATTATATGAAGCAACAAAATAAATCAAATAGGGATTTCAGTCATTGCTTTCGCGATCGAAAGTAAGTTGTAGCTTTTCAGATTAAAATCTGCCTTAATGTGGACGTTTCGTCGAAGGTTCGTTCTTACATCAAGCTTAAATAATTTAAAATGTGTGGTTTGCGCGCCCCCCTTGAAAACATTTCACCCAGAACTTTTCGATTCGATAGATGGCGAGGAGAAATTGCTTTTGAAAATATTATAGCTTGTGTATGTCGTGATTTAAATTGAAAATCTAAAATCTTCTGAATGTAGCACGTAAAATTAAGACATTATAAATTGTAAAGGTATTTTCAAGTACGTTTTGCTTGACAAGACGACGTTTGATTTTGGCCATGAAATTTTACATGCTTTATAAGCAAAGCTTATACTCTTTCAAAACGAAAATTCTAGAAATGTTCATTGCATTTTATTTCACTAATGGAATTTTATCTAGTGAGTGAATTGTATCCTCTGTTCTGCTGTAATATTTACATTTACTTCTGAAAATGCATCCTACGAGTGTTTTCGCGAAGTTTGGGTTAACAAAATTTTAAACCTGAAATTATTTTATCATCGTAGAGGTGTTGAGTGATAATTCTTCCTATTTGCGGCCCTCTGTTTTGTTAGTTTTCTGTCCAAAACTTTCTATGTCTACCTTCTTTGTTGTACAGATATTTAGTATTGTAGTAATATCGAATGTTTTTAAGTATGTTCCTGACTTGTGTTTATTCATGCATCTTTCATGCAAGGGATTTTCTAAAGGCATTTTTTGTCATATATGACACCTTAGACGTTCTCTTTCAGAAAGTGAATGATTTTTAGCTATCTACCAATAAATAAATATAGAAATTGCTTTAATTTCATTTAGCTAAGGACTGTTTAATAATGCTCTGAGCATATAAGCTTTTTCGCAAGAACTTTTGTTGGGTTCACGAAGTAATTTCATACAATTAGACGTTTTCATTTCACAAATCGTCAGAATTTATTTCTGTTTATATAATTTTCTCGAAATAGGTGTTGCTTACAAATTCTTTAGCCTTTGGTATAGTGAGTTTTGCTATTTTCATTGTTTCAAAAATGAGCCAAATTTATTCTGTACATTGAATACAAAGTACATTTTTTGACAGACTAGAAATAAATCCATGAAATCACGTTTTTCAAAGTCAATTTTATTTCTACTTTTGATCACCGTCTATTAACTTTAACAGGATTTGTTAAAACCATTTTTAATAACATTTGTGATACTGCATCATTAGTGAGAGATAAAAATTTAAAATGATCAATGTTTCATCATCATCGTCATTATTGTCATCCTCACTGCCATCACCATCATCATCATGTTTCAATATCAGGGTTGTCACGGTCAGGGAAAAGTCAGGGAAAAAAGGACGTTCTACAAGGTCAGGAAAAAGTCAGGGGAAATCTTTGGTATTTTCAAAGTCAGTGAAAAGTCCGGGAATTCTGTTTTCCGGTTTATAGTTCATAAGTTTTCTTCCAGATTTTGAAATGCAATTTCTTTCCGAAAAGATGAAAAGTATGCTGCAAAACAACCAAAGGGATCACTTTGACACTCTATGCCTGACACATGTAGTAGTTGTGGTCAGTGGTTTTCGATGTGAATGCTTTCTTCCAAATTCCTTCTTCCTCTTTCTGCAAAAAGTAGAAAGAGGTTGAAAATAAAGAGAAAACTATCAAAGGCTTGCAAGAAAAACTAAAGTGAATGAAAACATAGATTGTTTCTCATTAATAAAAGGTCAGTGAAAATTGTTTAAAGTTCAGTGAAAGTCAGGGAATTTTTAACTTTCTGATGAGTGGCAACCCAGAGTATCATGCGCATAGGGTAGTAATATAGTTAAGAGGGTATCATTGTTGTGTCTGCTGTTGACAACTGGAGAACATTGCTTGGAATATTTTCTATAAGTGAATACTGAATTTTGCAAAAATTCAGTCAATTTTGAAGTAAATAATATAAGCCCAGAATTAGCTTGCAAAGCAGTCATATTTTGCAGTGCAATCGATTTGGGCATTCAAACTGCTTTATTTCCATTGCTGTAGGAGTAAATTTGTGGCGTCTGGAAAAATAAATGAACTAGATTTTCATTGGGTGCAAATGCATTTCCAGAAAAGCAGTCAGTTGCAACTAACTGAGGGGTGTTCGGCAAATTCATAGGCATTGCTGGCAGGCATTTTTCCCTTTTTCTCCCTGCCCCTCCCCCTGGCCTGCCCCTCTTCTCCCCAGCTCTGGGTTGTGCTTAAAAAAAAAACTTTAATTTGAAATAAGTTGGCTCTTTTTGTGCTCAGTTCTTCAGTATTAATGGTTCTACCTTCTTGTTTTTTTTGCAGGCATCCCTATGTCTCAGCAACACTTGATATGGCGATCCGTGGAATTGGAAGATGATTATTGTCTCCATGATTACAAGTGAGTGATGCTTCCATTTACCGGTAGCTATTTTGAAGGATCTGAACATAGCAAAGAAACTACATAATGTTAAATGAACTTGTTCCTCATTTATTACCACACTAGTCTCCTATCGAACCTTTCTTTTCTTGTTACACTTTGTTCCTCCCATGGGTATGCAGGGATCGATGTAGCTGAGGAAAAGCCAAATATGGGCTTTTTTGTTGGTCAAACCAGCATTTTTACTCAATTGCACTTACAAAAATAAAATTACCCTTTGTCTTTGTTGTTGGTCAAACCAGCATTTTTACTCAATTGCACTTACAAAAATAAAATTACCCATTGTCTTTGTCTTCCAGAGTAATTTGAGCTGGGGGGTAAGGTCTTTTTCAGCCATTGCAGGGTTGTCAAAAGTAGTTGGCTGCCGGAGAAAATCACAGCCTACTTAGTTAGTATTGGCCGGCTACTCTGCTTGGACTTTCATCACAGATGGCATTTTTAAGTAAAATATCCCTGGACTGGCCTTACTTTGACAACTCAGTGGTCTACTTCAAAAGCTTCCGACAACCCTGCATTGATATTAGCCGTCAGCCGGAGCTTAGCGACATCCCTGAGTATGGCTGGGGAGTGTTGTCTAATGATACAAAGAACAGTGGTGTAAGAGACTGTTCCCAATCCTCCTAAACAAAAAATATTTGAGCTTGCCCCTGTGCCATCGAGTGACCCCTAGCAAGTCACTTCTGCTGTGAGTGACAAGAAAGTGATTGTTTCTTTTTTTCACGAAGCTTATACTAGTGTGAGATGCACATCACTTATATGCTAAAGTTTAAAATGAGTTTCAGGTCAAAATAGTTTTAAACTAGCTTGATCTGTATTTTCAAGTCTGTGCTCTTAGAAGTTTTCTACAAAGTCCTAAAGCTCCATCCTGTGAAATCCGAGATACCCAGCAAATATATATCAACATTATGTGAAATGTAGCTGTTTTTTCTCAGTGGTAATTTATGTTTGTGATAATTATTATTCTCACGTTAGTATCACTGATGGAGCAACATTGCAGCTGGTTCTGGCAATGAGAGGTGGTCCTATCAATACAAGAAGAAGTAAGTAGTCTTTTGGCAGATTTACCGGAGATTTTGTCTACCCATAATCGAAAGCAATACTGAAGGGAATGTTCTCTCAGTAGTATTGTAGTTGTGTGACTGTATTATACCCATGATTCCTAATTAATAAGATCTGCTTAAGAGAAATACAGATACAAATACAAATGCCATGTTTTCCACTCCCTCAGGAATTTATAATTTACAACATTGTGTAGGGGGCTTTTGCCAGACTTCTTCATGTGTTACAGTATATGCAGTTGTAAATTTGTAATTTTTTTTACCTTTTTTTAGTTGCTGTTGAAGATCCTACTTTACAAGAAATGGCTGAATATATGGAAGTCAACAGGTTACAAAATATAATTTATATGTTGTGGTTCAATAATATTTATCTTTGATTTAAATTTTATTTTCTGGTATGGTAATGTATGATAATGATTTTGAAATTAAAGAAAAACAAAAACTAATTGAAATTAAAAAATCAATTGCCACATATAACAACTTGTGTGATCAATTTTTACACTACAACTGATATGTTGTGGCTCTATGGATTTACACCGAGAAGTATTTGCTTATGATTGACGTTTTTTTTTGTTTTCAAGTTTGTTTGTTTTTGTATTATATTGTTCATTTGATTAATGGTAATTTTCTTGTTGGTTTGCAGAGAAGAAATCTGGGATAAGCTCCCAAAGGATAATCGTCAAGTGACCTTGCTCGTTTTTAGGTAACATTCCATTTGAAATTACATATCAATCCTGATAGTTTGCTGTAACTGAAAAATACATTTTCACAAAACAAGCTCACCACCTCTTTGCTAAAAAATTTTAAATATTGCTAGAAAGTTATTTTTCCATCATTATGTTACTTATTTTAGGGATGGAGATCAGTTGAATTTCTTCCGAGTAGTGGATAGAGGCGATGGCACATTGACTCCTCTTTCAGACTCCTTAAGGTAATTATGTTTGCTTATCGCTGTTTACTCATTTTATTAAGTTGATAAAATTGTTTTCAGACGTCAAGATAATTAGGTTTAGATTTCTTCAACAACTTACATTGCTTTCTTATTATTTTTTCTCTCTAGTGGGGCGTCAATGTATAATTTGTATGATGAAGAAGAAGAGGAAAACCCACCCCCAATATCTCAGGTATGTGCCATGTTTTACACAGACTAACCTACAGCACAGACAAAACTGAAACTCAAGTTAAGTCCATCAGTGTGTCTGCACCTAAATCTATTTTCTGGCTCCCTGCACGTGTATCACCAGGATTTGAGTATGCACCAGGGTTGGTTGGCTCAAAAAAGGCATTGATGATTGGCCAGTCAGGTTAAAGGGTAATTTGAAACTCTCTTCCGGATTTTTCAATGTCTGTTAGGGGCCGAGAACAAGGATCTTGGTACTACTTTGTATATGTTACTTGCCAGTGTAAGATTACATCTGCATCATAGACTATTCATTGGCACTCTTTCAGGATTTAACCACCCAGGAAGGGTTGAAAGAGGATTTGTGGTGCTTGCAATGAAATCCCTTGAACACCTTCTTTTTTAAAGACACTGTGCCTCTTATTTAATTTCCAGGAAGCCATTCATGAAAACAGTGTCACAATGAATAAAATGAGGCTTTTAAAGACTAAAATGGAATCACAGAAAAACTTGAAGGTTTGTTGAATTCCTGACGAAACGTTTTTTCTATGGAGCTATGAGGTACATGTACTTTTCCCCTTACTTCATGCAACTTTCTTGAGGCCTCTTGTTTTAATCTGTATGTGCTTTTTATTACAGACATCAGGTGTTGGCACCATGTCATTGCATGATTCAGGGAATCATTCTGGGTTTATGTGGGAGCAACAGCCACGTTACATCAACCAACACCTCTTTACAATGGCCACTTCACTTGTCTGAACAGATATAGTGGAAACTCGGAAAACTCCGTATCCCCCACTAACTTGAACTAATACCCATTTCTCTTGGATTTCACCCCACTTTTCAATCTGTTTTACTCAAATAAACTGGAACTCAGATAACTCAAATTCCCACTAACTCAAACTAAATTTAGGTCCCCTTATCAAAATTTCCCTTATAACTCAAATTCTGGTTCTTGCAACTCAACATGGATGCCATCCCATTAGCTTTTCTTGTTGTGTAATAGTATTAGTTAATGATGAGATAAGATTAATTTGCACTGTACTGAGCAAGGAAGTGCTGAAAAATCAGTTAACTGTCAATATTATTAACAAGGCAAATGGAATTTTCAGTTGACCTGATAAGTCAAACTCTGTGGTTTTTTCCCTTTCGTAGTTCTAGTTACCGTACATTTTCTCTTGTTTTAACCTGTCTACAACAGTCTCTTATCTAATCTGTCCCCAAGGTGGTCATTGCTTAGAGATTCAAGATCTGTATATATATTACTCAGTTTGTCATCACTTAACTTTTTGTTTGTGTCACTTTTTATAGCCTAAATATCAACCTGCACCTCCAACCACTGAAAAACCTACAAGTACGTCAATGCTCAGTGCAAGGAGAAGGTAATCCCATGAAGCTTCATTTTATTATACATGTATTTGAACAAGAAATCGAAAACAAACTAGACAAAACAGTTTTGAGGCAAACCTGATAAGATAAGAGATAAGAAAGTCATATACCTATGATTGTGGATTTTCTGTTGAAATGAAGGAATGTTTTTTCTTCCTTTTGTTTTATTCAGATTGAGTTTTAGGGAGAAAAGAATTCAGCCTGTACATTATATAAATTTTTTTACCACGCAGGGGTGTTAAAAGGTCTATCAACAATGTTGACTTATCAAGTTTGAAAATTACTTCTTTTGTCTGTCCGTCTCGCGTCACCTTTGGTGGTTGGTGTTGGTGTAATTAAGTTAACGTATTGATTTATTATTGCTGGCTTAGGTTGCAGTTAACATCTGCATCAGGAGCATCAAAGACTCATGACACTGCATTCAGGGTTGTTGAAAAGCCAAAACTCGATAGTACTCAAGGCTCACCAGCAAAGCAGTCAAGTGCATCTAATAGGGTGTCACCTAAAGGGCCTCTGCCGCCTGTCAATACAAGAAGAAAGGCAAATAAAATTGACGTATCAGACTTTTTAGTACAATCAAGCCAGGAGGCAAAAGTTGTTCCTTCAAGTCGAACTCTTGCACGGAGTGCTTTTAAAGAAGGACGAAAGACAATATCGGAGTTTGTAAATGACACTAAAGAAATTAAACCTTTAGGAAGTATCTCAAAACCTGTGACTCATCACAAGGAAACAAGGACTTCTAGCCCTTCTCGTGGAGCAACTAGTATAGACTATGCTTCAGGGAGTGCCAGCATACGACGATCAAGGATTCCAGAAGATTCTTCTGAAGTTAGGTATCCACTGGATTTATCTGCTGGAAGTAGTGGATTTAGAAGGATTCGTGCAATAGAAAACAGAATCCCAACTCCCGAAGGAAGAAGATCGGGGCTCTTGGTAAGTATTGTGCCTTGCATGACACTTTTTTTTTCCTTGCAAAAATGCAGAAGGGGTAGGAGAAACTGTTCTGAATTACTGTTGGTGATTTTTCAAACTCCAAAATGCTCCCAATGGCAGTGGCGGATCCAGGGGAGGGGCGGGGAGGGTGCCCCCCTATTCTTAGACCAAATTGAGGCCTGAAGGGCGGAAAAATTTTTTTTTGGAGACTGGCACTGCTATGCGAAGGTACCTTGAGTCCATATGAAGCAAATTTTGTCATGAGCACATTGCCTTTTCATTGCCATTGTCTGTTATTGGTCAACACCAGGGAAAATGATAAGAAAACCATTTTAAAAAAGCGCAGCATACACTGTGAGCATAGCGATTTTATAGAAATGGCATCATGCAAAATAAAATCATCTGCAATAACTGAAAGTGCTAAAAAACATTTAGTAACTTGATGTGCAATAATTATTAAGCTTTAATCAGCCACCCGCAAATGGAGAATTCTGGGTGGCAATAATTTTACATGAGCCCATACATATGAGTTTCTATTTTAACAATTTCCAAAGAGTATCTGGCACTAAGATTTTTGGAGACACTGAAGGTAATGCCCCTTTAATATTCAGAAATGATATTTCTAGTTTGATTAGAAAATGAGTAGCATATGCTAATGAAGGGGGAAAATATTAGCTTTATAAAGATTTACTGTTATGTATGCCCTTTTTTCTTTGGAGCTGTGAGGTGCATGTACTTTTTCCCTTACTTTGTGCAACTCTCTTGAGGCCTCTTGTTTTAATCTGTATGTGCTTTTTATTACAGACATCAGTTGTTGGCACCATGTTATTGCTTGATTTATCACTCGTGGTTAAAAAATTTCAAATTGCTGCCATGTAGCCTGTGTCACAGACTTAATTTAATGCCATTTAGTCAAAATCCTTGTTCTGGACCCCGGCGGACTCAACAAATTACCGGAAGTGCATTTCAAATTTACTTTCAACCTGATTGGCAAATTGACAATGGCTTTTTTAACAGACCAATCAGGGTGCATACTCAAATGGTGAGGACCTAGAACAAGGATTTTGGCACTGTTTTGCAGGTAGACTAAACCAGAGTTTAGTTTCGTCTGTGGCACAGGCTGGTGCCAGGCAGTAGCTTCATATTTATTTCTTATGATTGAGCTGAGTGTTACATTAACAATGCTATGTTTATTATTTTTTATTGCAGAATGATTCATTGTCATATTCCTATCGTTTTTCTCATGGAAGTACAAGTGCTTCAAACAGTAAGGACTGATATTTCTGTGTTTTTGTAACTTAACAGAAAGACATGTAAAGGTCAACTTAAGGCCTACTTTATTTGTTTCAAGAACACATGGTAATTTATAACTTACATGTTTGTCCCTTTAATCTATAGTTGTTCTTAACACAAACAATACTAAGCACAAAGCACCAGAATGAGTCCAGCATTTTCAAAAATTGCTTGCCCTTTACTAGCCTGGAGCAGTCACGCAGATCCCAACATAATTTTAATTTATCTTGACAAGTGTTGCTTGCCTGTCAGACAACTCATAAAAAAAACATTCTTGCTGGAGAGGTGGCTTCACTAACCCCAGGCTATCGAACAGCACTTTTGCTGTGCCTTGTCCTAGCTTATGGGGTCTCGAAAAGGTTATTGTTTAATAGATTCGACTAGAGAAACTGTCATGATATTTTAAGGACTTTTGTTCAGCAGTGAACTCACTTAGTCTTGTAGATTGGAGATTGGTGCACAACCTTCTGTGCAAGAGGTCCTTGGTTTGATTCCTTGGAGTGACTAGGAGTATCCTTGTTTTGACTTTCCGTGTGGCCTTAAGTAGCCTCAAGTGGCTTTAAATACCTAGAAAACGGGGCACCAATGGAGAGAGGGAAAAATGTGCACACTCTCTCCTGTAGATTTGTTAGTCAGATGATGATTATTTCAAGCTACGGGCTTGAAAATTATAAGAACCCTGTAGTTTACTTTTTACAATAGATAATATTAGCAATACATTTCTTATTATTTTAGTAGTTAAATCAAACATAAATGTTTTCTTGCAGATTCTCCACCTCACCATCACCACCTTCCTCCAGTGAGAACTAAACCACACCCACCTCCACAACTTCTACCCCCTAAAAAGAAAACTAGGTGCTTTATGTGTGGAAAGAAGACCGGACTAGCTACTACATATCAATGCCGGTAAGTATCCATTTTTTTATCCTTTCCCTGACCTTGTGTAACTGGAAGGGGCATGAGTACATTAACCATTCTCATAGCAACCACTTCTCATAAGCGAACACCTCCTGTAAGTGACCACTTGGTAAATAACTGTTTTGTTTCTCAGTCAAAATAATACTGTTTCAAAAACTCTCTCAATCACGACCATTTTTTTGGCCAGAAATTTGACGAATTCTTTTGTTTGTTAAACAAAAAGTGACTGTAAAAAGGTATGTAGGTATGTAAACAAGCCTTATTGTTACAATGGTCTGTTGCAAAAGGTTACTTACAAAGTTTCAACATTAAGTAGCATGATAAGATTTTCCAAGTGCTATTCGATTTCAAATGTGGCATTCGTGTCATTTGATGTAGCTTGTTAGATAATATCTTTATTGGTAATTATGTTAATCAATGCAGTCTGAGCTTGTTTTGTTGATTTTTCGCATGTTATACGACCTCCTCCCCTAAGTAGCCTGCGTGGCAGGCGCAAAAAGGGGAGGGGGAGGGGGGAGGGAGAAAGGGAAAAGGGAAGGGAGCGCCTGCTCTAAGAGCCTATGTTTTTGCATAACGCCTACCAATTTTCTAGTAATCCGATTACGCTTACTGTCAATCAAGTGTCGCTACACTAGCCATTGCAGAAAAGCATTACACTCACGGACTAAAGAAATTCGCTTAGTTATTTCAGAAGGCACTTTGGAGAAAATTGGAACCCTTATTCAGCATGTAAAAAAAAAACTTTACGCTTCAAAAGAGGTCAAAGAAATTTCGCTTTCAGAGGGCAAATCCTGTGGCCAGAAAACAATAACTACAGTCAATCATTTATGTCATGACCTCTCATGTGAAACATGCGGCTAAAATAACATTTGCTCAGTATAATAAACCTATAAATTTATTGGTAATACTTTTCAGTGGCGAAATGACGAGAATCATTTATGTTAAAACATCAATGAACATCTCTGTCTGAGCCCTTACTGATTCTTGTTTTTTAAAACAGTTTCTCTACCACTAGATTTTCTCTCAAAGCATGTCCACGCCTATATCTCGACCTCCAATATGTTACCCGGCTCAGCCAATCAGGACGCCAGCCATGGACACTGACCCCTACCCCTTTCGACGCCTGCTACGCAGGCTACCCCTAAGCGACCATCTTGTCCTTTCGCTTTCAGGAGAGTTGACTGTACAGTCAAACCTAGTTAATATGGACACTGAGGCGGCATCCATATTAAGTAGGGATGGCACTAGGATTTTTCAATCTGGGTTCTCGGACTCACATGTCCGGTCAAATTGGGGTCCCAAGCATTTTGGGTGGCTCCCAAAATCTTGGTGACCCTCCCCTGAGAAATTCTTTCTGTTGTTGTTATGAGAAAGAGTGACTGGCAAATTACTGTCATACTGATAATACTCGACCAGCACAATCAATCAAACAACAAACAAACGTGGCGGAAGCTCATTGGAGTTTCCTGGATGTGTTAATCGTCTCCAGTCCCCTTTGCGTAGTTAAATCCAATATGGCAGCCACGATGTGAATTTGCTTTGTTCGAAATTTTTTTTACATGTCACTCAAACAACAAAATCTGTTCAAGATTCAAAGTAAATGGAGTGAGTTCTTCAAGTCAATATCTTACACCCTGGGACGCATTAAAATTTTGATGATTCATTTTTTGCATTTTGTTTGCATAAAAATGCGCGATTTCTGCGTTAACACGATCTCTGTTAAGTGGGTTGAATTTAGAGAAAATGTTTAAGGGAGGTGTTCATTCCTAAATGACAGGATTTTTTTTTCCCAACAGATAGATTATATAAAGGTAGGTTACTCACTGAACTTCCGACTTTTGAAGAACTTTCCAACCCTATGAAATTCTCTTTTAAATTTGCCAGAAACTCGAGATCTGGTGGCCGCCATCTTGGAGAACTCCTAGCAGCCTGGTGACGAGTATGTGACGTCAATGCGCTCAACCAGAGTTTGGCAGAAAGTTTAAATCACTCATAACTTCTTGTTTCTTCATTTTGGAGCTGCACAAGAGGTCATGAACAGAGAAAACACAATCCGAAGTGAAGAGAAAAGAAGTGTTGAATGATTTAATCTTTCTGCCATACTCGGGTTGAGCTCATTGACGTCACATACTCGTCACCAGGCTGCTAGGAGTTCTCCAAGATGGCGGCTGCCAGATCTTGAATTTCTGGCTTCTTCAGACCAGAATTTCATAGGGTTGGAAAGCTTTTTGGAAGTTAAAATTTCACTGAGTAACCTACCTTTGTATAATCTTTTTGTTGGCGAAAAGAAAAAAACTATCGTTTTCGAATAGGGATAAAAGAAGCTTTCCATAATAATGAGGTACCTATATTGAGTGGGTGTTCGCAAATCAAGGTTAGTGACTGTATTCACTTAAAATTCTGCTTTTCTTCTTTCAGATGTGGCAATTCATTTTGCGCAACACACCGCTATGCAGAAGCTCACAGCTGTACATATGATTACAAAAGTGAAGGAAGGAAAATAATAGAACAGAATAATCCAGTTATAGCTGCTCCTAAGCTACCAAAAATATAAAGGTTTCTTCTTTTTCAAGGTGTAATTTTATATAATAAATGTGCTTGTAAATACTTTAAGTTTGGTAAAATACTGCAAATGAAATAGAACTTGTAGATAACAAAGTGTACAATTTCAGCGATAAGAATACATCAGTGCCACCCATATCATATGTCATGACTTCTTTTGTCTCAAAATATCCATGCATTCACAACACTGCATCGTACATAGTTTGGCTATTCGGTTTTATTTTCCATACATGGTACTTTCCGTGTTATTGTTAAAGTCACTTAATGGTGAGAAAAAGCAGCTTTGCTTATTTTTTGTTGATTGTCTTTATTTTGTATATTCTGCTTTCCTATTACTTTATCTTTACTGAAAGGTCTTTAATTCAAATTTAGCAGACCATTTCAATATATATTATTGTTCACTTTCATTTGAGCAATGTGGTTTTTGTTTGTTTCAATAATCAAGGTATCATATTGAGGACATTTTTATTGTAGTCTGGTGTTATGATTGGAGAAAGTGTGGTATCATAATGTCTTTTAAAAAACTCTTGTGAGGTTTCTAGATCCTTGTTTTCATTTGAGAAGTTGAAATGTATTTTCCATGAACATCACATTAATGATATTGTACATAGCTATGGGCAAGTTATCCTATGCATACTGGTTGCTTAAAATGGCTGGTGAAAGATTATTAAATAAAAAAAATTAAACAGAGTTATCATGTTGTTAATTATTTTCATTTACGTTGGAATAAAGGGGTCTATAGTTTTGGAATGGTTTTCCAAATCAGCCAGATAAAACCTGAGGAAAATAGAGTGTAGTTCCTGTTTCATTATGAAAGGAGTTCTTGCTATGGTTCAAAAAATATGTTTGTTAACCCCAAAACTTCACAAAAACTACAAATTCGTTTGGGCTGTATAGAAAAATATTAATCCTAGGAGACCAACATGTAGTTCCCCCAACCTTTTATAGACTTTTGTGAACTTTGTGGCCTGAAAATCATATCTCACTGTCTCTGAAAACAAATTATTTTCTTTAGGAAAGCAAATATACTTAACATTAATAGTGTTTTTATGTTGCTGATGTTCAGGTGATGAAAGCTGTACCTGTGTTATAGTTTTTTTTATTGGATGTGCCATATACCGGTAGTTTGAGTTTGAGAATACTGGACAATAATCATATTTATTTATAGAAATTGGTGTGCCAGGTGTTGGCCCTGAAACAAGTTGATTTAAGTTTAAAGGGTTGCCATTCTTTTTGTCATGGTTAGATGTGTGGGTTGCATTTTGCTTTGTATTTCTGTGGTGTTGAAATGGGTAAATCAGTTCCTCGTAAACTCAATGGTGCAGTTTTTTGTCTGGTGACGTCTTATAGTATCATCAAACAAGATTGTTTCCCAAACAGCAAGAAGCACGTAATTTCTCCTAGTCCATGAGTAGGCTCATGCTCTCCAGAGAAACAGCTTTCACCATTTCTAAAACTAATAGGGAGTTTGCTTGCAGGCTGAAATTCTCTTTCTGGTATTATATTAACAACATCTAACTACTAACATTTAAAACTGTACAAGAGTACTGATATAAATGTGTAGGGTGTATATGACCTGTTCTGTAAGGCACTAGGTTAAAAAAACCACCAGAATCATTAACTGGACAATTCACACAACCTTTATTTTTCAACCATCTTGTCATTTCAAATTATGAAATAAAGTATCTTTAAATAACATCTTTTTCAATAACACCAAATCCTTTCAAATTCCAAAATACACTATGTACATGGTGTGTTTGGTATTTTTTTTACGTGAAAACACAACTGTGAATCGGTGCAAAAACGGCATTTTAAGGTTGACGGCCACTTTACTCGAGTTCATGCTATTTTCATTGTTGTCTTGTACACTCCAAGTTCTTTTTCTTCCTCTTCGACTTTGTTCTCCTACGCTGCATGGTCTGCTTGCTGACTGTGTAACCTGGGAAAAAGGCAGAGGAAATAGGCATTATTGTCGTTATCATTGCCTGTGTGAGTAACTCCCTTAATCTGATTACAAGTGCTTATAAAATAACGTTTCTTTGCCTTTCTTGTCCTCTGCCTTAGCTTGTTCCAGGCGGACAGAGGAAAGAGATGTGAGCAGGAAAAACAGCAAGGGGGTGAGACTAGTGAAGGAATGTTCCCTCCTCGATGTCTCTCTCCCTTTCTTCCTCCTTACCTTATTATTGGAAATTAACACTCCATGAAATTAACGCGAATCGTTAAAATTCGCGTTAATTTTTAACCACAATTTTGGAATCTGTCCAGACATTCTTGACATCTAAAAAACGTTAACTGCAAGCTTTCTTTCTTTCCATTTACCCTTTATTTTAAAGCTAAGGCGCAGGTTTACAATATTTTGAGTTCATCTTCAGCGTTGTCGCTGTCAGAAGTGATGTCAGCTCAGTTTTGGATTTTTTTGCATCCAGTGTTGAAATAAATTTGTCCAGCTGTGTCTCAATCGTGTTAATTTCCTTTATTATGAAATTCTACCTCATCTTTCGTGTTAATTTTCTTTATTCGAAAGTCGTTTCCACTAAATTCGCGTTAATTTAAGTCGCGTTAATTTCCAATACCTTAATTTCATGGAGCGTTAATTATTTGATTCAACTGTTTATGCTGACCATAATTCTATAATAATGTCATTCTCTGACTAGAAATAGTTCAGATATGGTAGTGACATAGTACACCTTATTGTGGGTTGTGTGATTATTGTGAGGTGGTGGCTTGGCGATGGCCCCATAGTTGGTTTTTATCATTTTTGATACATTAAAAAAACGCAAAAAAAATTGAAAAAATTAGTTACTTCAGTCCGTCACAACATCAATCTGAAAGGAATCATATGCAAACCTTTCTTTTACAATTATAACCAGAACTAGTTTCTAATGCTGCACACACTGACAGGGCTGTGCCCTTACAGAGCCAGTACTCCGGATTTCAAGTGACAGGGATGATCAAAGGATTTTTTGGGGTTGAAAAATTTTGGCACATATTTTTTAGGGTAGCATGATTTAAATACAGATTTTTTGGGGTCAAAACAATCTGAAGATTCATGATAGTTCCTATGTATCCCGGCTGCATAGTTCCGGGAAATAAATTTTTATAGCTTGGAAATTTTGCATGGAATTTTTTGGGTGTTAAATATTGGTCCAGGAATTTTTTTGGGTTTGGTTTGAAGCCCTAGGGACTTTTTGGGGGTTGTCATTCCATTCACTTGAAATCCAGAGTACGCTCGCCTGGGAAGCCCACTGGCACATGGCACCCAACTTTTGCTCTCAGGTGACTTGAAAATCTTATTTTTTCATGCAAATTAATGGTGCGCTGGTCACCCTAGATTTTACAGATTCAGAGTACTGGGCTCCCTTCAGTTTTCCTTAGAGCATAGCACTATATACACAATGTAAGTGGACAAGAAATACTAAGGAGGAGGTTAGTGGGTTCAGATAAATGAAGAAGTTACAGAGTCTTAATTTACTACAACATCTCCAGCTGAGCATAGGTATTGTTGATGTCCTCTGACTTGCTGTTCTTTTCCTGATTGTTACATGCTTCTTTCTAACTTCTCAAACTGCTCTACACATACAGTTTAATTTGTCATCAGAACTTACGACGTGGAACTTGAATGAGTGCCTGATCGAGGTCTGCTTCCAGGAACTGCTGAGCGTGGTCTGGGTGTTGTCTGCCAGTGGGCATCATCATATAGTGGGGATTTCCGTGGTGCTGGTGTACGGGACCTGAAGTTTCGTGAGTTGGACTTTCCTGCAGATGCCATATGCCTTTCACTTCGACTGCATCGAGGAGCCTGCTCGTCTGCTTTTTAATCGAGGCCAGTGCATTTAAATGGAAAGACAGCAATAATGAATTACTGTTGCTCAATAAAACAATGTTGAAACATTTATGGCTGAGGAGGGGGGGGGGGGGGGCTTGACGACAAGCAAAACCAAAGAATGGGAAATAAAACAAAGGTTCCCTGACCGACTCCCCTGCATGGGTCTTTAGAGGATGGCTAAGACATTGAACTGTAAGCCGAACTTACCTGTGTCCGTTGTAATTTCGTCATTTGGACCCGCATACCTGTGAAAAACAAAACAGTTATAAAACACCAATAATAAAATTGAAGAGTTTCCTGATAAAAAGCCTTATTAGCACATCAATAATAGGCAAATTAGGGTCAGATCTATTATTAATTAAGAAGCTGGGACGATGCACATACCAAGGATTTTGGTAAAGATGTGTGTGCCTATCTTCTGTGGCTTGTCTGAACTCACCACGCTGAAAGAAGCAAAAATTGATAAATTATTGTTTTTGTGTTTTTACTTAAAACAAAACACTGTAAGCAAGTGTGTGATCATACCTTGATTTGGTGTCCACTTTTTAGCTGTCGATAGTCAGTGTAAAACTGTAATCCCCACCCAATTTCGCCAACCTGCATTAACACATGTAATAACAAATATTATATATTTTACATTCCAACTAACTGATGTAACAGTTAAAGAGATAAAATATAGGCTGCATTTTTTTTTGAAAAAAAAGTTCTCTTAAATTATAGAAAAACACCAGCAAAAACACTTGTGGCTGTTACTTAAAATAATGGTGAAATAATAATCTTTGTTGTCAGCTTACCTTCACAGACTTTGGTAGTGGATGTGGGCAGCTCTATAAAATGAATGAATATTAAAGTGAGGAATTTTATAAACATCATTGCTTTGTCATTGATTAGCAAAAGGTCTTCTTCCTAGCGCGTCTGCCTCCCTCGCTTGTTCTCACATAACATGTGTCAAGTGCCATGCCCGACAATCACACTTAAGAATTGGGCCTTAGTCAGTGGTGGATCCAGGGAGAGGACCGGGAGGGCTCGGCCCCCCATATTTTTTGACCAAACTGAAAAAAATTATTTTTGAGACCGCTCCTCCCTTCCCCCTTATCTCAGTGTCTGAATCCGCCGCTGTTAGTAATGTAATAAAATGTGATTTCAGATTTTAAGTATGGTGTATGTTTAGTACCTTCGATGGTCTCCACAAATAGTTTAGATCACTGGTCCCTTCTCGGGACATTGTCCCAATTCCAACGTATGTATTGGGATCGAGAACCGTAGCTTGATGATCTCGAATGCCATCGGGACCTTTGGTAAAGCAGAGAAAATAGCAATATTGATTTGATGATGTTCATAACCTCAGGTGGTTCTATATTCAAAATTAACTATAATTGTTGATGCCAATATTTTGACCGCAGATAGAGTTAGCTAGAGTTAGAACTGTCTAGAAACAATGGAGACGTAGTCAATGAAACCAGTTCCATTGTTTCATTCCACATTTGATTCGGTCCTCAAGATTTTAAAGGATACATAATCAGCTACTTGTACACGACCTAAACTATAAAAAAACAGGAAATCTCTACAGTAAACCTAAAATTATTAAAATTTTTACAGTGAGGGATCTCTTTCTGCCTCGCTATGCACAGCGTTCCGTCAGCTCGCGTACAATTGATTGTCTTTGTTTCTTGGAGTTGAGACAATTTATTTGAAGGATGAATAGAGAAACGTTGGAGACAGCGACTTGTGTACTTTGTAAACTTAAAGGATATGAGAGATAAAAAGATTATACCACCGGGCATTCCTTCAGTGCAAAGCCGTCGCGGCAAAAAAGCTATTCTCTGTTTCAAATGATTTTGGTCTGATTAAACATGGACTAACAAATATCTCACCCGTGAAAAGAACTTCTCCTCGACCGATGTAAGGATTATAGTATTTATCCGATCCTCTCCACGACAAAACGCTGGCCTTTTCGTGATCAGTCATTTTGTTTTCCCTCCGGCTGCCGCCTTCAGCTGACCTGAACGCTGTTGCTGGGCAACGAAGTTAATAGAATTCCATCCCGCTGTCACGCAATGTGATTATTTGGTATTCAGGGTGATACGTACCACCAGCATAAAGGTACTACTCCCTTTTTTGGGTTCACTTTTGCTGTTCTAGACTAGGCGCCAAAATTCCTTGTGCCTCGGTCAGTTTCAAACGTGCCCATCCCTCCCGGTCATTTTTCATTTTTTCTTCGGAAAATTGCAAATGCTAACAATTCAGTTGGATCGTGAATATACTGGAAGCAATTATTCATGCTTTTGTGACTACCAACTTGGATTACTGTAATGCGATTCTATGGACTACCTAAAGTTCTCTTAAACCACCTAACATTCACCAAGAAGTTAGTATGAACATATAATACCCAGCTAAATAGACTTACATTGGTTGCCTGTTAATCTTATTGTTAGTATATCAGACCATATAAAGCTATCAATGGACTTTCACCAGGTTATATATCCAATTTGCTCAGTTTTTGTAGCAGCTCCTACCAATTGCGTTCTTGCTCGAAAAAGTTAC